ATTAATAAAGAAATTTGTCTCATGAAATTGAGAAAAAAAATGCCCTTTGATTTAACATAAAAAAATACTGACCTACAAAAACCAACCTTTAAATTTCAATGCAGTGACCACTTACACTTCAATCTTTCACTCTAACACAGATAAATATCTGGAATATAGACATTTTACAATAAACCATGAGTCTATCTTGACCCTCAGTTTTATCATCATTCTTTTAAAAATACAATATTAATTGATTTTTATACATGTATCTAAATAATATCGCATTTGATATGAAAACAAACATTTTCTGGATTAAAATCATCACAAATTCATACAAAAATCAGGAAAAGAAAGAACAATTATACAAATTCTGATACTTTACAAAGATATTTTATGGACTCTCGGACATTGAAAGTATCAGGACTTAATTTTCAAGAGTTTTCCCGGAAAAAAGATCAGTTTTCTCATTCAGCTTGTTTCTACTTTCAGGGGAGGTAACCAATGTAGACTTGTGGTTTTCAGATGCAAGAATAAAAGCCATCATGGAAATAAATCAAGCTCATAATTCTGACACAACACTCTGGAAGCATAGCCTTGCAATCATTTTTTATTTTATTTAAAAACCAATGACATAATGTCCCTGAATTCCAAGACTTTCCCAGGAATATGTCCCTGAATTCCAAGACTTTCCCAGGAATATGTCCCTGAATTCCAAGACTTTCACAGGCATGCCCCTGAATTCCAAGACTTTCCCAGGCATGTCCCTGAATTCCAAGACTTTCCCAGGCATGTCCCTGAATTCCAAGACATTCCCAGACATGTCCCTGAATTCCAAGACTTTCCCAGGCACATGTCCCTCAATTCCAAGACTTTCCCATGCATGTCTCTGAATTTAAAGACTTTCACAGGCATGTCCCTGAATTCCAAGACTTTCCAAGGCATGTCCCTGAATTCCAAGACTTTCACAGGCATGTCCCTGAATTCCAAGACTTTCCCAGGCATGCCCCTGAATTCCAAGACTTTCCCAGGCATGCCCCTGAATTCCAAGACTTTCACAGGCATGTCCCTCAATTCCAAGACTTTCCCATGCATGTCTCTGAATTCCAAGACTTTCCCATGCATGTCCCTGAATTTCAAGACTTTCACAGGCATGTCTCTGAATTCCTAGACTTTCACAGGCATGCCCCTGAATTCCAAGACTTTCCCAAGCATGCCCCTGAATTCCAAGACTTTCACAGGCATGCCCCTGAATTCCAAGACTTTCCCAGGCATGCCCCTGAATTCCAAGACTTTCACAGGCATGTCCCTCAATTCAAAGACTTTCCCATGCATGTCTCTGAATTCCAAGACTTTCCCATGCATGTCCCTGAATTTCAAGACTTTCACAGGCATGTCTCTGAATTCCTAGACTTTCACAGGCATGTCTCTGAATTCCTAGACTTTCACAGGCATGTCTCTGAATTCCTAGACTTTCACAGGCATGTCTCTGAATTCCTAGACTTTCACAGGCATGTCCCTGAATTCCTAGACTTTCACAGCCAAGGGTCAGAATTCAAAAAACTTTTCAAATCTGTATTATCATGTTTTATCTTTTCTTGACATCAGAGTAACCAAAATAAAATCTTACATCCTTGGCAATTTGAAAATGTTTGTGAAATAAAACCATCTCACTGCTACTAATTTTGACAGCCCCCTAAACAATCAAGATTGAAACATATCAGCAATTTGAAAGAACTGTGATAAAAAAAAATGTTGATAAAAAAAGTTCACAGCTGAATTATATCAAAATAAAAAAAAATGAAAATAGAAGATACTTCCAGCAACCTACCAGAAAGATTTATTTCGAAAAGACAAAGATTAACCAAAGCATGGTGGCTGAATGGACTGGGTAAAAATTAGATCTGATTTTGGTGGGAAAAAAATAGGACAGAATTCTTCTTTCTTCATACATATATACATACCAAAATGGACTAGTTCTCAAAACCACCACTAGATGGCAGCCCACTGAAAAATGAACTAACAGGCTAAGAAGATGACTACTGAAGTTGTGGAAATTATACTACAAAGTTGTAGAACAGAGAGTTGTAAATTATATTTTGTCAAATTTCTAACCTACAAATATAAGTTCTGCGATGGGATTAGCAGGCCAATACACAATGACTCTCCGTATGTATCAAGCTATTGTATCAGCATTTGATAGAACTAAATCAGACATGATGGGCTGCTATCTAACAACAGTAACGACAAGTGTGAAAACACAGGAATTATACAGTTATAATCTGTGGACATAGCAAACTAATATAATGCTTTCGTGTCTCTAGTTCACCAGTCTACAGAAATATCTAGTCAGTAGACTATTTAAAAACAAAGAGGGCCAATGGTCCTGCACTGCTCATTCGGTATTTAATTGCTTTCACAAATACATTAATATCGTAAATACAATCAGTTTAAATATTTGTTTTACTTGCATACATTCAGAAAATATAACAAAGTTTTAAACACAACTACAGCACCATATCAGCTATGTATACAACTTCAGAAAATTGTCTTTTTAAAATGATATCTCAGATTTCCAACGCTATTGACATTTTCTTCAGACACAATAGATTATCACAGAACTATGGACACTTGAAATGTGTAGAAGAAACTGACAAAATGAAAAGTGAACTAGCATTTTTTTCTTCTTTTTTTTTCTTGAGTTTTCAATTCAAGCAACGAAGCTCCAAACTAATCTGATTGTTTTCTAGGTGATACAGTCAGAATTCAAACAAAACACATTTTAACATGTCCTCGAACAACACCCTCACAAAACCAATGATCATGATAACATCATTCACATTTAATCACAACAGCAAATAAGCAAAGATTTGTAAAAAGACACCCTGAGTTCTCTTTATATCTCTTCATCAAGATTCACAATTGGACATTTGTATTACTTCACTTTGTTTATAAAATATTTCAGTAATCACACATTCCTCGCATACATTTGTCATTAAATTAAACTTTACTTTACAGCCAGGAAACAGCTATACTTCCTTTTGCACATATAATCAAAATAGAAATTTTCTCTTGCATGAACTACATTTAACACTATAAAATAACTGTCACATATAAACATTTGGCCTAAAACAAACTTCTTGGCCTCACATGTCTATAAATCACAGTACGGTATATAAACTTCACAGACCAGAGACCTTCAGACACCTTTATACCAGAGACCTGTGTCTACCAGAGACCTCTGTATCCCAGAGACCTGTGTCTACCAGAGACCTCTGTATCCCAGAGACCTGTGTCTACCAGAGACCTCTGTATCCCAGAGACCTGTGTCTACCAGAGACCTCTGTAAACCAGAGACCTGTGTCTACCAGAGACCTCTGTAAACCAGAGACCTGTGTCTACCAGAGACCTCTGTATCCCAGAGACCTCTGTAAACCAGAGACCTGTGTCTACTAGAGACCTCTGTAAACCAGAGACCTGTGTCTACTAGAGACCTCTGTAAACCAGAGACCTGTGTCTACCAGAACAGTAACTACCCTCAAATTACACGGACCAAATTCTCAGCAACTAGATTCATTCTGATTTAATTTCTAAAATTCAAAAAGAATTGAATTTTCTTAACAGTGAGTAACAATACCATAACAATCATCAAGCGTAAATCATTCTAATGTCCTTTTTCTATAGACAGTGAGTCTGATCTATCTTGTGTTAATCCCAGGGTGGGCAAAGCATTAAATTTGATCACAAGGAGAGGGCAAGCTTTTCTTTTTGCAGAGCAATGAAGCATTTTTTTTTAAAAACATTTTTATAAAATGCAACAAAGATAGTTTGATTTCTCATGCCCTGGCTTATCTTCAGATATACTATACTGTAACATACCTTTTTTAGTGCAATCAAATTTTACCCCATTTTTAGCAAATTAAAACAAGATGAAATCATACCCTTGTAAGTTTGAGAAGATATGACAGTGATTCAGAAGACAGGACATTGATTCAGATGATAGGACATTGATTAAGAAGAAGAAAGGACATTGATTAATAAGGAGATAGGACATTGATTAATAAGGAGATAGGACATTGATTAATAAGGAGATAGGACATTGATTGATAAGGAGATAGGACATTGATTAAGAAGAAGATAGGACATTGATTAATAAGGAGATAGGACATTGATTGATAAGGAGATAGGACATTGATTAATAAGGAGATAGGACATTGATTAAGAAGAAGATAGGACATTGATTAAGAAGGAGATATGACATTGATTAAGAAGGAGATAGGACATTGATTAAAAAGAAGAAAGGACATTGATTAAGAAGAAGATAGGACATTGATTAAGAAGGAGATAGGACATTGATTAAGAAGAAGATAGGACATTGATTAAGAAGGAGATAGGACATCGAAGATAGGACATTGATTAATTAGGAGATAGGACATCGAAGATAGGACATTGATTAAGAAGGAGATAGGACATTGATTCTATGAGACAGACAGACATGGTTAGTACTACATGCCCTCACCCTCTCCTATTAATGGTCGGTGTCTAAAAATCCAGTCTAGGGCTCCTTTTCCTGATTAAATGAACGGAGCAGCAGAAAAATAACCTTTTTTGATTAGAAATGAACGATCAGTAAACCTGATTACAAAGAATCTGGCCCATTTACGCAGATACAACCTTATCATTAACCAGTTTATCAATCAACATCTTGTTTGTTTCCAAAATGTTAAATCAACCTGTTATCTTAATGCAGCATACCCTGTGTCTGGTTTATAAGTAGATTTACATGACTTACAGTCATTTTGAAAGATAAAAGCATCTCAGACTCTATTAAAATCTATTGGATTAATATATTACTATATTCTGTAAGACCAACAGACATTCACAAGTGACAGATCAGGTAACCAAGGGTTGTCACCTGATAAAAACACAGAGGTGTTATTGGAGCCTGGAGAGGCCACCACATGAGCGTCAATGTCACTGACACCAAGAGAGAAAACCATCTCTGCAATCAGGGGAGATAACTGTATAATTATCATCACCACTGCACCTGTTCCTTGTACTCATCCTTGAGACTGAGGTGTTTAATGGTGGAATATGATGACATGATAAGAAAACTAAAGGGAGCCACATGGATCATACGTGCTGTGAGACCTTTAGTAAAGATTCCTAGTCCTTCTTCCTGCCATGTCCTTCTTAGTGTTTCCTTAAAACTGGAACGTCCAACCTACATCACAACAATGAAAAACACTGAGATGATTGAATTACAGGGGTATACATCAAACTGTTTCCTAAACAAGTTTTGCTTCATTTTTTGTTATTGTGTTACCAGAACAAGTGGGAAGTTATTTCTAATGACTTAAACACATAAGAGTTTTTGAAATGAGTGGCACGAACATTTAAATCACAAATAACATTTGAACTGAAAACTTCTAACAAGAAAAAATGCTTTGCTATGTCATGTCTAACATCCTAGTCTCATTCAACCAGACACTTGTTAAATTGCAATTTCATGTACAGGCAACAAGAGTCTGGTCGAATGAGACTGCTGATGCCCAGGAACTGATGGATAAATGGTGTTCCAAAATGAACTGTCTTGGAAGTAAAATGCATTTTTTTTAACTGGTAGGTCAAATGAGTTAGTTACTCTGAGTAGCCAGACTAATACTTGACCCTGGAAAGATAAGCGAGATGATCTACGCATGCTGCATCAAGACACCAGAGGAACGACACGGGGGATGTTGTAGTTTATCTCATATCATACACCTGTCGAGTCAATTGAATCCACAAGTGGAAATATGTGTACAATCTGATTACAGAGGGAGGGGAGATAACTACATATATTTACGATATCTAACTGCTTTGAAATAATTACCTGCATTCTGACACGCACTAATTCCATGGAGTTTGTTATTGTGACAGTGGTTAAACCAGACAGAAATGCAGAAAAGCCGTCGAGCAAGATCTGTGGTACCCAGCTTGGACTGACTGGGACAAGGATATCTATAAATAGTAACACAAAGTAAACTAGATTTAACTTAATACAGAAATCTATAAATAGTAACATAGATTACAGTTCACTGAACTAATAACAGACACCTATAAATAGCAACACATCTGAGTTCATCGTTCTATGAACAGACACTTTGATCTGAGGTCTCAATACCGAAGCTAGTGGCTACATATCTGAACAACATACAGAAGGTCTTTTGAATACTATATATAGTAATATGGGTTTAGTGTCATGCCAATGAGTAGGCCAACACCCTATCAACTGATCTATTGTAATAATTCTGTGTAGGAGAAATTCATTTTTGGTTGAGCTTAGAAATACACTTAGAAGTTCCTTTAATCTTGACTTACGAGCATAAATTTCATTAAAAGGCCACCAGAGGGAGCTGCCCAATCCATATACTCCGAGGGAAATGAAGTACCCGCGGTAGAAGCCACGGAGGCCCTCTTTCCGGTACACTTCCGAGATAATGGCTTTCACAACATCAATCTTCCTATACCTTCCCTAAAACACAAAATGATTCACATGTAGCTTTACATAAAACATGGAGTATCTTGAAAATCATACAGTATGTAATTTCTAATTTCAAACACAAAATGATTCCAACACATCATTATGTATCATTAATTTAAATATGTAAAACACAAAGTGACATTTCATCTCTACAGCATTTTTAACAATAACAGTTTTTGCCAGAACGATGATTATATCAATTGCTGTACGTGGAATATCTAAAACAAATATTTGTTTATCTTGGTCTTTTTAGAATATTCAATTACTACCAGAGCTTCTGTTTAAAGCTATAGGCTTGTCAAATTAAAGAATTCAGAGGTTACCCTTTTTTTCTCTCTTGTTCTATTTTAATATTTTTCAGTAAATACATTCAAAATAGGCAGAAGGACCCAATTTTATCTGTTTAAAAGATACTTCAGGACAAGAGTATCTGTCCTTAAGGACACAATTTTATCTGTTTAAGAGATACTTAAGGACTAGAGTATCTGTCCTTAAGGACCCAATTTTATCTGTTTAACAGATACTTAAGGACTAGAGTATCTGTCCTTAAGGACCCAATTTTATCTGTTTAACAGATACTTAAGGACTAGAGTATCTGTCCTTAAGGACCCAATTTTATCTGTTTAACAGATACTTAAGGACTAGAGTATCTGTCCTTAAGGACCCAATTTTATCTGTTTAACAGATACTTAAGGACTAGAGTATCTGTCCTTAAGGACCCAATTTTATCTGTTTCAGAGATACTTCAGGACTAGAGTATCTGTCCTTAAGGACACAATTTTATCTGTTTAACAGATACTTAAGGACTAGAGTATCTGTCAATAACTGACATGTGGTATATTACAGGTACATGCCAACTTACCTCATCTGGTATATGGATTCCTTGTAAACGCTCTAGTTTCACTTTCACTTTGACTGGCACTGGTTCAGTTTGGTGTTTACTCTGGCCAAGTAACATCATGTGTTGGGACACTATATCAATAGGCACAGCAACAGTCTGAGAAAATAAGCTAGCAGAAAATCCTCCTATAAAGCTACTCAGGTAACTTTTGTATCTAAATGTGTGTAATTCCTCGCGGTTCATCATAAACTGTCGGACGTTCTCATACACAGTGATGTAAATCAGGGAATTACAAGCTTGTATAGCATGAACACCAAATCCACGATACAGACCTCGGATTCCTTCTGTAGCACGGATTTTTACCAGCGCGTCGAACGTTCCTTTGTATACATCCTTCCCACGCTGCACCTGTAACCTCGTTCTGACTAAAGTCAGAGGGTACTGTATGAAACGCACAAGAAGCCCACTGCCAAGAGCTAATGGGTAGTATTTGGTCTTATTCATCATATCCAGTTGGATAATCTGCGACTTTCGTCTAACCTCAGACTCTGCCATCATTGTCGATGACAATTGCTTCCAGTCTAGTTTAAAGAGTCCCTGTTGAGGTCACCTGTTATACTGTCTATAAAGTTAAAATTTTGAAAACATTATTTTTAAAGAATTTACAATCACATCTAACATTAACTAAAATAACTCCTAGAGACAATTTGAGTTCATACTTCTATTTTTCATCAAATGGACTATTTTCAACTTTTTTGTTTCCATTTTTCAAGTCATCACAAATGCTCAGTAAACATAATTCATTATGACATATATGCATGTATTTTTCCTAACTGGCTGCTAGATTTACAGATTGTACATATTATAAAAAAATTGCATTTAGCTGCGTACTACAAGTTCTCAAAATCTCCAGTAGAAATCTCCATCTGTAAGGGGTCATCATTCATCTGTGATCCATAATGATTCTAAAAATAATGGAAAAAAAATTTCATTACTTGATTTTTCACATTACTTATACCAAATAACATTTAACTTGTTTCCTCACATCCTCTGCATCCTTGGAACATTTCATGGCAACACTGAAGGATCCATGTGTGACATCTTGTGGATAAGACGACAAGTTTGATCCTCAGATGTACATCACATGAATCTCAAACTTGCAAATTAGTGTCTCACCTTTGTAATCTTCAAAGAAGTGTATCAGTCTGTGATTGGTCAGTTTTTTTTTCTCCTGGAACCCACTCTAGACCAATCAATTTACTTCCAGTGTGTCTTCAATTTTGCCATGAAAGGTTCCAGAGTGCAGAGAGTGAAAGTGATCGTAACCTCTGGAGTATTGAGGATGGTTCCAGGGAAACAAAGAGCAAAAGTGATTGTAACCTCTGGAGTATTGAGGATGGTTCTAGGGGTACAGAGAGTGAAAGTGAATGTAACTCCTGGAGTATTGAGGATGGTTCCAGGGGTACAGAGAGTGAAAGTGATTGTAACCCCTGGAGTATTGAGGATGGTTCCAGGGGTACAGAGAGTGAAAGTGATTGTAACCCCTAGAGTATTGAGGATGGTTCCAGGGGTACAGAGAGTGAAAGTGATTGTAACTCCTGGAGTATTGAGGATGGTTCCAGGGGTATAGAGAGTGAAAGTGATTGTAACCCATGGAGTATTGAGGATGGTTCCAGGGGTACAGAGAGTGAACGTGATTGTAACCCCTGGAGTATTGAGGATGGTTCCAGGGGTACAGTGAGTGAAAGTGATTGTAACCCCTGGAGTATTGAGGATGGTTCTGGGGGTACAGAGAGTGAAAGTGATTGTAACTCCTGGAGTATTGAGGATGGTTCCAGGGGTACAGAGAGTGAAAGTGATTGTAACCTCTGGAGTATTGAGGATGGTTTCGGGGGTACAGAGAGTGAAAGTGATTGTAACTCCTGGAGTATTGAGGATGGTTCCAGGGGTACAGAGAGTGAAAGTGATTGTAACTCCTGGAGTATTGAGGATTGGCAGTTCAAGTCAGAATTACAAACAGAAAATTATAAACCAACCACATACTTATAAAGGTACATTAGCTTCAATAAATGACTTTTTCGTGGTACTCATACCCAAAGCAGACGTTTGACTTAACAACATCATCTTTGTATGTGCAAACTGAAATATGCATGACGCACATGACATGTTAAGATATCCTGATTATTGGGAAAGCAATTTAACACTCTAAATGGTGACGAGATGTGTAACTATTTCACAATAGCAGCAGTGAAACACTTTTGTCCTACAGCCTGGTACAGGGTTTTCCATAATTTTGTTAGTAGTAGGCTGTGTAGTGAAAGTAGGAGGCTGGCCTGCCGTGTAAGTGTAGTCGTGTACAGAACATTATTACGGAACTGGATTGGTGTAGGCGGCCAAATGATCATAATACCCATACACAGAGTTGCGCATAAACCATTTAGAGTGCATTACAGGGCTCTCACACCCCATTTTGGGACTGGGGCACGGGGCCCTTAGAATAGGGAAAAATTATGGTGTTTTCCTTAGAATTGGGAAAACTTGGGGTCTAACTTGGGAAAAAAAGATACTATTTGGCATTGGGAATGGGGCCGAATATCGGTCCCAAATCTGGCAGATCGAGAGCCCCGCATTATTTCAACTCGACATTTGAAATTCCCACGCTTGTAACTTTCCTTAAACCGGAAAACCCAAGGCCCTAGATTGTAACATCTAAGTATCCGGATATCGCCTCGGTCGTGTTACACAATAAAAGCCGATTCAAAAATATATTGACCTAGTCAAAGGACGGTTACTAAATAAATACCTGGATTTACCAGTATCAGCATCTAAAGCGTCCCACTTTCAGATAGCAGATTTTCCACTTTTATATTTGACCTTTAAGTCTTTTTGAGGATTATAAAAACTAGACCGACAGGTTACACGTATTTTCAATAACAAACAACCAGCTGATCGGAGAACTGCTCGCTTCACATGTAGACAACAATTATGTTTTATCTTTATGATTTATATACGTACTGAATAAAATCTTAAGTTATCGGCGATTCATCAAATGGACGTCAACGGTTAAAATACTGCATATCCTACAACACTCTCGAAGTGAAATTCAGCCGACCCCTTTCACCGGTGAACCGGAAGTTTACTACCATCGGATTTAAAAAGTTGCCTCGCAGTAAATAAAAATTAACACGACAGAGTTAAATATACAACAAAATGACTATAATACCTTTAAGTGTCTTACAACAAAATTATTTTCAAATATTTTTGAAAGCCCAAAAAACATTATTAAATCGCTACTTCTTGATCATCAGGCACACGTGACAGGTTCACAGATGAAAATGGCGGAACAAGGTAAGTTGTTGATATGTCTGAGGAAATGCTGTATTACAAATCGGTTTGCTTGTCTTCTTAAAACTACGTTTGTGTGTTTTTGGTGATCCTTGGTATTATTTTCTGTAAACAAGACAACTGTCTTGGTCATCCACATTGTTTTTTGACAAAATTATATGGTTGATCTTGTCAATGAAGCGAGATACATGTTGGGTCAAAGTGCAGTCGTGGGCCGAATCGGCCGCGATAGCAAATTCACATTCAAAGTCAGATGTATCGTGTGCTTTAGAATTGTTTATTGAAGGTGACATTTCCTTATTTTCCACAATTTCACTTCGTTATGTCATCATATGAATTCATAACAGCTAAAAGGTTCATTACTGGTTGGTGTAGGTCATTGATGTGAATTTGGACGATTCGTCTTTCAATACACTTACTCATGTACAGATGCGTGTATTGGCAGACAAGGACAGTACCTGCGGATTATGCAGTGTTGGGAGTTGTCCGTGACTAGCCCCAATGCATGTGCCCGATTTATGACATTTATTTTGAGAATTCTCGTTATTTCAATACATAATTGTTTCGGTACTTACAAAATGGTTTATGTAGCCAGAATGCCATTTTGAATGAACAGTTTTTTCAGTAACGGAATGAGCAATATATATTAATGACAAAACACCTTCAAAAGCCCTGATTAGATACATTAATCAAAACATTTTTAAAGTACAGAAACAACTTATTTTGGAGGTACCAAAACAACCTAGTACCCAAATAGCTTGCCCCCAGTGAGTACTAGAGCACAATCGACATAAAAATGTAGAATGCAAATTGAAATTAAGTGCTTTTCCAACCAGCACAGGTTTTTTAATGATTGTCATTCATTCTCATGGCATTTTGTGATGACTGTCATTTTCAAAAATATTCTTTGAAATGTGATTATCTTCTAAGGGAATACAGAGCTCCATCAATAGTGATGTTTACACTCTGTTGCAGGGAAAATGGTTAGATGTATTCAATTCAATGGTAGTCCTGTTCTAAGTGTTCAGTATGTAAAGTGTTTGGTTGTTATTTATCAATCTCTAACAAGAGTTGTCTTTCCTTACATTTATATCCCAGTCTGGTTATGGGTTGTTTTGTGTCTATCGACAAGACTGTCTAAAGTATACACTATTCCTATGAATGAAGTCTTAATCTCTCTCTTTTGTTATCAGGCTTCACAGAGCTGAAACAGAGCATCACTATAGAGGGCAAGAACTTCTCTTTCTTCAACCTTACTGCGCTGAACGACAGTCGCTATGGTAACCTCACGTCACCAGCTCCTGCTAAATGAAAAGTTTCATTGTTTGTTGACATTTATATAATGAAGAAATGAATTTTTTAAACATAAAAGTAACATTAATGAATACTTCCAGGAAAATAAATTTTATTTTAATAAAAAATCGAGTATTTTTATGTAATGTTGCGAAGGTTGTTTCAGGTGATATTAGTACTGTGTAGAAATCTTTGCTTTACGCATTGTTATGTTTCAGAAAAACTGCCATATTCTATAAGAGTGTTGCTGGAGTCTGCCATCCGAAACTGTGATGGTTTCCAGATCAAGCGTGTTGATGTGGACAATATCCTCAACTGGGAGGAAAATCAGGGGAAAAATGTTGAAATACCTTTCAAGCCCTCCCGGGTAATACTGCAAGACTTCACGTAAGTGTTTCAAGGTTAATGTCACACGGTCCATGGTCACGGTGAAGGATTTCAACTAAGTTATGCAGATTAAGGCCTCGTACTTTCCAAGGTGAAAGAAAAAGCTGACTTCTATGTGTGCTTTCCAGACTTGTTATATACTCAACACATTTGAAAAACACTCATGCAATGTAAAAAAAAAGACTTGCAAATATGAAAGATTTTTTTGTCTCCTTTGAAAAATAGAAATAAAAGATAGAGACAAAAACATTATTTTTTAAAATTATGACATTTTTTTATCAAAAACAGGAATAAGACTAAACATTGGACATTGATGTTATGGACACAACAATGGTAACAATAACTTCATCCTACTGAAACTGCACTTACAGACAAAAATAAATGTGTTCCCCAAAACCTGTAAAAATTCCCGATGGTAGGGAGGCAAAAAAAAATTCATTTAAAGAAATAATTTCATATGGAGAGGGATCTGGACTATAACAGTACTTCTTTGAAAATTGTCTCAAAAAGTTCAAGGTTGGCATGAAGTATTAGTGTTAGTAGGTTAACTGGAAACAGGCACATTTATTAATACTGTTCTTATTTTTTGTCTTACTTTTAGTGAGAAGTTTTTTGATTTAAAAAGAAAGATGAGAAGACGTGATAATGCCTATATATATCATCATATTAAGCCACTATAAGTCCTGTTTTATAGCAAAGTATACAGAGAAACAAAAATCGTATAAACTGGTCATAGACAAATTGATTGATAAAACTTCTTATAGGCTAGCTTACAAATATTGACTTAATTAATCAAAGTTCCTGTGAAAAGCAACCCTCCACTCACAGGATACAGACAGAAAAGTCATTTACCTCTACATAGACAGTAGTTATCCAGCTGTGTGATTGAAGTAGCTCCCCTCCAATAAACTTAAACAGATATTCAATGTAATAGAAAATGACTGGCATCATTTTTAAGGTATATTAACTAAATGTAGCCTTCTTGAAAGATTGGAATGATGTTGTTTGAATTCAGAGTAGAAAAAGATTCCAGGGTGATGTTTGACTGACATGTGACTATGTTACAGAGGTGTACCTGCTGTAGTGACATGTGACTTTGTTACAGAGGTGTACCTGCTGTAGTGATTGACATGTGACTTTGTTACAGAGGTGTACCTGCTGTAGTGATTGACATGTGACTTTGTTACAGAGGTGTACCTGCTGTAGTGATTGACATGTGACTTTGTTACAGAGGTGTACCTGCTGTAGTGACATGTGACTTTGTTACAGAGGTGTACCTGCTGTAGTGACATGTGACTTTGTTACAGAGGTGTACCTGCTGTAGTGATTGACATGTGACTTTGTTACAGAGGTGTACCTGCTGTAGTGACATGTGACTATGTTACAGAGGTGTACCTGCTGTAGTGACATGTGACTTTGTTACAGAGGTGTACCTGCTGTAGTGACATGTGACTTTGTTACAGAGGTGTACCTGCTGTAGTGATTGACATGTGACTTTGTTACAGAGGTGTACCTGCTGTAGTGACATGTGACTTTGTTACAGAGGTGTACCTGCTGTAGTGACATGTGACTTTGTTACAGAGGTGTACCTGCTGTGGTGGACTTTGCAGCGATGCGTGATGCTGTCAAGCGACTGGATGGTGATCCCAACAAGATCAACCCTGTGTGTCCAGTGGATCTAGTTATTGACCATTCAATACAGGTGGATGTGGCACGCAGGTGAGTCATTTAACATTCGATCAAACACTTCTTTTCCTGAAGAAAATCTTTAGATTTTGACCAAATTTGGTATGAGCTGTTGTCTGAGGCGTATGTGAACCTTTAGTGACGAGGAACAATAAGGGTTTATGAGTATATCTTTAAAATCCATTACTGATAAACATGGAATACTTGTATCAAACCAAGGTTGAGGATCGAGCTCTAGGTATTTTTACTTGTGATGGGAAAAGACTGAGGTGTTGTGTATAAACTCTGTATCAGCAGGATCATCTCAATGTTTCAGGTAGGATTCTTTAAGTTGCTAGGTAACAGGATCTAGCTGTTTATGGAATCATGTTTAAGTTTGACTTTTTGCTTTTAAAACAAAACTTGAAATATAAGCATGTTTAGCTATCCCAACAGACATCTCATATTCTGAACTTCGCATATAGTTTAACATTAACTGGTCCTGGTCATTTAAGTGCACAGTCTTTCATATTTGGCATTATTTCTTGATATATAGTCTTCTTGCAGATTCTGAATTCCACTAGTCATTGTACTGCTAACTGTTATTTTCTTAATAAATAAATGTAATACATACAACATATTTGTTTAATCCTGATGGAAACAGGGACACATGAGATAATATTTATTTTTTTATTTACCTCCACCATAACGTAAGGGGCATCAAGCAAACTTTTGATGTTTTTTTGAAAATATTTTTTGAAAATTAAAATGTAGGTTTTAGGTTGTTATGTACAGATCTTGGGTCTTTAAAATAACTTTTGGTCTGGTTTCTCTTGTAGTTTGTTGAATTCTCCCAACCCTGGTGGAGGTCAAAGTTCGTGTAAAAGGTCAGGGTCTGCCTCTTGTTCGCAGTGTTCCTTTCTAAAAAGCCAGCCATATACTTGTCCTGGACTGCAGAGAGCAGGGTCAGTACAATAGATGATCTCACTTTCCTACCTCTAAAAGATGAGCTGAAAAATATCTTGTATAGAACTTGCTGCAAATTATCATATTTTTGTTGAGCTTTTCATGGAAATTTAGCAAACCTACAATTTTTGAAACTTAAATAGAATGAATAGAAGTTTGATAATTTTTTTTATTTATGAAGATTTTGTTAAAAAAGCAAAACAGCAAAGACAAGAATTTCAAAATCTCTCTTGATTCAGCAACTATAGAGTTTAGTTTAATACTTGCTTGACATCAAATAAAAGTTAACATTTATTTATTATTTATAATTAATTTTTTTTCCTCATGGCTGGAAGCTATGACCCTTGACTTTTAAATGTGACCCTTTACCTCAAATTCACAAGCTGTGACCCTTGACCTATGTCTTTGACCTTCAACTTTTCTCAAATAGCAACTTCATTCACCAACAAAATTTTAACATTTACTTTACTGTAAAGCAACTTAATTTCACAATTTCTGAGCCACAGAAACTTCTCAGCAGTAAAGATCACATGGAGTGATGTTGTTAGGAACAATACAAATATGCCCAGAATTTTAGCCCTTCAGAAGTAAAATTTCACCAGCTTGTACTGAAGCAATCGTAGTGAAACTGGTTATCCCTTGCCTGTGGTGGTCAATTACTCTTCTTAACAATGAACTTATGTAACCCAGACTGAATTATTCTGTTGTAGCAGTGTATAGATTTATTCATAGTATCACCCTGCATCTTTGTCGTGTTAGGATGGTTTGCAGAAAATCATTCTTATCTTGCAATTTGTGACAGTAATTCACTTATGAAAGAAATTTTTCCTGCAGTATTGTATTACTGTTTATGAAGAAAAGTAACTGTTTGTTTACCAAAGGCATAAACAACTTCTGCATGGTTACTGCCTGGAACCATCACATGTTACAGCAGGGGTAGGGCTTTTTATAGTGTAGTGAATTAGTCTGTGGTAAAATCAGTATTTACAGAACAATTATAGACAGGCTTATTACCAGTCTATTGTCAGATAATGTTATGAATCCTGTATATATCATTAAGTGAAACTTTGTTTTGGGTTGTAGTGTGGAAGCTTTAGAAAAGAACCAGGAACTAGAGTTTGAGAGAAACAAGGAACGCTTTGTGTTTCTGAAGGTGAGAATGAAGAGACAAGAATCATTAAATGTAGACAATAGTTATAAAAGATATAGAGGCCTGTTTCCTTGAGGATCAGAATTATTTTTGTGTATGTAAATATTTGGCCCACCTAAAAATACTGAGGCATAGTTTTAATCATCAGTCATTTTTTTACCAAAACCTTTTGATAAAATATAGCCATATACTATAGATATTTGACCGGCTACTTTGATCATTTGGCCGCCTACACCAATCCAGTTCCGTAATAATGTTCCGTTCATGACTACACGTACACGGCAGGCCAGCCTCCTACTTTCACTACACAGCCTACTACTAAAAATATTATGGAAAACCCTACATAATATTGGGAAATTCACATAATATTTAGTTTACCAATTAAAATTTCCTCTCCAATTGATCTTCCTTTCCCCACATATGAAATGAAAAGTACCCAAATGAATGATAAAGGTCGTTATAGTTGAAAATGAATGGCTGTTAATCTGCTGTACGGTTTGATTTTTCAGTGGGGAGCTAAAGCATTACAGAACATGATGATTGTCCCCCCTGGTTCTGGAATCGTCCACCAGGTGAACTTGGAATATTTGGCAAAAGTGGTGTTTGACTCTAACGATATTCTATATCCTGACAGTCTGGTTGGTACCGATTCTCACACCACAATGATCAACGGGCTCGGTGTGGTCGGCTGGGGTACGTATCCAGTTGTATTTGTGTGTAAAAGTAACAAAAACATGTATGAATGTCATTGTAATACAAGTTGTATTGATGGCTTCTGTCAGCATCTAGGTTTCAACACTTTAGGCTCCAAGCATCACTGATGAGTCCTAGAAGGTTGAAACAGCTTAATGATTCAGCATCACTGATGAGTCCTAGAAGGTTGAAACAGCAGTATGATACAGCATCACTGACAAGTCCTAGACGGTTGAAACAGCTGTATGATACAGCATCACTGACGAGTCCTAGAAGGTTGAAACAGCTGTATGATATAGCATCACTGACGAGTCCTAGAAGATTGAAACAGCTGTATGATACAGCATCATTGACGAGTCCTAGAAGGTTGAAACAGCTGTATGATACAGCATCATTGACGAGTCCTAGAAGGTTGAAACAGCTGAATGATATAGCATCATTGACGAGTCCTAGAAGGTTGAAACAGCTGTATGATACAGCATCACTGACGAGTCCTAGAAGGTTGAAACAGCTGTATGATACAGTTCAATTCAGTATTTGACTCCACTTTATCTAACTCTAAATTTATATTTCCAGGTGCTAATCACTTGTATCTCTTTTGAAATCATTTCCTTTCAAACTGAGTGGTTCGTCTGTGTTTAATCAGAGACATCAAAGGGATGGCAGCTGAAAGGGTCAATTTGGTTGTTTGACCAGAAGGTGTGAGCTTACCACCCCCAAAGTGCTAAGTGGTATGGCATCCATTGTCCAGCAACTTTTCCATTTTAATGACTTCTCCATGACCAATAGACCAAATGTCATCATATTTGGCTCAGGTCTTTGGGATGATGCCCAACACATTTGCATAAAGAAATCACCATGACTCTCATTCAAGATTATAGAGGTTGAATTTGTTAAAACCTCTAAACAAGTTCTTCTGACAACCAAATGGTGCAGAAGTATGGAAATTGACTTACAGGTACAGGGCTCTCACACCCCATTTCGGGACTGGGGCCTTAGAATTGGGAAAAAGAGCTGTGTTTTCCTTAGAATTGGGAAAACTTGGGGTCTAAATTGGGAAAAAAAAAGATACTATTTGGCATTGGGAATATTCGGCCCCAAATCTGGCAGTTCGAGAGCCCTGAGGTATGAAGGATGACGCCTGACATTGTTTGTGAAAAGAAATGACCTTCACCCATGTTAAGGTTATAGGGATCAAACATGTTTGTCTGTAAAAGACTTCTTGTAAGTCAATGAAGCAGGATATTTTGTGGAAAGGTATTTCTAGGTCAAAGCCAAAAAAAAAATTTTGAGAGAAAAAAGAATAATCCAGGTAATAAGTGTTTAGAGTTGATTGGATGTCAAACATTGAATGCCACTTGTGTACATGTTAATGTATTTTTGATCAACACTAAGTCTTTCTTCGATGAACATGGAATATCAGGTGAGCGACTTTTTAACTGAGTAGTCAGTCTGTGTTTAATCTCAGGCATTGTAGAAATTATGGCTGAAGTGGTCAGTCTGGTTCTGTGATTGGTCAGTCTTTATATCATCACAGGTGTCGGAGGGATCAAGGCTGAAGTGGTCAGTCTGGTTCTGTGGTTGGTCAGTCTATATATCATTACAGGTGTCGGAGGGATCGAGGCTGAAGCAGTCATGTTAGGACAGGCCATTAGTATGGTGCTACCACAGGTTGTTGGGTACAAATTGACTGGAGTGGTCAACCCTCTGGTCACTTCCACAGACGTTGTGCTGACAATTACTAAGGTAGGATCATTTTCTTATATTTAAACCAAACAGAAAATCTGCATTCTCTAATGCATTCATACTTCTAATTTGATGAAGCATTGTTCTGATTACAATTGCAGATGTTAACTGACAACTGCTTTCCTTTTTTTTTATGTGTCTTGCGTACGTTAAGACAGACAAGTTGTTGACATCAATGACTTGCTTCAGATAATTCATGTATACAGATAATTTCTGCCTTTAGTATCAGTGCAGTTTCATCACCGAGGAGAAATAGCTTGTTGGGGGCTTAGATATGAAACAACTGTGTACTGTTTAACTGAATACATTAGAAATCTTTTCATTCTTCTAGAACTTGAGACAGATTGGTGTGGTTGGAAAATTTGTGGAGTTTTTTGGCCCTGGTGTTGAACATCTCTCGATTGCTGACCGTGCTACTATCTCCAATATGTGTCCAGAGTATGGAGCCACCATTGGATTTTTCCCTGTGGACGGGAAAAGTCTAGAGTATTTACGTCAAACAGGTACAAGCTTGATGATGATGAGGTCACAAAAAATAAGACAGAACAAGATGTATATTAAATCAAATACTGACAAATCAGTAATTTTTGTGGATGATTAATCTTCGATGATATCGTGGGTACTCTATGATTTCATATCTCCATGAAATTTTAGAATAAGTATGATTTGATATTTTGAGCTGTCTATTTCTCAAATCAAACTTGAAAAACTATGAGAATCGAACCATATGAAAATATATGATTTTACAGGGAATATAAGAAAAATCTAGGGCTATTTTTTTCATTATAGAAATTTTGTGTCACTAAAGTTAAATTACCAATCAATTTTTTTTTGTTCAAGGTCGTCACAATGACAAGATACAACAGATAGAGAAATACCTCCATGCTGTCAATATGTTTCGTAACTATGGTGATTCATCCCAGGATCCTGTATTCTCACAGGTTTGTTTCTTTCCTTGATGCTGATACACTGAGGTGAAGTGTGTTTGCTAGTTCACACATTTTACCTCTTTATTTGTTTAGAGTAATCTGCCCTCAGATATCTGTGGTTAAGTGTGTTTGTTAAGGTAATCTCCCTTTATGTGTTTATCTTGATATACTTGATGGTTATTTAACTGGAATTCAACAAGTCCAGCAAATGTTTTGTCTTCAAATCATGGAAGATATTTGCTTATAAAGACTTGACTTAAAGTATCAATTTATGTATAGAATAGGTAATATTGTTTACCTGTTTGTGAATTTATCTCTACTGAGGATGTTCGGCCTATTGACCTATACCACCCTATTGTTTTTTGTCGCCGCCCAATATCCAATATGGCAGTTACGGGCGCCATCTTGAATTTGCGTTCCGCTCATTATCTCAAAACTGACAGCGCCAGTGGTCACCATTTTCACTGAGGATGTTGGGTCTATGGACCTACACAACCCTATTGTTTTTCGTCGTGGCCCGATATCCAATATGGTGGTTATGGGCGCCATCTTGAATTTGCGTCCCGCTCATTATCTCAAGAACGACATCACCAGCAATCAACATTTTCGCTGGGCATGTTGGGCCTATGGACCTACACAGCCTATTGAGGTTCTTCACAATCTCAGCCCTGCACCCAACTTTATAATAAGGCTGTGGGGTGTTGCCTGCGTTTGCGGAGCTATTTTTAGATATTCAAATCGCCCTACATCAGTGTTCCATGGTCCATTGTCTGTCTATCCATAAACAATCCTTGTTATTGTAATTTTTTGAGAAGAAATCTTGGATTTCACTTAGTAAAGTTTGTTATCGCTATTTCTTAGAAGTACTTAATGGATCTCTCTCAAATTTTATACATAGGTTTCCCTTGGTTCCAAGTTGTCCCCATTTGATATTGGGACTGAACAAGAAAAACAAAATGACTTCCAGGAAAACATTTTTTATCTAATATAAATACTATCATTATTATTGAAAAGAATTATTCAAATTTCTTATAATTAAGGGCAAAAACTTTGAAATGAAAAGAGAAGAAGAGAAAAGATCCAACCTGCAAATAACAAATACAGATCAAACAATATTGGATACCAAGATCCCTCTGGGAGCTCTTATCTTTATCAAACTGGATGAAGTCACCAAAATATTCCATCTGTTCAAAATCATTACAAATATTGTAAAATTCTCATTGTGAAAGATGGTATCATACAAATACTTATATACCAGCTTTCCCATAGCTATTTCAATAGTTGTGATTTTATATCGTTTTACTATCACACTGTGAGAGTGAAGACCACGTTTCATCTAGAAGAACTCAATAATTTTAGTTTGACATTCAATCAATTAAGATGACCTCTGACCTTTAACTTTTTCAGATTGTGGAGCTTGATCTTTCTACCATTGTATCCTGCTGTTCTGGTCCCAAGCGTCCCCATGACAAAGTGGCTGTGACTGACATGAAGACGGACTTCCAAGCATGCCTCAACAACAAAGTCGGCTTCAAGGTCAGGTCAAATTTGTCTTAATAACAAAGTCGGCTTCAAGGTCAGATTAAACTTGTCTTAACAACAAAGTCGGCTTCAAGGTCAGGTTAAACTTGTCTTAACAACAAAGTCAGCTTCAAGGTCAGGTTAAACTTGTCTTAACAACAAAGTTGGCTTCAAGGTCAGGTTAAACTTGTCTTAACAACAAAGTCGGCTTCAAGGTCAGGTTAAACTTGTCTTAACAACAAAGTCGGCTTCAAGGTCAGGTTAAACTTGTCTTAACAACAAAGTTGGCTTCAAGGTTAGGTTAAACTTGTCTTAACAACAACGTCGGCTTCAAGATCAGGTTAAACTTGTCTCCGTAAGGTCATAACTTGTCACCATATTGATACAAAGGCCATGTTCTTCAGGAAGATTATTGACTTGTGATGTTTTTCACTTCAATATTTCTCCTGATAGTATGAGGAGCAGAGTTGCTGTATTAAGTTTAGGTTGGAGTTTTGGTCTTGTTACTCATCAACATTTTTTTTTTTAATGATTTTAGGATAAGTAAGACTGGCTACAGGTGATCAGTGTTATTAATAAGATTTCCACTAAACTCAGTGTTGGAAGTGTTATAATGAAAAACAAAATCATTTTTCTGTCTTGTTTACTTAACAGGGATTTGCCATTCCTGGGGACCGCCAATCTGTCACTGCCCCAATTGTCTTTGACAACCAGGAATATTTATTGTCCCATGGGTCTGTTGTCATAGCAGCCATCACAAGCTGTACCAACACCAGTAATCCGTCAGTAATGTTAGGGGCGGGGCTACTGGCAAAGAAGGCAGTGGAGGCGGGGCTAAGTGTGAGTCCCTACATCAAGACAAGTCTGTCACCAGGCAGCGGAGTTGTGACATACTACCTTAGGGAGAGTGGGGTCACGCCTTATCTACAAAAACTGGGGTAAGTCGGAGGAATGGAAGGGTGGAATGAGGAAAGTGTCTCAGTTTAAAAGGAAAGAATATAGATTTATTGAGATGAGATAAGAAATTGTCATGACAGGAAATTTACCCTGGATAGGACCTTTGTAGATGGTGACAGAATGTAACATCAGAGATTTTACCCTGGATGGGACCTTTGTAGATGGTGACAGAATGTAACATCAGAGATTTTACCCTGGATGGGACCTTTGTAGAAGGTGACAGAATGTAACATCAGAGAATTTACCCTGGATGAGACCTTTGTAGAAGGTGACAGAATGTAACATCAGAGAATTTACCCTGGATGGGTCCTTTGTAGAAGGTGACAGAATGTAATATCAGAGAATTTACCCTGGATGGGACCTTTGTAGAAGGTGACATAATGTAATATCAGAGAATTTACCCTGGATGGGTCCTTTGTAGGTGACAGAATGTAACATCAGAGATTTTACCCTGGATGGGACCTTTGTAAAAGGTGACAGAATGTAACATCAGAGATTTTACCCTGGATGGGTCCTTTGTAGGTGACAGAATGTAACATCAGAGATTTTACCCTGGATGGGACCTTTGTAAAAGGTGACAGAATGTAACATCAGAGATTTTACCCTGGATGGGTCCTTTGTAGGTGACAGAATGTAACATCAGAGATTTTACCCTGGATGGGACCTTTGTAGAAGGTGACAGAATGTAACATCAGAGAATTTACCCTGGATGGGACCTTTGTAGATGGTGACAGAATGTAACATCATAGAATTTACCCTAGATAGGACCTTTGTAAAAGGTGACAGAATGTAACATCAGAGAATTTACCCTGGATGGGACCTTTGTAGATGGTGACAGAATGTAACATCATAGAATTTACCCTAGATAGGACCTTTGTAAAAGGTGACAGAATGTAACATCAGAGAATTTACCCTGGATGGGTCCTTTGTAGGTGACAGAATGTAACATCAGAGATTTTACCCTGGATGGGACCTTTGTAGAAGGTGACAGAATGTAACATCAGAGATTTTACCCTGGATGGGACCTTTGTAGAAGGTGACAGAATGTAACATCAGAGAATTTACCCTGGATGGGACCTTTGTAGATGGTGACAGAATGTAACATCAGAGAATTTACCCTGGATGGGTCCTTTGTAGGTGACAATGTAACATCAGAGGCTACAGAAAAGCTCTTCAGAATAGGATATTTGTAAAACCATTAGGCTATAAAGAATGTAAAGGGATGGTTTGTTTGCAGATTTGACATTGTGGGTTATGGCTGCATGACCTGTATTGGAAACAGTGGACCTCTACCAGAGCCTGTATCAGAGGCCATAGAAAAGGTGAGTCAGTCCTGATGTACTGGGAAATTATTATCTTATTTGTTCAGTCATTAAAAGTGTGCTTTTTTTTATCGTCAATTAGTGTACAGTATAGTAGATGGGGTAGTGTTCATTTATTTTCTTACATTATTCTTTTCTATAGCTATAATTTGTCTCTATTTCTCTGTGGAAACCTGCTGGTTACAAACATTCTCAAATAATACTTACTGGGCCAGCATCGAGATGTGATGCCTTATAGTAATCAGCTTGTCTGTCTGTCTGTGTCTGTCTTTCTGTCCATTTTTTGGTTTCTGAACAGTGTCTAGAATTCTGTTTGACAAGTGACATTCATACGTTATGCCTAGCCTCCTTGAAGGAAGTGCTTGCTAGGGGTATGTAGATTTTCTTCTCCCAAGGTCAAGGTCACTTGCTATATATAAGAAATCAGTGTCCATATGAAAACTAGAGTTTGTCTTGGCTGATCTAACTCAAATTTCATACAATACTTCATCACCAAAAGTGTTTGCTTGGGACATAACTTTTTATATCTGAAGACCTAAGGTGAAGGTCACTGTTATTTCAAATTAAAAAAAAAAAGATTGTTGAATGTATTTGTTGGTGTGTTTTTTCATAACAGTCTTTCTTTACTTTTTTGGCAGAGCATACTTAAGGTCTTGTCAGTAATTTGTCTGTCTTGGGTGTGGGTATCTAAGGTTGGGTTGGAGGGAGGAATTGGGGGATTTCCAGCCGCGTACTGAGGTCCTTTGTGACCTGTCAGTGTTCTAGTTACTGATTATATTTATTGAAGTTTCTAAACATTTATTTTTTTGGTAAGTTTTTTTCATTATCTGGTATATTTTTTGTCTTGTGTTTTTATGATATTGCTGTTATTATTTGTTTTATTGTTTCGTCAGAATGATTTAGTAGCATGTGGCGTGCTCTCAGGGAATCGTAACTTTGAAGGACGAATCCATCCCCTGACACGGGCTAATTACTTAGCTTCTCCGCCCCTTGTCATAGCCTACGCACTCGCTGGAACTGTTCTCGTGGACTTTGAAACACAGCCCTTAGGTAAGAAAAAAATCCAAGGCCCATAGTAATAAAGGTATTTTGTGAATAGTTCATGTTTCCAAACATATACATGGGGAGAAACATAAGCTTGGGGAGAAATTGATTTTGTTTACCGTGAGGTCAGGTTTAGGCTATGAGGAAAATATAGATATTGTGTATCACAAAAAAATAAAAATTAAGAAAGATCTTTTATTTGTTTTTTTTCTAAACGAATGTAGCAAAGAAATAGATTTTGAATAGGGTTGACTTAGAAACAGCCTATAAGGTAAAAATAGACTTTGGAATATATGGTGAACACATTCATGTGTAACAGAAGTTCAGATATACAGACCTAATGTAAATATTTAAAGTAGGAACAAATCATCAATGTCATACTCATTGTTGTAATGTTATCTGTCTTTTCTAGGAACTAATGGTGAAGGAAAAGATGTGTTTCTCAGGGATATCTGGCCGACAAGGGAAGAAATCCAGGTATGTTCTCTCCAGGTGTAGGTGATAAAGACAGAAGATAATATGTAGAGTTAATGATGAACACAGGGCAGTAGGGCTGTCTACAAGAATCAAAGGTCTATTGGCCTACCTGGCATCAGATACTGGAGGCCTACCTGTCCTCAGATACTGGTGGCCTACCTGTCCTCAGATACTAGTGGCCTACCTGTCCTCAGATACTGGTGGCCTACCTGTCCTACCTGTCCTCAGATACTAGTGGCCTACCTGGCCTCAGATACTAGTGGCCTACCTGTCCTCAGATACTGGTGGCCTACCTGGCCTCAGATACTAGTGGCCTACCTGTCCTACCTGGCCTCTGATACTAGTGGCCTACCTGTCCTCAGATACTGGTGGCCTACCTGTCCTACCTGGCCTCAGATACTAGTGGCCTACCTGGCCTCTGATACTAGTGGCCTGCCTGGCCTCAGATACTGTTGGCCTACCTGTCCTACCTGGCCTCAGATACTAGTGGCCTACCTGTCCTACCTGGCCTCTGATACTAGTGGCCTACCTGTCCTACCTGTCCTCAGATACTAGTGGCCTACCTGGCCTCAGATACTAGTGGCCTACCTGTCCTACCTGGCCTCTGATGCTAGTGGCCTGCCTGTCCTCAGATACTGGTGGCCTACCTGTCCTACCTGGCCTCTGATACTAGTGGCCTACCTGTCCTCTGATACTGGTGGCCTACCTGTCCTACCTGGCCTCAGATACTAGTGGCCTACCTGGCCTCTGATACTAGTGGCCTGCCTGGCCTCAGATACTGTTGGCCTACCTGTCCTACCTGGCCTCAGATACTAGTGGCCTACCTGTCCTACCTGGCCTCTGATACTAGTGGCCTACCTGTCCTACCTGGCCTCTGATGCTAGTGGCCTGCCTGACCTCAGATACTGGTGGCCTACCTGTCCTACCTGGCCTCAGATACTAGTGATCTACCTGTCCTACCTGGCCTCTGATGCTAGTGGCCTGCCTGACCTCAGATACTGGTGGCCTACCTGTCCTACCTGGCCTCTGATACTAGCCGAAGGCTCATGGTGACCTATTACCATCATGATTTGTCTATCATCGTGCGTCGTGCAATGTGCGTTGTTAACTTTTCACATATTCGACTTCTTCTCAAGAACCACTGAATGGATTTTGACCAAACTTGGCACAAAGCATCCCCATGGGAAGCCGCTTCAAGTTTGTGAAGAAAAAGGGTGTGGCCCCAATAGGGGCCGCAGGAGGGGGAATAAGGGGTAAAATTAGGTAAATCTTTAAAAATCCTCTTCTCATGAACCAACAGTCAGATTAAGTTCATATTTTATATTTAGGGTCCTTATGGCAAGGTCTACAAAGTTTGCGAATGAAAAAAAATTTGGGTCAAAAACGACTAGGGGGCACTCAAAAGGGTCGAAAATTTTGACTTTGATTTCAACCAAATTTGGTAGACAGCATCCCTTAGTGAAGGACATATGAAATTGTGTTGAAAAAAGTGATAATGTTCCCTTTGGGGTCCATAAGGGGTGTAAAAGGGGCCATATGTAAAAACCTTCATTAAAAGACTACTTCTCAAGAACCAGTGGATGGATTTTAACCAAACTTGGCACAAAGCATCCCCATGGGAAAGCTGCTTCAAGTTTGCAAACAAAAAGGGCGTGGCCCCAATAGGGGAAACTTGATACAAATGTTCTACACAAGGTCCTGGCAAGTGTTTTAACTTTTTGGGGCGATTCAAAATCCAAGATGGCCACCATGGCCTCTGTTTGGCTAAGACATTATGGACTTCCTCTCAAGAACCATTGGGTGGGTCATGTTCAAACTTGGTACAGATGTTTTACACATGGTCCTGCACAAGTGTTGTTACCTTTTTGCAACATTTTAAAATGCCCAGATTATTGACATATATTCCTCAGGTGACCGTTAAGGTCCCCTTAGGGCCTCATATTTGAATTTTATAATTGACAAATGTTTGTCATTATGCTTGGAAAAATGTATATGTGACAGGCAAATATTATAATTGAGGTAGAGAAGCAGTTTGAATATTTTTGACCAATGTTTGTTTGACAGGCGAATATATGATTACAAAAGGCGAATATTATAATTGACAAATGTTTGTTTGATAGGTGAATATTATGATTGACATTAAATGTTTGTTTGACAGGTGAATATTATAATTGACGTTAAATGTTTGTTTGACAGGCAAATATTATAATTGACAAATGTTTGTTTGACAGGCAAATATTATAATTGACAAATGCTTGTTTGACAGGCAAATATTATAATTGACAAATGCTTGTTTGACAGGCAAATATTATAATTGACAAATGCTTGTTTGACAGGCAAATATTATAATTGACAAATGTTTGTTTGACAGGCGAATATTATAATTGACGTTCAATGTTTGTTTGACAGGCGAATATTATGATTGATGTTAAATGTCTGTTTGACAGGCGAATATCATAATTGACGTTAAATGTTTGTTTGACAGGCGAACACTATGATTGACGTTAAATGTTTGTTTGACAGGCCAACATTATGATTGACATTAAATGTTTGACTGGCAAATATTATAATTGACAAATGCTTGTTTGACAGGCAAATATTATAATTGACAAATGTTTGTTTGACAGGCAAATATTATAATTGACAAATGCTTGTTTGACAGGCAAATATTATTATTGACAAATGTTTGTTTGACAGGCAAACACTATGATTGACGTTAAATGTTTGTTTGACTGGTGAATATTATAATTGACGTTAAATGTTTGTTTGACAGGCGAACATTATAATTGACGTTAAATGTTTGTTTGACTGGTGAATATTATAATTGACGTTAAATGTTTGTTTGACTGGTGAATATTATAATTGACGTTAAATGTCTGTTTGACAGGCGAACACTATGATTGATGTTAAATGTTTGTTTGACAGGCGAACACTATGATTGACGTTAAATGTTTGTTTGACTGGTGAATATTATAATTGACGTTAAATGTCTGTTTGACAGGCGAACACTATGATTGACGTTAAATGTTTGTTTGACTGGTGAATATTATAATTGACAAATGTTTGTTTGACAGGCGAATATTATAATTGACGTTAAATGTCTGTTTGACAGGCGAACACTATGATTGACGTTAAATGTTTGTTTGACAGGCGAACATTATAATTGACGTTAAATGTTTGTTTGACAGGCGAACATTATAATTGACGTTAAATGTTTGTTTGACAGGAGGTAGAGAAGCAGTTTGTTGTTCCTGCCATGTTTACAGATGTCTACTCAAGAATCACAGTGAGTATTTTCTTTGTTTATTGGGTTATTGCTCTGTGAACAACATCAGGAAGGCCCATCACGTCCTGGCCAGAGTAATAACAAGCCTAAGGACACCACCACAACAGAACAGAGATTAGACGGGCGATTTAGGATGGGGAAGGGCTTTCTGCAAAATGTTCAGGATTTCGTTTTTTTTTTAATGAAGTAAAAAGAATATGTGAGAAAAGCAATATCTGTAGAATAAGAATGAAGATAGAAGTGTTATTTCAATATGTTGATTTGAGTTATGATATATAGGAGGAACCTTAGTAGATATTTTATTTCCTTTTTAAAAAATCTATGAAGGCTTCAATGTATCATTTTTGACAGGCTGGTAACAAAAGATGGAATAGTCTTGAAGCCCCATCAGATATCTTGTATCCATGGGACCCGAAATCCACCTACATCAAATCTCCGCCGTTCTTTGAGACTATGGTAAGTGGGTTGGTGTGATTATGGTAAGTGGGTTGGTGTGATTATGGTATGTGGATTCCATAGAGTGAACCATGCCTATATAACATAGTGTGATATTTTACTGTGAATTCAGGGAAACATTCAGATTATTCTTGTATTGAGTGGAGACTTGCTAAAATCTTTTCCTAAAACTGAGATCTTCATGTATTGTGTGGAGACTTGCTAAAATCTGCTACAAAAACTGAGATCTTCATGTATTGAGTGGAGACTTGCTAAAATCTGCTACGAAAACTGAGATCTTCATGTATTGAGTGGAGACTTGCTAAAATCTGCTACGAAAACTGAGATCTTCATGTATTGAGTGGAGTATTGCTAAAATCTTTTACTAAAATTTCAGATGCCTATATTTACACCACACATTTTCTCCTACATTTTTCTATGGTTTAAAAATACATTAAGTTGTAATAGTGAATTTATTACACTAGAATGATACTCACTGTGTCAGATATATGGAAACAGAATGATAAAGTTTTGTGGAATGGTAACACTGTTGACCACATTGTAATGGCCTATGAGTTTCTTTTCTCTGAATAAGTCAGATAGATTTTCTCTTCAGAAAACCAAATGGAAAAAAAACTAGAATTGGGGGCGAAATACAAACTTTTTTTTGCCTCCAAAACAGCATGGTCTTAACAGTGAAAAAATTCATACATGCTTATGATACATTTCTCCCTCCTCAGACAAAAGAGTTACCCTCCCAGACAGGATTGAAAGATGCATTTGTGCTTCTAAACCTTGGAGACTCTGTTACCACAGATCATATTTCACCTGCAGGGAGTATCGCCCGAAACAGTTCTGCTGCTCGCTACCTTGGGTCTCGAGGGTAAGTTTTTTTAGATGTTGCAAGTAATAAATACGCTATAGCCTCAAGGCAGCCTTGAGAAGGTAGCCAACATCAAGGTCTTTTATACAATGATTTTAAATGGCAACATAATACTCTGATATTATCTGTAATGCAAGATTTTTGTGACTGTGAACAGATTATCAGTTTTTTTATCTCTGTCAGTTAGAGAAAACCTAGAAGAAACTTGGTATGTATACATATTAATTTCTATCAAATGGACTTCAGTGATTTAAGGTTTTACACTAGATATTCCCACAGCGGGTCTAATATCTCTGATAAATGTGTCACTCTCATTGGTTTTTGTGTGGAAAGGTTTCTCCTCATTATCAAACATTTAAGTTATATATCTTCCTGGTGACAGATTGACCCCAAGACAGTTCAACTCCTACGGGTCTAGACGTGGAAATGATGCTGTGATGACACGTGGAACTTTTGCTAACATCAGATTGGTTAATAAATTTGTGTCTAAACCGGGACCAAGGACTGTTTATCTACCCAATGGAGAGGAGGTAAATTTTTCATTTTCTAACTTTAACATTCGGTCATTTTTCGTGAAATATTATTTTCTGATAAGATGGATGATCAAATGTCTGATAAATCAGTCTGTTAAGTTTGCTATATCTCTCAGTCGAAGTATGTGTTTGCTGATACAAGTATTAACTTCCATCGATATATGTGTTGGACATGTGAAATTAAGAAGCGGATGTAACAGTGTTGTGTTAGATGTCCACAAAGTGTAAATGAATTGATTTTTAGAAATGAAAATTTTATTTGAAACATTTGATTTGAATCCTCCATAATTGCTTTATTTTAGATGGACATCTTTGAAGCAGCAGAGCGGTATCGCAATGAAGAACAGCAAGTGATTGTGTTGGCTGGGAAGGATTACGGATCAGGATCATCGCGAGATTGGGCTGCTAAAGGTCCCTGGATGTTGGTATGTATAGAGTTATCTCCCCTTAGTTTATAACTCTGACAGCTGTGATATATCATTGTCCCATCATTTGACACGGATATTATATAATCATTGCAGAACTTGGGTTTAAACCATCCCTGTAACCCTGTGAAGAAGAGAAATAAAAAAGGACACATTTTTTTCAGGAGTTTCAATCAAACTACACAGAAGATTTTAATCTTCTGGGCTTCAGGATGACATCTAGTGGAAAACGGGTCTTAAAAACTAAAAATTATTTTTTAAAATTTAAAAAAAAAATGGATGAGTTAATAAAAAATTAAAAATTGTCAGTTCTAGTAACATTAACACTATGTAAACTGTGTCCTGCCTCTAAAGCCAAAACATGTGCACAACCAGCTGTAAATAATGTATAAACAAATTGGATAAAATTTTCTGTGTTTTCAGGGCATCAAGGCTGTGATAGCAGAGAGCTATGAAAGGATTCACCGTAGTAATCTTGTTGGTATGGGAATCATTCCATTCCAGTACCTGCCCGGCCAGAATGCCGAGAGTCTCGGTCTGACTGGGAAGGAACGCTTCACTGTCGATCTCCCTACAGACATTACGGCTGGCCAGGTCATGTCAGTAAAGGTGAGTCTACAGTTAACAGCTGGTACAGGTAATGTGAGTCAGTTATAACTCTTTCAATCTGTATCTGTCACATTTGGTACAAAATCTGTCTCTGTTTTTTACTAGAGACTGTTAACAGAATATGAATGTCATTTTAGAATTTGAATATAGAATTGTAAAGGGTTTTTTTTATTTTGAACAGAGTTTGTTTCCAATCCTACTAAATAATTTGCTGCATTCCACTATCAAACATACAGTCCAGGGTCAAGTAGATGTTTGCTGTCTACCTTGATTGAACATGTATTTTGACTGTTGTGCTTTAAAGCTTTTAAGTGATCAATTATGCTAAAGTTGTTCTTGTTTTTGGATTGTAGTTGAATGATGGACGTACTTTTGAAGTTTGTTGTCGATTCGACACAGATGTGGAATTGGCCTACTTTAGACACGGAGGTATCCTTAACTACATGATACGACAGATGTTGTAACTACGCCGATTATTACCTAGGTTTCCATGGTGATGTGCTATAGAATGACTGGATGTCAAAAGCAATAACTGAGAAACACAGTAACCACTGTTGTCATGGGTACCATAGTTGTCTTAATGAAATTTAGACTTGTGACCATGGCAACAATAGGGATTGTGTTTATAAAGACAATGTGATAAAGATAGAATTTTTTTTTTGTAGAGAAATTTATTTGTGTATAATTTTTGTAAGAGAGTGAGAGAAATTTAAACAAGTTTTCAGGTATAAAACAACCTTGTTTTTCATGTGAAGGTGTTGAATGATTGCGAGTTCATGTGATTCTTCCACCACTACAGCTGGTGATGTTTATAAAAAACTGTTAAAAAGGAAATTAGTGGATCGTGTTGAAAGGTTTATTGATATTTTTCTGACAGATTTAATTGTCTATATAATATAGCATTACCCTTCCTTAACAAATTTGGACTGGTCCAGTACTACCCCTATGATAATTTTGGACTCATCCAGTCCTTAACAAAATTGGACTGATGCTATACTACCTCTTTAGTGATTTAGGACTGGTCCAGTGACAATGATTTTAACATATTTGGACTGGTCCAGTGACAATGTTTTTAACATATTTGGACTGGTCCAGTGACAATGTTTTTAACAGTGACAATGTTTTTAACACATTTGGACTGGTCCAGTGAAAATGTTTTTAACACATTTGGACTGGCACAGTGCCATTTTTTTTGGTTTAAATAGTGTTCCAGTATAACTCCCTATAACAGATTTTGGACCCAGTTCAACACCCCTATAATATGATTGGATTTTGGATTAGTTCATTACCACACTGGTCCAGTACCATCCCTTTAACAGATTTGGACTGGTTCATTAGGTGTGTTATCTTTCCTTTAGTAGACTTGGACTGATCCACTACATATGCTATCTTCCCTTTGATATATTTGAACTGGTCCACTATGTATGTTATCTTTGATAGATGTGGACTGGTCCAATATCACTGCTTATTCTACAGATCACATCTTTTTTTGTGGTAAATATTTTCAGAGTATGAATTCTTGTTATTATTGCTCATTTTGATGTCATTAATCATGGAAGCAAAGTGATGGCAGTACACCAATACATGTGAAGAATTTATCATGTATTGTGAAAAAATCTTACAGAAATAGTGATAATTTTATGTTTAACATATCAATGCATGCAGTTACACCAGTGATGTCATAGCAACAATTAAGTGCTCAATTAAATATGTTTGAAAAAAAAAAATCATAGATCAAAAATATTTTTTTTAAATTTCAGGGTAAATACAATTTTTTTACAAGACTTTCAATTTCTAAATGGCAGTTTGCCAATTTTTTTGTCAGTTCCTATACTGTTAGATATGTTGATAGTATTCTGGGAGGATTGTCCATGTATAAGTTAAGATCAGTTTGTTTTTGTTCAGTCAGTTAGATTTCCGACTACAATACATTACATTGCTGGATATTCCACAGGTCCTGGTCACTCCAAAGCTGTTTTCTGTTCGTGAATCATGTGCGATCTTTACCTTAATAGATAGAAGATTTCCTTGTTTTTTTTTTCTAATTTGAGATTTTCATAATTCACTGATGAATTAACTAAAGTTGCAGTATCTGGTGTCTGGACACCTTTATGGCAGTCAATGACCTTTGCTCAAGTTTTAATCAATCAATATTATACTCCAGAATAATAATCAGAGAGAGTTTTAGTACAGCCTGTTTGGCTTCAGACATCTTCATACAAAACTTCCATCTAGTATATTCACTTCAATGTGATGTATATGCATTTCCTTTTTAAATATATACTCTGAAATTGCATTTTTCATTTTTTTTTTTTTTCTTGTATGTATCTTCAAAGGTTTGGACGTATGTTCCAAGATTAACCGCATTTCTAACACCTTCTATGAAATAGATATTACAAAATTAGAAATCAAGCAAAAATGATAGATTTCTTTCATTATGCCCACTTATGTCTAAACTTATGACTTTTGATCAATGTTTACTTCTATGAGACATCATAAGATTTAAGCAATTATTTAGCTCTCTATTGCCCCCAATTTGATGAAGTTTCTAGCATCAGATAAGAACTTCTTTGACAATTTTTTTCCCTGTGTGAAAGTTAAAGGAAAAAATATGATTAGTAAAGGATTAAAGAGGAAATTTAAGTGTGGTGTTTCAATAATTTTGGTGTTCAAATTTTTGAAAATAAGTTTTAGTTTTTGAAAGAATTTCAGTGAATGGTGAAGTTTTCTGATGTAAGCTGAGTATTAAGATAACGGGACGTTTGTATTAATGTAGTAAAGTTTGGAAATAAATTTTTAATGATTGTCTCATTTAATTGATGAGACTGCAAAGAAAATACTTTTTAAATTTATGAATTCAGAAAAAAACTGATTTTAAGGTATGGACTGAAGTATAGCATTTACTTTGATTAAATCTGGATAACACTGATTGTTTTCTATATCCACAAGGTTTATATACTAGCAAACTGAAAGTAAAATTGCAGTTACCTCCCTTTGATGACAAACGATGTAGTGATTGTCAAATTGTTGTGTAAATCTGTCGTGATAGATATCCAATCATTGTCGCATGAAAAGAATCAACATTCTTACCGTCGGATCTTTTCAACTAAATACCTCATGGTTTAGACTTGTACATTGTACTTAACACAGGGTTGTGGTTTCTCATAGTAAGCTTTAAGTATTTTGTTGGGCATTGCTGTACTGTATAACAAAACAGAACATATCCACCATCAGCTTGAATGTTTTTTTTTTTTAAATTTAACCTTTGTTTGTGTACTTCAATATCAGAATGTTCTCTTTATTGTTGTTTTGATTCCGCATGCAAACATGCTTTTGATATTAGAACCATTTCTGTCATGAAAATAGAAAAAGGACTTGACTACATCTTCATTATCACAGATTTGAATGAAAAAAAGGGGATGCTATTCAAAATGTGTCAAAATGTGTCCAACTTCTTTTTACCATTCCTGAGGATAAAATGTAAGCAGGAAAATTTGATTAATAGAAAAAAAAAATGGGATCATGACTTTGAAGGAAATATCCATTTCTATGTGAAGTTTTATAAAAACCATTAAACTTTAACAGTATAAAACATGTAAATGACATATTCAGTCTTGGCAGGATGATGTTATAATGAATATCAAATTTAAACTTTATTTTAGACAATTTTGAAATAGGTTGAAAGTCAATATCAGTTACTTAATGTTGGCTTATATTGAAGCATTTGAGTGATTGTATACAGAACTGTAAAAGAAACTGATGTAGCTAGGGAAAACGCACCACATGGTCGTGCAGGTAACCCAATACCTTTTGATGTCCCATTTGGGAATCAAACCTCGGTTGCTTGGTACCTTACCACTAGATCATGTGACCACTAAATTGTCTGTATACAGTCTGATATTCTGTACTACATCAGGTAGACTTTCCACCTCATCACCATCAGATTTTATCACAATGCTCAGACGTCAGGTTAAACAGGATGTCACTATACTCAGGTTCCATATTATTTGCTAAGATATACAGGTTTTGTTCATGACTTTCTGTGAGGGTTGATTGGCAGCGAGTACAAGTATCATTTCATCAAAAAATTTAATCTGCTTTGTGAAATTAATTTTGCCATACGGTGAAAAAGAAGAATAAACACAAAATGTGTCTGTTTTTGTATTTGAAAATCTGAGTAATGTTTTCTTGTTACATAAGGTTATAGTCCCTATTGCTGCTTATAGTAAGTGTGAGAGAATAAGTGTTGGGATGTATGGAGAGTATTATGTGGCACTGTTTTGTGTGCCACTGTACACATTGTGATACTAGCTACATTTATTTAATAAAGGCTATCTAATAACAATGATGTTTCTTTTTTAATAACAGTATTTCAAAGTTGGGTTTGTTTGTCGGGTTTATCATTCCATGAACAGCCAGGGCCATTTTGAGGCAGGGTCGCCCCGTAGCTGATGGCTACCTCACTGAACAACATACAGGAGACCCGTCGCACACTATCCATGGCAATTTGGTTAAAATTTCTAGCCCAACATCCACAATACAATGGTAATTTTTGGGTGAGTCTACATGTGGTAGATTGTTGCTACCTCACTGAACAACATACAGGAGGTCCTTCACATGCCTTCAACACAATTAGGGTAAAGTGTCTTGTCCAAGGACACAACCACAACAGCACTGACAGGTCTGTTTCCTAGCTTCCCGAGAATCATGGACAGCCACGGTTTGGGAGTGTCAAACACAGCTCCTGCAATCGTCATCCTAGGCCTGTATTTATAGTATTTATACATGTCACCACTGGATGATAAATCTGGGTGAGACATCAAGTCTTTGATAAATCAGGTGAGACATCCAGTCTGTGATAAATCAGGTGAGACATCCAGTCTGTGATAAATCAGATGAGACATCCAGTCTGTGATAAATCAGGTGAGACATCCAGTCTTTGATAAATCAGGTTGATGAGTCAGGTTAGACTCCCAGTTTTTGATAAATCGGGTGAGACATCCAATCTATGATTAATCAGGTGAGACATCCAGTCTTCGATAAATCAGGTGAAACATCCAGTCTTTGATAAATCAGGTGAGACTCCCAGTCTTTGATAAATCAGGTGAGACATCCAGTCTATGATAAATCAGGTGAGACATTCAGTCTTTGATAAATCAGGTGAGACATCCAGTCTATGATTAATCAGGTGAGACATCTAGTCTTTGATAAATCAGGTGAGACATCTAGTCTTTGATAAATCAGGTGAGACATCCAGTCTTTGATAAATCAGGTGAGACATCCAGTCTGTGATAAATCAGGTGAGACATCCAGTCTTTGATAAATCAGGTGAGACATCCAGTCTGTGATAAATCAGGTGAGACATCTAGTCTTTGATAAATCAGGTTGATGAGTCAGGTTAGACTCCCAGTTTTTGATAAATCGGGTGAGACATCCAGTCTATGATTAATCAGGTGAGACATCCAGTCTTCGATAAATCAGGTGAAACATCCAGTCTTTGATAAATCAGGTGAGACTCCCAGTCTTTGATAAATCAGGTTAGACTCCCAGTCTTTGATAAGTCAGGTGAGACATCCAGTCTTTGATAAATCAGGTGAGACATTCAGTCTTTGATAAATCAAGTGAGACATCTAGTCTTTGATAAATCAAGTGAGACATCTAGTCTTTCATGAATCTGGCAATTTTGGCTTAAATTTGTTAAGGATATACACTTTATGAATGCCTTTAGGAACCGGAAGTGCTGTATTATATTAAAAACACGAGCTGAAAAGGTATTCTAAAGTCTAGAATCTATTTTAACTGTCTCTTACTCAGAGATATGTCATCAAATCACCAACATTTGTTACTTGATTAAAATGATTTACTAGTTAACGAGTTCTGTTAGGTATGACGTCAATATTGTGTACAGACATCGAACTACAGGTAAGTTAATGGGTCCGTCCGCAGCTTGTCCTGAGAAAACCTCTGCCTTTCCTGATTGTTAGGAATTTTGGATACCGTACACTGACATTTTAGACCGGAAGTTTCCGTCTCCAAAATGATAATTTAGGGATAAACATATGCAATACAAATCTAAATATCAATAGCAACATCATAAATGTGAATATTGACATTAAATTATAATTTTAGAGACAGAAATGTTCGGTCTAATTGACGTGTTGCCCGAGATAGTCTCACACAAAGTCAATTGAGTTCGCGTTCGCTGACATTCCAGTCCATTGAAGATAGTCTTGCCATTGGTTGATTCTATTAGTTTGGCATTGTCTTCTATTAAAATAGGCGGATTTGCCAAACAAGGAGCAAGTAAAAACAGACATTGGACAAGTCAAAGAATATGGTTCTAGTCGGCAATGCGAAGTCAACTTTGGTTCTAACGACTGTTGACGGTACGCCGGCAAACATGAACATTGACATTCTGTAGCGCTCTGAGTCTGTTGTTAGTGGTGAATGGAGCTCGCCTTGTCTGTCTACTCACAAGTCTATTTTCTCTGTGTAAGACTTTCGAGGTCTGCCAGACCTGGGAAGATCGAAAACATGTCCAACTTTATTCAAACGCTGCATTAAACAAAATGGCTGGCATTAAAACATTCAGCTACTTGTCGGTGTTGTTATACCTTGAACCACTTCAGACATTTGCCATCATTCAGCATTTGTCAATTTTCGACTCCGAAAGAAGGAGTTTAACGGTACATTTCGGTTCTATTTTAAATAAGGAATTACTGATTAAAAATGAAAAGTTTTTCTTGTAAAATTTTTTCGTAATATATGTTTGGTTATATTAAAAAGTATATTTGATAAAAATCACCAGTTAAATGCACACAAAAACATATATATAAAGTATTTTAATGTGGTCGAATAGGTCCGAGATCAGTCAACTCGCCGATAGAAAACTCGTTCCAAAATGAGATATATATTATATATATATTCACTTGTGACATATTTTTTCGATGTTCATGGGGAGTAATACTTTATTGATATACAAATGTGCATACGAATCTTTCCCTATATGGTGAATAAATATGTGATGTTTAAAAATCTGTTCACAAACTTTGGGGAATGTATTTGTATTTTCTGTGGAAAACTTCATGTGTTGTAATAGTCGATAAAATAATGTCTATCTTCTTCCAGTTAGTTACGATCGCTTTCTCGTGATTCCATCAATCATATCCACTAATGTAATAGACTGACTGACAGGAATTGGACGCACGTGCTGCCCACACTATCGGACACATGTATTCACACCATAATATTTTAGCAGAGAGTCTCTGATTTTAGGCCATCAAATGATATATGTAAAACTGACTATAGGAACAACTATTATCAGGAGTTATAACTGATAAAACCTATGTTACCAGGATGAATTTTTTGACTTGTTAATAATGAACAGCAATGGTTTTGAAAATTGACCTTGATATAGAAATACTGAAGTACTTCGCATCATTTTTTTTTAAAACTGACCTTGATATACAAATATTGAACTACTTCGCATCAATGGTTTTGAAAACTGACCTTGATATACAAATATTGAAGTACTTCGCTTCAATGGTGGCATTCTTTCGTAATTATGTTACTTTGATTAAATGGTGTTATACATCTGTCGATAAAAATATCCAGTGACAAATATGAGTATATCTTCCGTCTTTGAGCTACAAACATAAAAGTTGTATTCCATTTCAAATTTATCAGAGACCTGCACGTGTTTACTGATTTATATTACTAGGACGTGTTGATTAAAAAGGAAAAGGGATATATTGAATTGATGTATAACAGAGTTTAAGTTATACAATTTTACAGCTTAAAGGATTTTTTGTGAGGTGGAAAGGGGTAGCTACATGAATCGAGAACTAATCCTAAGTGTGGACTATTTTCAAATGAATTGTGCCATTTCAGACAAAACATAAAGTTGTGATCGTTTTCCCATACAGAACCGTACATTACATAATAAATGAAGGCGGTCCGACCGGAAATAATAAGAGATAACCGGATGCATGGGTAGACAACTCTGTTTTATAGACACACGAGGATGGAAAATGTGCCCAATACTATTTAGGTTTGTTTTTTTACTTTTATAGAAAGTGATCGATCGAATACAACCACTTATCAACAACATTCATAACATCCACTGCTTAAGAGAAAATTGATTGGGTGACATTGTCTGTTTGATTTATTATCAAAGGAAATCGTTCCCATTACCCTTCGACTTACAGATCTTGTTGGAGAAAAGCGCGACACTTCACGTGGATTGCTCGAATCGCAAAATATGTATACATCTATTTATCTTCACCTATTATCAAATATGGTATAGAAACACCTTATGCATGTATTTGAAATGAATACATGACGGAGAAAAAAATTATAACCAGCAATAAGTTATGTGTATGAGATGCTAAATAGGAAATGCTGAATGCTAAAATCATTAAGCTTGTCGTACCTGCTTTCCATGTTTATGGATGCAGACAAAAATGCCATAAGTTCACTATCGATGTTGAACATCTTTTTTCCTTAGGACCAATTGTAAAGCTATGTTGTACAAGGTGGCTCAGACTTTAGCGTATATCAGTGAAACCAAGCCTCCCAATATTATATTGTGATATAGACTGTAGCCAAGAAAGTCGATATAAACCTGGGTGACTCCTAACTAAGGGAGAATCGGGGAGATTTAACACTGGTGTGATGGACACAAAGGGCTGCATGTACTTGTGTAATATGGAGGAGTAATGAAAAACTTGCTTGCTGAAAATAATATTTTGTAGCAAATGTTTAGTGATTTACCAGAGTCATGGCCCTTGGACATGGAAAATATATTATCTGTCTGTGCTCTCATTTTTTAAGTGTTAGATACATGGTGATATTGAATTGAAGTTTGACATGTACTTGTATTATGAAAAGGTGTAGGTCGAGTTAATGTTATATTGTTGTCGTCTTATATTTTCCAAAGTGATGGCCCTTGGACTTAAAAACTCTTGATTTGTGGTAATTTACTCTATGTTGAATGGTAGTTTTGAACTGATTTTTACTATGTATTTGTATTGATTATCAGCCATCTGTCTTAGTTACCCAATACATGACAGTCTGAAAAGACAGGAATACATAACTGCCAACTTTCCCAATTCAGTCGGGAGTTTCCCGATTTTCACTCCCCAGCCCCACCTCTCGATTGTATGGATCAAAATTAGGGGAATCTCCCAAATTTAGAGAGACTTTAGATAGATCATAAATAACCTTGCTATATTTGTCAAATTGGTAAGGCTGAACACCTGGCCACATAAGGCATAGCTAGGTGAGTACAAAGTCCAGTTTTCTAATTAGTGTCACCCAATTCCAGTTAACCCTTGCTGACCGCTACGCTTGGGAGAACACTGGTACATGGCTGATTGTTCCCTATCTTATTAATGGTAGACTATTGGTCAGGATTCAGGGCTGGGCCCAGGTAAATGGTCTGTTCAGATGAGGTCATTATACAGATAATTAAGTAGTTACTATCATGTCTATACAACCTGTTCGGTTGAATAACAAATTCAACAAGAAAGTGGTTTGAAAAATGATCTTTATGATGTAACAATGTGCAAACATTCCTCAATCAATACCTATATTTTAACTTTGTCAGTCCTTTAAAGTACTACTAAGTTGGTATCATGAGTAAAAAATTAGATCAAAAATTATTTCACACACTGAAGAATTTCAAGCACATTTGTTTCTCCCCAAAAAACGTGATAATAGCTAAATAAGAATACGCAATAGGAATGGCTCTGGACCCGATTTCCAGATTTGTAGTCACATGTCATTACAGCTGGTACACCTCTGTAACAATACAAAACATCAAATCTCGTTGACAGTTAGATCTAGATAAAAACACTTGGAATTTTATGGAAAAATTTATTTCATTTATTTTTGTTTTGCATCTTTCTCTAACATTTAATAAAATGAAAGCTTAAAATTTCATGAGATGATTATATACATTACTTTTCCATATTTCTATCAAAAAAATTCTTTCAGGAGAATCATATTTAGAAATACATGTCCTTTCTAACAAACAGATTATCATAAATCTTCATATCTGTTACATTCTATGTTCAATGAATACAGAGAATTTAAATGAATGAATTCCAACTTGAACCTTACTTTTGAAAAAAGTAGTATAACAAAGCATGCACTTTATCAATTCAGAGATATGTAGGTGTATTTATTAAAATATCCATTAATCAATTTGTCCTTTGTAGCCTGAAGATAATGTAGGAACTTCACAATGACCTTTATTGACCTTTGATCATGAACATTGATCTTTCCCTTCGGAGTAAGGTCATCCTGTCTCTTGGTGTTCCAGCCACATGCCTCTTACTGTATTGGTTGCTGAGGAACCGAGACGAAGGTGAGATTGGAGTTTTTTTTTATATTTGTTAAAACAAACAGACACTAATTGCTTTCAAACGGTGTCTGCTTTATGAATGACACACATAAATGTAAACACAAATATATTCTGGTTTGGTTGATTCTCAGATAAATTTTCTAATGCCATTCCCTGTGTCAGTACTGCAGACTTAATTACTGTTATATAGGCCACATTTAACAGATATTACACTTATCAGGTATCAGTATATTAACTTTCGTTACGTTCACGTTCGTTACGCTCTTACGTTCACTTTCGTTACGTTCACTTTCATTACATTCACTTCCATTACATTTACTTTCGTCACGTTCATGTTCACTTTCCTTACGTTCACTTCCTGTACATTCACTTCCGTTACGTTCACTTTCGTTACGTTCACTTCTGTTACGTTCACTTACGTTCACTTTCGTTACATTCACTTTCGGTCCGTTCACTTACGGTCTTTCACTTTCGTTACTTTCACTACCAGTACATTCACTTCCTGTACGTTCACTTTCGTTACGTTCACTTTCGTTACGTTCATTTCCATTACGTTCACTTCTGTTACGTTCACTTCTGTTACGTTCACTTCCGGTACATCATTTCTTTCTGTACAATGTACATACACCAATCATTGTTTGTTTGAAGTTAGAACTTTGTTTTTCCCTCCTCATACTGATATGAGTCCACATCTGGTATCATAATTCATTTCAAATACAAAAAAATCTTTGTATGATTAAACTTGTTACATAACATAAGTAAATCACAGTTATAGCCACATCATACAAATGTATTAGTTTGATAGCACAACCTTGTTCTGTCATACATCAGCTTGGACTGGGTCTTTTGGTGACATCAAAACCTTGTTCTGTCATACATCAGATTGAACTGGGCCTTTTGGGGATGTCACAACCTTGTTCTGTCATACATCAGCTTGGACTGGGTCTTTTGGTGACATCAAAACCTTGTTCTGTCATACATCATATTGGACTTGGTCTTTTGGTGACATCACAACCTTGTTCTGTCATACATCATATTGGACTGGGTCTTTTGGTGATGTCACAACCTTGTTCTGTCATACATCATATTGGACTGGGTCTTTTGGTGATGTCACAACCTTGTTCTGTCATACATCATATTGGACTGGGTCTTTTGGTGACATCACAACCTTGTTCTCATACATCAAATTGGACTGGGTCTTTTGGTGATGTCACAACCTTGTTCTGTCATACATCAGGTTGGACTGGGTCTTTTGGTGACATCACAACCTTGTTCTGTCATACATCAGCTTGGACTGGGCCTTTTGGGGATGTCACAACCTTGTTCTGTCATACATCAGAATGGACTTGGTCTTTTGGTGACATCACAACCTTGTTCTGTCATACATCATATTGGACTTGGTCTTTTGGTGACATCACATTCTTGTTCTGTCATACATCATATTGGACTGGGTCTTTTGGTGATGTCACAACCTTGTTCTGTCATACATCAGATTGGACTGGGCCTTTTGGTGACATCAAAACCTTGTTCTGTCATACATCATATTGGACTTGGTCTTTTGGTGACATCACAACCTTGTTCTGTCATACATCAGCTTGGACTGGTTCTTTTGGTGACATCACAACCTTGTTCTGTCATACATCAGATTGGACTGGGCCTTTTGGTGACATCAAAACCTTGTTCTGTCATACATCAGATTGGACTGGGCCTTTTGGTGACATCAAAACCTTGTTCTGTCATACATCAGATTAAACTGGGTCTTTTGGTGATGTCACAACCTTGTTCTGTCATACATCAGATTAACTGGGTCTTTTGGTGACATCACAACCTTGTTCTGTCATACATCAGATTGGACTGGGTCTTTTGGTGACATCACAACCTTGTTCTGTCATACATCAAATTGGACTGGGTCTTTTGGTGACATCACAACCTTGTTCTCGTACGTCAGATTGGACTGGGTCTGGTGATCATGTTTATAATGTCATGTACTTTTCAACTCACTTTTCATTGAACTTGGACATACAGATGTAAAAAAGGAATACTAATGAGACAGGAATATATTTCATGAATATTAATGGTTACATTGTTATGAATATTTATACAGTGAATGTTAACAATTGTATTGAGATGAATATTAATGATGGCAATTTTTATAAATATTTATAACATGAATATTATGACCTCATGAATATTGATATGAATATTAATGATGTCCTCATTGATATTCGTATCAGAAATATTACTGATGACAATGTTATGAATGTTTATGCATTTAATGTTAATTATGGTAAGGTTATGAATATTTATATCATGAATATTTATGACATTCTTATGAATATTTATATGAATGTTAATGATAACTTCATGAATATTTATATCATGAATATTAATTATAGCATAGTAAGAAATAAGTATATCAGTGAGATATTCTTTTATTAACAGAAGATGAGCAAGATGAGGATCAACAAAGAGTTACTACCTCAAGGCAGACAGTTATTGAGATCAAAGTCCCATCCAAGGCTGTTGGACCAATGATCGGCAGACAGGGAGCTAATATCAAAAAGGTATTACAGGCACCTTTTTTTATGTTGGAACTATTTTGGTATTGATATGTAAGGTCTAAAAAGAATCAGTAATGTAGGTATCAGATAAAGGAAGGCCAAAACTTTGGTGTAAAGAATTGAAATATGAAGTTCTTGTGTCCTATATCCACAACCTTACACAGAGGTATTGTGTCTTGTTCAGTGTGAACCAGTCTTACTGTCATACTCAAAGTTCGACCTCACTTAGATATTTTCAATAATGCCTGATTTATTTCTAAACAATTACAACAGCTACAGGAACAGACAGGGACGAGGATCTGTTTCAAAGATGACTCTAAGCATGATCCAGGGGCAGATCGCACACTAGTGATCCGAGGGTCAACAGCCCAGGCACAGGAGGCAGAGCTACTTGTCAGGAGGACTATCAGTGAAATACCAAAAGTACTGACAGAGGAGATTCAAGTACCAATCAAAGCTCTCGGCAGAATTATAGGTATCGATAGTAGGGGAAGTAACTCAGATCCGGAAAGTTTACACATGAGCTGTTTTTGTTCATTGGTTAGACCAGGGTCGTTCGTTTATGCATACTTTGTAGTAACTAATGGAGTGGAAAATTCAAGAGGTCAAGGTTCATTCTGCTTCGGAATCAGTAGGTCACAGTTCCCAGTTACGCTTTGTTAAATCTGAATTCATAAACGTCTTGCCAGACAGTTAAGGATCCCTTTTTTCTCATTTTTGTCAGAGTTTCAGATAAAAGAACTTCGATTCCATAAATGTTTTAAATCAAAAGCAATCCAAACTTCACCAAAATAATAGCTTTAAGGCAAGTGACAAATTTTTTGTGAGATCAGACAGATGATATTTCAGTATTACTAGATGTCATCGGACTGTTTACACTCAAGTTTGTAACTGAAGTGTTTCTCTTTCTAAAATACTCTGAAACAGTATTGTGTCTAATTTCCATTAGGTTTGATTAAATTGAAAAACTGGGATTTCAATTTACATATGCTGTAATGGGTTACAACTGAGTGAAGATAGTATTGTTGATCATTGATCATCAGATACTGAAAGTGGAAACATTTTAGTGGTGGTCTTATTTTATCACTTTTAGTGCACAAAGTAGTGCAATAAAATATTATGATAATGTTTATTACAGTTACAGTATCACTTAGTGTGCTAAATTATAATTATGTTTATTACAGCTACAGTATCACTTAGTGTGCTAAATCATAATTATGTTTATTACAGCTACAGTATCACTTAGTGTGCTAAATGATGATTATGTTTATTACAGCTACTGTATTGTGTTCATGTAACAATTGTTGCAAATGCTAAAATTTATCATTTCTCTTACATCTTATAAATTGATGATGCACTAAACTTTGATTGCACTAAACTTTGATTGCAATAGACTTTGGCTGTGCTAAACTTTGACGGTGCTAAACTTTGTCTGTGCTAAACTTTGACTGTGCTAAACTTTGGCTGTGCTAAACTTTGACTGCACTAAACTTTGACTGCACTAAACTTTGACTGCACTAGACTTTGGCTGTGCTAAACTTTGACGGTGCTAAACTTTGACTGTGCTAAACTTTAGCTGTGCTAAACTTTGACTGCACTAAACTTTGACTGCACTAGACTTTGACTACGCTAAACTTTGACTTGCTAAATTTTGACTGCACTAAACTTTGACTGTGCTAAACTTTGACTGCACTAAACTTTGGCTGCACTAAACTTTGACTGCACTAGACTTTGGCTGTGCTAGACTTTGACGGTGCTAAACTTTGTCTGTTCTAAACTTTGACTGTGCTAAACTTTGGCTGTGCTAAACTTTGACTGCTCTAAACTTTGACTGTGCTAAACTTTGACTGCGCTAAACTTTGACTGCACTAAACTTTGACTGCGCTAAACTTTGACTACGCTAAACTTTGACTGTGCTAAATTTTGACTGCACTAAACTTTGACTGTGCTAAACTTTGACTGCACTAAACTTTGACTGCACTAAACTTTGACTGTGCTAAACTTTGAATGTGCTAAACTTTGACTACGCTAAACTTTGACTGTGCTAAATTTTGACTGCACTAAACTTTGAATGTGCTAAACTTTGACTACGCTAAACTTTGACTGCGCTAAACTTTGACTGCACTAAACTTTGACTGCGCTAAACTTTGACTGCACTAAACTTTGACTGTGCTAAATTTTGACTGCACTAAACTTTGACTGTGCTAAACTTTGACTGCACTAAACTTTGACTGCACTAAACTTTGACTGTGCTAAACTTTGAATGTGCTAAACTCAGTAAACTAAGTACATTTATATGTTTATCTCTATCACATCATTATGTATTGTCTGATTATTTTGGATTCTCCATGAATTTCATCGTTTTCCTAGGCAGAAATGGAGACAGCATTCGGCAGATAACTCGTTCATCCAACACACGCATTTATATAGACCGGGCTAGAGACGAACCACGTGACATCACAAAACAAGTCTCCATCACAGGAAGTCAGGAGCAGATAGATATTGCCAAGGTATAGTTCTATTTTCTGATATCATTACCACACTATTTATTGGAATACTATATATAAAGTATTTCCATGGAGATGAAATTTGGGCTTTTTTGTGGGGCTTTAACCTGACTGGGAGAATTCTATCAGTTAAGAAATTGCTACTTCAGTAGCTAACACAGCCATCTCCAGTTCTCAAGTACTTTGTCAAGTATAAGGTATAAGAGAATATTTGCGTTTGAGGGCAAATATCATTATCAAATCTCATGGAATCACACTACTTTTTAATCAGCAATTAGGAAATGGATATCTGAGCAGTGTTCATGAAAACTAAATTAGATCTTTTTTTTAGATTAGATTATTAAATGTTTTGTTTGTTTATATGTTTGCTTTATATTTGGGGAGTATATAGTCGCTAACTTGTCCGTCCATCTTTCCATCCTTTCGCATCCAGGGCATAACTTTGCCCACAGTTAGGCAAGGATCAGGAAATTGGTGTAGACACTGGTCATACTGAGGGATACTGAATGTACTAAATTCAGGGCCCTGGACTCCTCAAGTTACAGTCCTTTGTTATGATTTCTTGTCAGGATAGCTTTGCATGCATATTAACTAGGATGATGAAACTTGTTGTATACATTAATCATGCTAAGACGATGTGTAGTATACCAAATTTTGGGTCTGCAACCCCTTAACTACAGAGTTATTGCCTTTTGTGAAAATATCATGTCCAGAGCATAACTTTGCTTATTTAGGATAATGAAACTTGTTGTATACATTGATCATGTTAAGACTATTTGTAGTATACCAAATTTAGGATCTGCAGCCCATTAATTACAGAGTTATTGCCCTTTATGAAAAATATCATGTTCAGAGTATAACTTTGCTTGCATTTAAACTAGGATAATGACACTTGTTGTTAAAATTTATTTTGTGAAGAATGGGCTGTATACAAATGTTAGGGCCAGCAACTGCTTAATTACTGAGTTATTGCCCTTTGTTAAAATTTCGTGTCATGAATATAGCTTTGCTTAAATCAAAACTAAGATCATGAAATAAAATAAATTGGTCATATTAAAAGAATGTTCAGTATACCAATTGCAGGGCCTTCAACCCCTTAATTACAGAAGATTGCTCTTTGTTAAAATTTTGTTTCCAATGAAGTTGTTTTCAGGGAGAATTTATCAGTTTCGCTGATACTGTTGTTACCTTAGCTGCTAATATAAGAATGGATTTAATGGATTAATGATTGGTGAATGTTTGTTAAGGCCCATCTTGATTTAGTGTTGTTTCCTGTAATAGAGTCTCATTCAAGAAAAAGTGAACGAGGAAGAAATATTTCGTGCTAAAGCAGCAGTGATGGCAGCCAATCGGGAGCAGCGTAACAAACAGGTTTCAAGACCGGTGCGGCACACTGACCATGTACAGGCAGGTGATTATCCCAAATACAATAACAATTACTGTATTCCTCCCACCTTAAGTCCATATTTGGTGAAAACCCCATCAATATCTATTGCTGTCAGTAAAATCATAAAGCAATGATATTGTGGAACATCCTGTAATAAGCCCACCCCTAGTCTTTAAGTAAGAAGTCACTTGCTGGTTCTTTCGGCTTATTGTCATGTAATAAGCCCATCTCTAGTGTTCGAGTTAGAAGTCATGTACGTGTAACTTTGGCTTATTGTCATGTAATAACCCTAACAAAATTTGAAAGGAAACCTTGGATGTTCGTAGTTCTCAGTGATCAACATGAATATTCTGAGGATTTTTACCAAAAACTAATCATCTTCTATCATATTTGTAGTCTGAAAGGAAGACTGTTATAGTTATAGTGGTAGAGGATTTTTAAATCGTAGATTTACAGACATTTTTTTAACGAAGTAAGAAGTAAAGTTCTGTTGTTTTTTCTATTTTTTAAACAAAGGATTATGACTTTTTTTCATGTGAATCCTGAACTTCAACATCTGTTTGATTTTCAGAGAAGCATTCCATTGATCCAGATGACATATCTAAAAGTCCATCACCACAACAACATGTTATTTCCCTGGCAACACATGTTAAGGAATGGCCGAAGCAGGAGTATGTAGAGGTGTATGTATCGTCCGTGGCCGACCCCAATCACTTCTGGGTACAGCTCATCTCAAGCAATGCAATTCATCTTGATGAACTTGTCCAGCGGATGTCCAGTCTATACAATACTGACCACTATAAGGTAAGGCTTGACCACTATAAGGTAAGGCTTGACCATTATAAGGTAAGGCTTGACCCTTATAATATATGTCTTGACCAATATGAGGTAAATTTAGACCAATACCACGTAACACAAGGTGGAATACTGATTGGAAATGAGTCTTAAGGGTATACTTTAAAACCTACCGCACCATTTTTAGTCCACCATATTCAGATGATGGGCTATTCAAATCACCCTACGTCCATGGTCCATTGACCACCTGTAAACAATTTTTGTTATCACTATTTCTTGAGAAGTACTGGATAAACCTTTTTTAATTTCATGTGTAGGTTTCCCTTGATCCCTAGTTGTGGTCGTTTAATTTTGAGACTGATCAGAAAAAGAAAATGGCCAACATGCAGCTGCCTTGGTTTTTGACTATGAAAGTGTGTTATCACTATTTCGTGAGAAATACCGCAAAGATCTTTCTCAAATTTCATGTATAGGTTCCTTTTGGTCCCAAGTTGTGCCTGTTTGATTGTAAAGATTCTTATCCCATTTCCTTAAGAAGTTCTGAATAGATCCCTCTCAAATTTCATACACATGTTCCTTTGTACCCATTTTATTTTGGGAATGATCAGAAAAAACAAAATGGCTTCCAGGCGACCATCTTGGGTTTGGCAGGTAAAATTATCATTGCTATTTCTGCTAAGGAATGTTCACATTTCTTATCATTAAGAGCAAAAACAGAGAAGAAAAAGGGGAAAGGATCCAACTTTCAAAGAACAAATAAAGATAAAAAAATGGTGGGCTCCACGATGCCTTTGGGATCTCTTGTCATTTATAAGATTATAAGATGAACCAGGGTTGTTCAAATTAAGATAGCCCTATTCATCTTGATTTTGATTTCTTACAAACTTTGATTAAGACTTGCCTGACCCATTCTAACATATGTAAGTTTGTCAAGATTTGTATCTCAGATGATCCAGCCAAACCAGATAGTCTGCATTAATTCATGAACTTCACAACAAGTTTAAGTTTTATTCAAGCAGCGTCGTTTTATTCTCTGACTGTTGAAAACAAAATCTGTACGTTCCAGAACATGTCCGATAATCAGTATAATGTCGGGGACTTCGTCGCAGCATTGTATGAACAAGACAACTCTTGGTACCGTGCACAAGTAATGGGAATAGAAGGGAGACAACTTGACCTGTATTTCGTGGACTTCGGTGACAGTGGCTATACTGATGTCAATAATGTTCGTTTACTCAGGTAACCATAGAGATATGATTACTTTTTTTATTTTCTACTCTTTGTAACGGAAATGTCTGGTATCTCTAGATATCAGTTCAGAAATATCATAAGAAAGGCTTACAGGAACATGTTGCAGTCACCCAACTCGTAACATGTCCATTTTCCTAGCATATTTTTGGAAACTGACCTTAAATGGCCTTAGCGGTTCAGCAAAACAATAACCCAAAATTTTACCTAATGTCATATTCTGAGATCAGGAAAAACGAGAACTAAAACTTTTAATCTTAAAAAGAAATGTCTGTTCTGTATCTTTTTATTTTGTGGACACAGCAAAAATATTTTTCAAATCAATGTTTTTTGGAAATATTTATCAGGTACACAAATTTCCTTGCTGTGTGTTATATATAAAGAAACTAAATACACTAATCTAAACTAAATAAGGGAGACAACTCTTTATGTATTTCCTGGACTGCAATGGCAGGGACTATGATCTAGAGATCTATTCCCAAAGTTTTAAGTTTTTTTGCCAGACTGGTGTATGTAGTTTTTTACAGATCCTGTATAGCTAGTAATACGTTTTCAAAAATTGTGCAATTTTATTTCAAAACGACAAATAATATTTAAATTGAAATTACATGATCTGGACGTTAAAGGACGTCAAATACACTGGTGTCTCATTTTTCCTCAGATTAAATTTACATGATCACATTAATGTACTTTGAAATAGTGTTAATATCATCCCCGGGAAATGTATCATAACCGACTGTATGGCAGACAAGGTGTAAACATGTACAAAAGTCTAAATTCTCCCAGGAATCATAACAAAAATGTTTGTGTGATAATCAGTATTATGTAAAATCATTCATGGGGGACTTTTGTATGTATGATTCTACAGTATGTCTGTAACAGAGGTCATTATTGATTTCAATGCCTCCACAAGGATTCGAACCCGGTACCTCTGGCTTACTAGTCTGACGCTCAACTGATCGATCTGAAGAGAAGTTCTCTCTAGCCAAGAGGTATTTTGCGGCTAGTAATTTACCAGGGTTACATACTCCCTCCCAAGGAAGTATCTAGTCCTTGAGTGTCCAGGGTTCACAGCAGTACTTATGAAAGTAATGCTAAGTATTATTTACGGGTCCCTACATGGGCAACAATGTAAGAGAGGTCATTATTTATTTCAATGCCTTCACTAGGATTTGAACCTGGGACCCCTGGCTTACTAGTCTGACAACAAGCTAAACAGAAGTTCTCTCTAGCCAAGCAATATACTGCAGCTAATATCCTACGAGGGTTACATATCAGGCCACTGCTAGGATTTTGAACCTATAACCTCTGGCTTACTAGTCTGACGCTCAGCCGATCAGGCTAAAGAGAAATTCTCTCTAGCGGAGCAGTGATAGTCTAGCTCACTAGTACATTAGAGCAGATTGTCATTCAGGTTTTAGGAACTCTCCCTACAGCTCATCTCTTTTTTTATAAACATCTAATATCGAGATCTGAGCCATTTTTTATTGTCAGCAACATATACCTTTGCTCTCGTCTGTCGGTTCATCACAATTTTGTGTCTACTGGCTCTGTAACAGATACCAATACAAAATTATAATTTGTTATATAGCCAGGATCTGATTTTGTCAATTCATTAATTCCCCATTTCACATTGCTATTTTACTATAACGATTTGATCTAAATTTTCACAAAGGCAGTTTTGACAAAAACTGGAGAGCCCTGCCTACCTCTAGTAAGAATTTTAAATCACCTGTTAAAGCCAGTAATAAGTTGCAAAGTTCGCTGTGGTTGTCGTCATGGACATTATGTTGCTCTAACACATTGGTTTGTTGACTTGACCATTTGTATCAGGGTTGTTTATTTTATGAAATAAGACAAGTAAAGGTTGTTGTTGCTATTTTTAAATAGTACTCAGTGCATCCTTTGTAAATTTTCTTTTGTAGGTTCCCATTGTTTCCTAATTGTACAGATTGTGGGACTGAGAAAAATTAAATGACCAACACCTTGCTATTTTCCATTTGATAATTGAATATTATTGTCCCTTTATCTGAAAAGATATTTTAAAATTTCATTGAATTATTTAAAAAAAGCAAAGGAAAGAAGAGAAAAGAATGACTAGAGATTCAACAGTAGTGGTTATCAAGATCCCTATAACAGGCTATTAGAGACCTGTGTTAATGTATACATGTACCTCACCATTGTCTCAAATGTTACCATTCTAAACCACTTGGTCAGCATTAACTAACAGGCCCTTGGATTTATTGTTTCTGATATGAGTTATTGCCCCTGAATTACAAGCCAAAACTTTTGTCAGACATTTATTATTATTTTGCTATTTGCAGGGACGATTTTCTTGTGTTACCTTTCCAAGCTGTCCAGTGCTGTCTAGGAGAGGTCAAGGCTAAAGGTAGAATTACTCAAAGGGATTTCCCCAAGTAAAAATTTCTTAAAGCTGGTGAAATAACCAATAGTAACAGGATAGATGTAATTTGACAAAATAGTCCCTATCTTATTAAGTTTTTTCAGGTGAAGGTTTTTAACAAAGTGGTCTACATGTCATGTAATGTGTGATGGTCCAAAGTTTTGGCGTGAATGTTCATCTGGGGTCTAGCTAAGATAACATGGATACAATTAAGGGAAATTATCTGTATAATTGGACAGGGCCAGCTGGTTGTGTTATACATCCGAATGTGGTGATTTTTTTTTAGTGAAGTGATTGATGTCTTTCCAGACCTAGATGAAAAACAAACAAATGAACTATTTTCAATTAGCATATTTCAACATTACTGATAACATATGATCGTCAGTGTTCGTAAATACCCATTCTTTGTACTTGTGTGTGATAATAAGTCCAAGTCTGGTAATAAGCCCATGTCTGGTTATAAGCCCATGTCTGGTAATAAGCCCATGTCTGGTTATAAGCCCGTGTCTGGTGATAAGTCCAAGTCTTGTGATAAGTCCAAGTCTTGTAATAAGTCCATGTCTGGTTATAAACCTATGCACGCACATCTATTTTAGACAGATATGATAATCCTTTTGTGCTGTAATAAGCCCCCCTCTGTACTTGGTGTCATATGTTGTGTGTTACTAATTACATGTAGTGTATAATTTCAGCCACATAAAAACTACAAAGTAAAGAAACATGACATGTGTCCCATTTTTTAGGCGAGGACTGGACAGAGGAAGCTGTGAATTTCTTTGAGGATATCACCTATACTGCTAAATGGAAGGTCCTCATGGCAAAGAGGATAGGAACAAAAAGTACACAGGAGAATGAAGTGATACAAATAGTTCAGCTCATAGATACAAACTCTGACGTGGTACGTACATTTCATATAACCTTTTGTGGTACGTACATTTCACGTCACCTTCCATGGTACGTACATTTCATGTCACCTTTTGTGGTACGTACATTACACGTCACCTTTCATGGTACGTACATTTCACTTCACCTTCTGTGGTACATACATTTCTGTGGTACGTACATTTCACGTCACCTTCCGAGGTACGTACATTTCACATCACCTTCTGTGGTACGTACATTTCACGTCACCTTTCGTGGTACATACATTTTAGGTCACCTTCCGTGGTAAGACATTTCAGGTCACCTTCCGTGGTGCATACATTTCAGATCATCTTCCGTGTTGCGTACATTTCAGTTCACTTTTCGTGGTGCGTACATTTCAGTTCACTTTCCGTGGTACGTACATTTTAGGTCACCTTCCATGGTAAGACATTTCAGGTCACCTTCCGGGGTGCGTACATTTCAAGTCACCTTTGCGCAATATGTCAGATTAACTAAGAAGCAATATTTCAGCTGATTATACACACTAAGGGGCCTGCAGCCAGAACTTTCACAAATTTGACTTTGTGTAAATAAAACATGGTTGTTTGTGATGGTTTATGACGACAGAATTCCAAAAAATAAACCAAAAGAAGATCAAATAAATGCTCTTCAAAAAGGAAAAAAACAAAAAGAAGCAAACAATTTCTTTGAGAAACAAGATTTGCACATCAGAAAGTTTACTTTTGTGTTAAAACTTTCATAAAAATTGTCAACTGTTAATGTCATGTTCTGCTTACTATCACATTTTCTTCTTTGTATGACACATGATATTAATTAGTTTTCACAATAACCATATTATCTGTTTGTCTTGATTGAATTCATTGATTGAATAAATCAAACTGTAGATCCTAGCACCCAAAAATATACAAGTGTCCCAGGCTTACTCAGATTCATTACAAAAAACTGGTGATTAAGTCTTGTGAAGGAGCCCTGATTTAGTATAATTACAATAAACTGGTGATTTTAACCCTTGTGAAGGAGCTCTGATTTAGTATAATTACAATAAACTGGCCCTAATTTAGTATAATTACAATAAACTGGTGATTTTAACCCTTGTGAAGGAGCTCTGATTTAGTATAATTACAATAAACTGGTGATTTTAACCCTTGTGAAGGAGCTCTGATTTAGTATAATTACAATAAACTGGTGATTAAGTCTTGTGAAGGAGCTCTGATTTAGGAGCTCTGATTTAGTATTATTACAATAAACTGGTGATTAAGTCTTGTGAAGGAGCTCTGATTTAGTATAATTACAATAAACTGGTGATTTTAACCCTTGTGAAGGAGCTCTGATTTAGTATAATTACAATAAACTGGTGATTAAGTCTTGTGAAGGAGCTCTGATTTAGTATAATTACAATAAACTGGTGATTAAGTCTTGTGAAGGAGCTCTGATTTAGTATAATTACAATAAACTGGTGATTTTAACCCTTGTGAAGGAGCTCTGATTTAGTATAATTACAATAAACTGGTGATTTTAACCCTTGTGAAGGAGCTCTGATTTAGTATAATTACAATAAACTGGTGGTGAGCTCTGATTTAGTATAATTACAATAAACCTTGTGAAGGAGCTCTGATTTAGTATAATTACAATAAACTGGTGATTAAGTCTTGTGAAGGAGCTCTGATTTAGTATAATTACAATAAACTGGTGATTTTAACCCTTGTGAAGGAGCTCTGATTTAGTATAATTACAATAAACTGGTGATTAAGTCTTGTGAAGGAGCTCTGATTTAGTATAATTACAATAAACTGGTGATTTTAACCCTTGTGAAGGAGCTCTGATTTAGTATAATTACAATAAACTGGTGATTAAGTCTTGTGAAGGAGCTCTGATTTAGTATAATTACAATAAACTGGTGATTTTAACCCTTGTGAAGGAGCTCTGATTTAGTATAATTACAATAAACTGGTGATTTTAACCCTTTAAGCTCCTTGTGAAGGAGCTCTGATTTAGTATAATTACAATAAACTGGTGATTTTAACCCTTGTGAAGGAGCTCTGATTTAGTATAATTACAATAAACTGGTGATTAAGTCTTGTGAAGGAGCTCTGATTTAGTATAATTACAATAAACTGGTGATTTTAACCCTTGTGAAGGAGTATAATTACAATAAACTGATTTAGTATAATTACAATAAACTGGTGATTAAGTCTTGTGAAGGAGCTCTGATTTAGTATAATTACAATAAACTGGTGATAAACTTGATTTTAACCCTTGTGAAGGAGCTCTGATTTAGGTATAATTACAATAAACTGGTGATTAAGTCTTGTGAAGGAGCTCTGATTTAGTATAATTACAATAAACTGGTGATTAAGTCTTGTGAAGGAGCTCTGATTTAGTATAATTACAATAAACTGGTGATTAAATCTTGTGAAGGAGCTCTGATTTAGTATAATTACAATAAACTGGTGATTAAATCTTGTGAAGGAGCTCTGATTTAGTATAATTACAATAAACTGGTGATTAAGTCTTGTGAAGGAGCTCTGATTTAGTATAATTACAATAAACTGGTGATTTTAACCCTTGTGAAGGAGCTCTGATTTAGTATAATTACAATAAACTGGTGATTTTAACCCTTGTGAAGGAGCTCTGATTTAGTATAATTACAATAAACTGGTGATTAAGTCTTGTGAAGGAGCTCTGATTTAGTATAATTACAATAAACTGGTGATTAAGTCTTGTGAAGGAGCTCTGATTTAGTATAATTACAATAAACTGGTGATTAAGTCTTGTGAAGGAGCTCTGATTTAGTATAATTACAATAAACTGGTGATTTTAAGTCTTGTGAAGGAGCTCTGATTTAGTATAATTACAATAAACTGGTGATTAAGTCTTGTGAAGGAGCTCTGATTTAGTATAATTACAATAAACTGGTGATTAACCCTTGTGAAGGAGTATAATTACAATAAACTCTGATTTAGTATAATTACAATAAACTGGTGATTTTAACCCTTGTGAAGGAGCTCTGATTTAGTATAATTACAATAAACTGGTGATTTTAACCCTTGTGAAGGAGCTCTGATTTAGTATAATTACAATAAACTGGTGATTTTAACCCTTGTGAAGGAGCTCTGATTTAGTATAATTACAATAAACTGGTGATTTTAACCCTTGTGAAGGAGCTCTGATTTAGTATAATTACAATAAACTGGTGATTAAGTCTTGTGAAGGAGCTCTGATTTAGTATAATTACAATAAACTGGTGATTTTAACCCTTGTGAGAGCTCTGAGCTCAATAAACTGGTGATTGAGCTCTGATTTAGTATAATTACAATAAACTGGTGATTAAGTCTTGTGAAGGAGCTCTGATTTAGTATAATTACAATAAACTGGTGATTAAGTCTTGTGAAGGAGCTCTGATTTAGTATAATTACAATAAACTGGTGATTAAGTCTTGTGAAGGAGCTCTGATTTAGTATAATTACAATAAACTGGTGATTTTAACCCTTGTGAAGGAGCTCTGATTTAATAAAATCAACGACTAAAGTATGAAATCACTAAATTGTACTAAATTTATTCTGAAGATTAAAAAAAAGGTCGAGGCAATGTTTGAATAAGAAATGACTTTATTTTCTTTACTTTTTATTTGTTGTGTTTCAGGATATCCATATTGCACTTGAGCTTATCAAACATGGATTTGCGGAATTGGCTTGAAACAGAAGCTTGAAATAGGTCACAGAAGCCAAGGCCACCTGAATTTGAAGATGTGTTTTAATACAAAATATTCCTATTTCTTTTGTGCTGTAGTTTAACTATATCTTAACTCACAACTGAGAAGTTTTAGATTAATTTTATTCCTGTTTACAATTGGATTTTGATTTGTTAATCATTTTTGTATAGATCTGGAGTCTCCCTAATTTCAAATTGTCCTTATAATTCCTAAACCATGGAAATTAATTAGAATTCTTGTCTTACAGAATCTGCAAAATCATCACATATGACACCATGCTGATGAAGGTGTAAAGAAAGTTTGTTTTCACTGATTATTTTCTATCCATATTTTAAATTTGATAATTTGATAGATATTCATATTGGTTTTGTATCTATTATAGAGACTGGTATATCTCCCTACTGATTGTGGTGACAAGATGATTTTGTTAGGGATATGTTCGTTTTATTAATGACAATGGATTTGGTACAAATCTTGTGTAGATAAATTATACCTGACTTTTAAGTTGGAGGTCAGGAACAGTTTGAGTTCATAGTGGGATCATCAAGGTCATCAAGGTCGAGGTTGATGCCTAGTGTCAAGGTTCAATCATATTGTTGCTAAGTAACTAGAATCGACCAACATTGAAGCATTTCATGAAAGTTTTTGATTCAATTTATAAGGTGTGGTCTTAATTTGTATAATCAAATAATGACAGCTTTAAGAGGTACATGTGAAATGATGACATGTTTCACAGGTACTCATAAAAAGATGACAGGTTTCACAGGTACACTTGAAATGATGACAGGTTTCTTAGGTACACATGAAATGATGACAGCTTTCACAGGTACACATGAAGTGATGACAGCTTTCACAGGTACTCATGAAATGTTGACAGGTTTCTCAGGTACACATGAAATGATGACAGCTTTCACAGGTACACATGAAATAATGACAGGTTTCACTAATAATCATGACTTCTTGAAACATCTTTTTTGCACACAGAAGTTGATGTAATTTTTGAGACATTTAAAAAGTAAACAAGAATTGAAAATGTTTTCAAAAAGTGCCTAAGAATATATTGAAGACTATTGTAATTAGGGCATTCAGTTGACCCTTGAAATCTGGCAATTTCATCAGTCAAATCACAAATCAGAAAGGTAGTTAACCTCAGAATAAAGAGTTAAACATCATTTTTTGGCATGAAAAACTTTCGAGTGTCTACTGAATGTTCTAAACTATATTATACATACATCATATTCAAGAAAACGTTTCTTTCAGTGATGTGTAATGTTCTTTCTTTTTTTCGTTATTAGTGAAAATGATCCTTTTCTTTATTAAGTGATAAACACATTGATAGCATTTACTGAAGGACATTATGGATATTATATATAGTATTGGTGTAGCGCAATGTTGTGTTGTGTCTGTGTGTCAGGTCTGATGATAAGGGGAGGTAATAAAGTGGTTTAGTAGATGTGAGAATGTCAAGATTGTCAAAAAATTACAATACAAGACTGATTTATACTTGTTTTTGGATGTCGTTATACTGTCTGCAAAGCTGTGTGTCAGGTATCAGGGCAAGGGTCATGGTTTGGTGGGGGAAGGGGGGATCAAAAGGTAGAGAGAAAGGTAGGGGAGTTGGAGTGTATGGAGAAATGACAACTTGGAAATTTTATGTGCCTTTACGTTCACTAAATATTGTATTTGAAAATATTTCATAATGAAAAATATTCAAGAAATAAACATGAATGTCATATCTAACACATTAAAATTGACGTTTTTTGTATTTTCCATACTCATAGAATATGAGACATCTCTACTGTATCCCTCAATAATCCCAGGGGACTGACACTGTACCTCTGATGTTAGGTGAGGGATTCTACATCCCAGGGGACTGACACAGTACCTCTGATGTTAGGTGAGGGATTCTACATCCCAGGGGACTGACACCGTACCTCTGATGTTAGGTGAGGGATTCTACATCCCAGGGGACTGACACAGGGATTCTACATCCTAGGGACTGACACAGTACCTCTGATGTTAGGTGAGGGACTCTACATCCCAGGGGACTGATACCGTACCTCTGATGTCAGGTGAGGGATTCTACATCCCAGGGGACTGACACAGTACCTCTGATGTTAGGTGAGGGATTCTACATCCCAGGGGACTGACACCGGGATTCTACATCCCAGGGGACTGACACAGTACCTCTGATGTTAGGTGAGGGATTCTACATCCCAGGGGACTGACACAGTACCTCTGATGTTAGGTGAGGGATTCTACATCCCAGGGGACTGACACAGTACCTCTGATGTTAGGTGAGGGATTCTACATCCCAGGGGACTGACACAGTACCTCTGATGTTAGGTGAGGGATTCTACATCCCAGGGGACTGACACAGTACCTCTGATGTCAGGTGAGGGATTCTACATCCCAGGGGACTGACACAGTACCTCTGATGTTAGGTGAGGGATTCTACATCCCAGGGGACTGACACAGGGATTCTACATCCCAGGGGACTGACACAGTACCTCTGATGTTAGGTGAGGGATTCTACATCCCAGGGGACTGACACCGTACCTCTGATGTTAGGTGAGGGATTCTACATCCCAGGGGACTGACACAGTACCTCTGATGTTAGGTGAGGGATTCTACATCCCAGGGGACTGACACAGTACCTCCGATGTCAGGTGAGGGATTCTACATCCCAGGGGACTGACACAGTACCTCTGATGTTAGGTGAGGGATTCTACATCCCAGGGGACTGACACAGTACCTCTGATGTTAGGTGAGGGATTCTACATCCCAGGGGACTGACACAGTACCTCTGATGTTAGGTGAGGGATTCTACATCCCAGGGGACTGACACAGTACCTCTGATGTTAGGTGAGGGATTCTACATCCCAGGGGACTGACACAGTACCTCTGATGTTAGGTGAGGGATTCTACATCCCAGGGGACTGACACAGTACCTCTGATGTTAGGTGAGGGATTCTACATCCCAGGGGACTGACACAGTACCTCTGATGTTAGGTGAGGGATTCTACATCCCAGGGGACTGACACAGTACCTCTGATGTTAGGTGAGGGATTCTACATCCCAGGGGACTGACACAGTACCTCTGATGTTAGGTGAGGGATTCTACATCCCAGGGGACTGACACCGTACCTCTGATGTTAGGTGAGGGATTCTACATCCCAGGGGACTGACACAGTACCTCTGATGTTAGGTGAGGGATTCTACATCCCAGGGGACTGACACAGTACCTCTGATGTTAGGTGAGGGATTCTACATCCCAGGGGACTGACACAGTACCTCTGATGTTAGGTGAGGGATTCTACATCCCAGGGGACTGACACAGTACCTCTGATGTTAGGTGAGGGATTCTACATCCCAGGGGACTGACACCGGGATTCTACATACCAGGGGACTGACACAGTACCTCTGATGTTAGGTGAGGGATTCTACATCCCAGGGGACTGACACAGGGATTCTACATCCCAGGGGACTGATACCGTACCTCTGATGTTAGGTGAGGGATTCTACATCCCAGGGGACTGACACAGTACCTCTGATGTTAGGTGAGGGATTCTACATCCCAGGGGACTGACACAGTACCTCTGATGTTAGGTGAGGGATTCTACATCCCAGGGGACTGATACAGTACCTCTGATGTTAGGTGAGGGATTCTGATGTTAGGTGAGGGATTCTACATCCCAGGGGACTGACACAGTACCTCTGATGTTAGGTGAGGGATTCTACATCCCAGGGGACTGACACAGTACCTCTGATGTTAGGTGAGGGATTCTACATCCCAGGGGACTGACACAGTACCTCTGATGTTAGGTGAGGGATTCTACATCCCAGGGGACTGACACAGTACCTCTGATGTTAGGTGAGGGATTCTACATCCCAGGGGACTGACACAGGGATTCTACATCCCAGGGGACTGACACAGTACCTCTGATGTTAGGTGAGGGATACATCCCAGGGGACTACATCCCAGGGGACTGACACAGTAGGGATGTTAGGTGACATCCCAGGGGACTGACACCGTACCTCTGACGTTAGGTGAGGGATTCTACATCCCAGGGGACTGACACAGTACCTTTGATGTTAGGTGAGGGTTTCTACATCCCAGGGGACTGGTACCTCTGACAGGTGAGGGATTCTACATCCCAGGGGACTGACACAGTACCTCTGATGTTAGGTGAGGGATTCTACATCCCAGGGGACTGACACAGTACCTCTGATGTTAGGTGAGGGATTCTACATCCCAGGGGACTGACACAGTACCTCTGATGTTAGGTGAGGGATTCTACATCCCAGGGGACTGACACAGTACCTCTGATGTTAGGTGAGGGATTCTACATCCCAGGGGACTGACACAGTACCTCTGATGTAAGGTGAGGGATTCTACATCCCAGGGGACTGACACAGTACCTCTGATGTTAGGTGAGGGATTCTACATCCAAGGGGACTGACACAGTACCTCTGATGCTAGGTGAAGGATTCTACATCCCAGGGGACTGACACAGTACCTCTGATGTTAGGTGAGGGATTCTACATCCCAGGGGACTGACACAGTACCTCTGACGTTAGGTGAGGGATTCTACATCCCAGGGGACTGACACACCTCTGATGTTAGGTGAGGGATTCTACAACCCAGGCGACTGACAGAGGGATTCTACATCCCAGGGGACTGACACAGTACCTCTGATGTTAGGTGAGGGATTCTACATCCAAGGGGACTGACACAGTACCTCTGATGATGTCCCAGGGGACTGAGGGATTCTACATCTGACCAGGGGACATGACACAGTACCTCTGATGTCAGGTGAGGGATTCTACATCCCAGGGGATTGACACAGTACCTCTGATGTTAGGTGAGGGATTCTACATCCCAGGGGACTGACACAGTACCTCTGATGTTAGGTGAGGGATTCTATACATACCACTGTATCCCTCAATAATCCAAGGGTACTGATACTTTATGTCCAGAATATTGAAGTCTTGCGAAATATCCACGAGATCTTTACAGAATAACGAAGTCTCTCTATTTCTTACTGACACACGTGACTTTTGTCCGGAATAACGAACTGCATCCACACACTAGTCTATATTCAGGTGACTTTTCTCTAGATTAACGAACTACGCTACACATTACAGACATGTAACTTTTGTCCAGGATAACGAACTGCATCCACACAATACTCTACAATCACGTGACTTGTCTCCGGATTAACGAATTACATCTACACATTACAGACATTTAACTTTTGTCCAGAATTGCAAACTGCATCCACACACTAGTCTACAATCACGTGACTTGTCTCCGGATTAACGACTCGTACATTTACACATTTCAGACATGTAAACTACACAGTATGTCTGGGAAAATAAATTATCTTAAGGTCCGTAATATTTCACGGGGAGCGGAATTGTGATCTATAAAATATCTTGAAAGGAAGTATTGTTTAAACAAACGATCTCCACAAATAACAGACATGCTGGTTAACGCCGTAAAGTACATCCGGAATCATGATATTCAAATTTATACGTCGCGTTCATTATTACAGGTAATTTTTATCAGATTGACGAGACTCCATTTATTGCAGATCCGGTTGGTGTTCCACTGTTCGGGGATTTTCTTGGTAGTAATTTATGTGCTGTTTGACAAAGTATTTAACCTTGGACGTGTACCAATACTTGACCCCGCGCGCCAGATCGACAAACAATAATGGTCAAACATTTATTTACACGTGTGTAGTTTATTGTCTTTATTGTCAACAATGATCTGTTAGTTATTACAGGGCCCAGTCTGTAGAATATGTTCGTTGTGGGTTTTTTTCTTACAAATATCGGTCACATGGACTCTGTATAGAGTCTACAGTCAGTTTTAACGTCTAATTTTACACAGCGCCCACCGATAATCAGGATTCACGGCGTCAAACACACAGTTTATACATGACAAGTGAACAAGTGTAGGGGTCGGGTTTGTAAAACCTTCATTCTGAAATACTATACTCCATTTAACGTTGATCTCGATGTGTTGTCATACATCAAACTCGACAACCAGGTATTCGTACCTGTGCGTACTCCGAGAACCACCCAGTAGAGTGAAGCACTCTCATACACGTATTGTTCCGCTGTGAAAATGTGACCCTTACCCGGAAACTGGATTCTTTTTCACCAATGGCGTAAAATAGTTACACTTTTCTATAATGAACTTCGTGTATATAATCTGTAAGCGTGTAACCGTTTGGTTGTAATGATTAATTGTTATGATCATGAAAGAGACTTTTTAATCCAATTAGGGTGTAATAATTAATTGATTGGATTATGAAGGGGACTTTTTAATCCAATTAGGGTGTAATAATTAATTGATTGGATTATGAAGGGGACTTTTTAATCCAATTAGGGTGTAATAATTAATTGATTGGATTATGAAGGGGACTTTTTAATCCAATTAGGGTGTAATAATTAATTGATTGGGGACTTTTTAATCCAATTAGGGTGTAATAATTAATTGATTGGATTATGAAGGGGACTTTTTAATCCAATTAGGGTGTAATAATTAATTGATTGGATTATGAAGGGGACTTTTTAATCCAATTTGGGTGTAATAATTAATTGATTGGATCATGATTGAGACTTTTTAATCACCTAACTCACTGTTAACTTATCTTACTCTCAGTATCGGATATTCGTCCATTAATGGCAATGTTTGATATTTGTTTAAGTCTCCTAATGTTACATGTTTACTTTCAGACGGACATTTAAACATCTTACCGATCAGTGTGCTTTAACACTGAGACGGTTATAAAAAGAGAACTGCTACAAGCCCGCCGTTACTCCCTCTTATTGTAGGTTACAACAAGAACGTTTATATGAAAAAGAAAGAAAGTCATTGGTTTTTTTTTTAACACGAGTACTGTGCTTTTTTGTTCACTTAATCACTGACAAGACGACCATGAATGTTTTGGGAAATATTCGCAACTGCAACAAGCTGTTAAAATATATTCTTTGACATCTCTGATAATTAAAGGTTGTGTGATGCGTCACGGACTTCAATGTATCTTTAAACTGCCGCAACATCATCGATCACGAAGTTAGATTGGTCCAACTTATTCCGTGCAAAGCTACACCTCTATATTAGCTAGCAAGGCGGGGAAATCCGCCAAAATATGAGCTCGCCAAATAACTCAAAATTAAAGAAAGTGTGTATTACAGGTAACAACATTTTCAATGTTGCTAGGAGCGACTTTGTCGTACCTGGGACGGTGTGATAAATGTGTTAAGTCTGATTTAAGGTATATTTCTTACAGGTAGATAATTTATCACCTGTTTATCTTGACCACGTAAAAAAGATATTTTTTGTCATTCCCAAGTGGAAAATAACTTGTGTTATAGTTCATGATGTCTTTTGTTCACACGATAACTTGCACGTGTGTTTCACTGTAGAACGTGAGTTGACAAGGTCTTTTTCATTTGTATGTGTCCTGACATAACCTTGCAGTACAACTTCCGGGTCAACAAAAGCACGTTCCACATGTGTGCCAGCCCAGGCGAGACGGAGTAAACGAACACAGATCACGATCACATTCTACCGTTAGCAGACGATATTCACAGGTCGGGACAAACATACAGGATATCGAGACTGCATGAAAATGGCGTGCAAGCTTCTACAAAATTCTCGAGTTGTCATTCTAGAGGGATTTAAATCCAGATCAAGAAAATTCTCGACATCCCTAAATGCACAGAAAAATTATAAACTTGTCGTCGTTGGTGGAGGGTCTGGAGGTTGTGCTGTCGCTTCCAAATTCGTGAAAAAACTTGGAGCAGGGAACGTGGCAGTGATTGAGCCAAACCAGGTAGGTTTGACCGTGATATATAGGGGTGAAAAATAATGACGGAAAAATAATTTCTACAACGTTATATATCCAGACCCAGAATTATCAAGTCAGTGACCTCGACCTTTGATCTTTAGCCCCCGACAAGATTACGTATTGTTATCTTAAGCAGGTTTATCTCTAGAACTCCACCAGATTATTGAACCCGAGTTGTTGTGAATACATAAAGGTTAGGTTCTAGATCAAATAGATATAAATTTAAACGATATTTCTATCTACTAAATTTAGCCCAAAGGGTTCTGATTATCGGAAATTTTATTAAAAGCTTGTCCTCGGCTAAGATAGAAATAAGATAGCAGATAGATAGTCAGAACCCTTCGAACTGTACCAAAAGTTGATCAGTTTTGTAACTTGAAACTTGCTTTGTATTGAACAAATTTAGGGTCTGATTAGTAAAAACAAAATGGCTGATTGTTGGCCATCTTGGATTCCAACTATAGTTTGTTTTAGCATTTACTGGAGAAATACTGAATGGTTTTATCTATTATTATATATGAAGTTTCCACTAGGTCCCTTTTATTCTGCAATCTTAATTTTAGACTGATCAGAGAGAAAAAAAAAAAAAAAAATAGCTGAACGGCTGCACCATCTCGGATTATGAAAGTTATAGGTAGTTTGTTATCATGATTTCTGTAAAAAGGGGTTGGATTGATTTTCATCATATGCATTATATAAGTTCCCCTTTGTACATGTTTGTACTTAGTTTCTTTTCAGTCAGATAATTAACGGTATAGCAGAAAGATGGCCATCTTGGATTTTGACGATTTTTTATGTATTTTTTCTTTCGTCCCTTGTTGTGCATTCTTCATCTTTCGTCCCTTGTTGTGCATTCTTCATCTTTCGTCCCTTGTTGTGCATTCATCATCTTTCGTCCCTTGTTGTGCATTCTTCATCTTTTGTCCCTTGTTGTGCATTCTTCATCTTTTGTCCCTTGTTGTGCATTCTTCATCTTTCGTCCCTTGTTGTGCATTCTTCATCTTTTGTCCCTTGTTGTTCATTCTTCATCTTTCCTCCCTTGTTGTTCATTCTTCATCTTTTGTCCCATGTTGTGCATTCTTCATCTTTCCTCCATTGTTGTGCATTCTTCATCTTTTGTCCCTTGTTGTGCATTCTTCATCTTTTGTCCCTTGTTGTGCATTCTTCATCTTTTGTCCCTTGTTGTGCATTCTTCATCTTTCCTCCCTTGTTGTTCATTCTTCATCTTTTGTCCCATGTTGTGCATTCTTCATCTTTCCTCCATTGTTGTGCATTCTTCATCTTTTGTCCCTTGTTGTGCATTCTTCATCTTTTGTCCCTTGTTGTGCATTCTTCATCTTTTGTCCCTTGTTGTGCATTCTTCATCTTTTCTCCCTTGTTGTGCATTCTTCATCTTTTGTCCCTTGTTGTGCATTCTTCATCTTTTGTCCCTTGTTGTGCATTCTTCATCTTTCCTCCATTGTTGTGCATTCTTCATCTTTTGTCCCTTGTTGTGCATTCTTCATCTTTTGTCCCTTGTTGTGCATTCTTCATCTTTCCTCCCTTGTTGTGCATTCTTCATCTTTTGTCCCTTGTTGTGCATTCTTCATCTTTCCTCCCTTGTTGTGCATTCTTCATCTTTTGTCCCTTGTTGTGCATTCTTCATCTTTTGTCCCTTGTTGTGCATTCTTCATCTTTTGTCCCTTGTTGTGCATTCTTCATCTTTCCTCCCTTGTTGTGCATTCTTCATCTTTTGTCCCTTGTTGTGCATTCTTCATCTTTTGTCCCTTGTTGTGCATTCTTCATCTTTCCTCCCTTGTTGTGCATTCTTCATCTTTTGTCCCTTGTTGTGCATTCTTCACCTTTTGTCCCTTGTTGTGCATTCTTCATCTTTTGTCCCTTGTTGTGCATTCTTCACCTTTTGTCCCTTGTTGTGCATTCTTCATCTTTTTTCCCTTGTTGTGCATTCTTCATCTTTCCTCCCTTGTTGTGCATTCTTCACCTTTTGTCCCTTGTTGTGCATTCTTCATCTTTCGTCACTTGTGCATTCTTCATTTTTGGACTGATCTGGGAAAATGAAAGACCAGCCATAAAAAAAAATTTGCCAAACATTTTTGTGCTGAGGTTAAACTGCCATGAGTTACTCTAGTTAACAGTAGAGGTATATTGATTTCCTCCTAATCTGTCGCCAATTATCTATCCTCACATAAACACTGTTTACCACACTACCTAAATCATACCCTATTGTGATAGTTTTACAGATCCTGAACTGCATCACAGGTTTGGGATGGAACCTTTTGTCCTCTTTTTAGCCTACCATCATCAGATGGTGGTTTATTTAAATTACACTGCATCCATAGTCTGTTGATCTGCCCGTCCATAACATTTTTATTATGGCTGTAACTTGAAAAATAAGATATGGATCTCATCCAAGTTTCATATGTAGGTTCCCCTTAGTCCCTAGTTGTGCCCATTTGATTTTGGGAATGATCAGAGAAACAAAATGGCCGACAGGCAGACATCTTGGATTTTGACTTTGAAAGTTTGTTACACTATTTCTTGAGAATTGCAAACTTTGGGAATTTGACATAAATGTGAAATAATTGCAAGTGGGAAAGGTTCCCAAGATCAGCCCCGAAAAACCCTCAAAAATACCTCAAACATTGACATTTATGTGTATAAAAGGATAGCTCCATGGTGACAAACCCTGCACACAATAATTGTGTCCAAGTCTTTACGTCTAATATGAGCACACATCAGACTAATATGATGGATGCATTCAATAATGATTTTTATCAGCTATGGAAAGCCCAGGACTTCCAACCAAAGGTCAAGGTCATCTTGATATTGCTCTGTATGATAGGATTAGTTGTCTGTTGGTGCTTGGTATCTATCACCTTTGTTATAGTTGACTTAAGTTCCTCTGTGGTGCCTAACTCTTCATAGTTTTTTTTTTTGATTAACACTGAAAAAAGGTTTGACCAAAGAATATGATTTACGAAGGTTGTGATTCCCTTCAGGCAGATTTTAGACATTTAGAAAAAAAAGCCTGGCATTGTGATACTGTCTGACTGATTATATATACTACAGACCAAGTCAAACTCTTCATTATTTCAATATTTATACTGAATGTTGAAAATAAGTATTTAATGTACTGATTAGCACCTGAAGGGACCTGACAAAACAAACTTCCCACACAAGGGACATGACAAAACAAACTTACCACAGGGACCTGACAAACAAACTTCCCACAGGGACCTGACAAAACAAACTTACCACAGGGACCTGACAAACAAACTTCTCACAGGGACCTGACAAAACAAACTTTTTATACAGGGACTTGACAAAACAAACTTCCCACACAAGGGACATGACAAAACAAACTTACCACAGGGACCTGACAAACAAACTTCCCACAGGGACCTGACAAAACAAACTTCCCACAGGGATCTGACAAAACAAACTTACCACACAGTGACATGACAAAACAAACTTCCCACGCAGTGACATGACAAAACAACTTCCCACAGGGATATGACAAAACAAACATCCCACAGGGAACTGACAAAATAAACTTCCCACACTATGACCTGACAAAACAAACTTTCCACAGTGACCTGATAAGTCAAACTTTCCACACACGGACCTGACAAAACAAACTTCCCACACGGACATGACAAAACAAACTTCCCACACATTGACCTGACAAAACAAACTTCCCACACAGACATGATAAAACAAACTTCCCACACATTGACCTGAGAAAACAAACTTCCCACACAGTGACCTGAGAAAACAAACTTCCCACACGGACATGATAAAACAAACTTCCCACACAGGGACCTGACAAACAAACTTCCTACAGTGACCTGACAAAACAAACTTCCCACACAGTGACCTGACTAAACAAACTTCCCACACGGACATGACAAAACAAACTTCCCACACAGGGACCTGACAAAACAAACCTTTTATACAGGGACTTGACAAAACAAACTTCCCACAAGGACATGACAAAACAAACACAGGGACCCAACAAAAAAACTTCCCACAGGCACCTGACAAAACAAACTTCCCACACTATGACCTGACAAAACAAACTTTCCACACACGGACCTGACAAAACAAACTTCCCACACAGGGACCTGACAAAACAAACTTCCCACAGGGCCTGACAAAACAAACTTCCCACACACGGACCTGACAAAACAAACTTCCCACACAGGGACCTGACAAAACAAACTTTTTATACAGGGACTTGACAAAACAAACTTCCCACAGGCACCTGACAAAACAAACTTTCCACAGGGACCCGACAAAAAATCTTCCCACAGGCATCTGACGAAACAAACTTCCCACACAGGAACATAACAAAACAAACTTTCCACAGTGACCTGACAAAGCAAACTTTCCACACACGGACCTGACAAAACAAATTTCCCACACAATTACCTGACAAAACAAACTTTCCACAGGGACCTGACAAAACAAACTTCTAACAGTGACCTGACAAAACAAACTTCCCACACAGGGACCTGAAAAAACAAACTTCCCACAGGGCCAGACAAAGCAAACTTTTTATACAGCGACCTGACAAAACAAACTTTCAACAGGGACCTGACAAAACAAACTACCCACAGGGACCTGACAAAACAAACTTCCCACACACGGACCTGACATAACAAACTTCCCACACAGGGACCTGACAAAACAAACTTTCCACAGGGACCTGACAAAACAAACTTCCCACAAGGACCTGACATAACAAACTTCCCACACAGGGACCTGACAAAACAAACTTCCTATACAGGGCCTGAAGATTTTTCAGCCACAGAATATGTATGTAATTAATATAGTACTGTGATATCAAACAAATTTAAAAACACAGAAGTCAACAAAGAAGCCAGGTCAGTCAGGTTCCTGACTACAATTCACATTGTCTCTGAAGAGCCACAGGGTTGTTCCTACATCAAGTTCTGTTTGTGTTTGTGACACAGACTCAATAACACTAACACCTCATTGCTCTGTGTCGGTACGTAAACAAAGTGATGATGACAACTTGTTTACAATAGTTACAGCCAGATATTGGTTATAGTGTACATAAGGATGTTTCTTAAACTCAGTTTACACATTGTTGTGATGTTGTTGTCACAAAGGTGTAGTTATAATACGATCACAGAATAAAAAAGTAGATTTGATGATTCAGAAACTGAAGCTTGATGTATAAAATTGAATGTAATATCTTTGATCTGTCATACAGATTGGATTTCTTCCATTTAGCTGTTTAGGGAAATCTATGTATTTCAGGTCAATGTGTTTGTTGTATTCTGTTTGTTTATTCTTTGTTTCATTATTACTTGACAGACCCACTACTATCAGCCAATGTTCACACTGATAGGCGGAGGGATCAAGACTCTATCAGATTCGGCACGACCAATGAAATCCGTCCTACCAGCTAAATGTGATTGGATTCAATCAAAAGCTGTCAACTTTGACCCTGTGGGTCAGAAGGTCACTACAGCCAGTGGAGAAGAGGTATACAAACCTTCTGAGTCTTCTTCAGTCAGTGTTTCCCTGTTGATACAAATAAAGGATAACTTTTAACTTTGTCTGTCAAGTATATCAAAACATTATGGAATTTATAATTACTTTGGCTCTTATTTTTATGTGAATTTTGATGAAAGAGATGCCTGTAGACTTTAATTGAGAATCCATAATGTTGCCAATTCCTCATAATTAAGTAATTTCATATCAGGATCTGCTCAAATGTAAAATTCTAGAATCACATATTTCTTGACTTTTGATTACAATTTAAATATTTCAAAATTAAATTTAGGAACAAAAAAGTATTAAGTTAATGTTTAAACAGAGCCTGGAACATCTTTTAAACACAAATAAACACTGAATGATGTATAGGAGTTTGGAGAGTACAAAGTTACAGACAGACACTGTATGATGTATAGGATTTTTGAGAGTGCAAAGTTACAAATAGACACTGTATGATGTATACTATGTTTTTTGAGTGTGCAAAGTTGCAAACAGACACTGTATGATGTATCTTGGGGTTTTTGAGAGTACAAAGTTACAGACAGACACTGTATGATGTATAGGATTTTTGAGAGTGCAAAGTTACAAATAGACACTGTATGATGTATACTATGTTTTTTGAGTGTGCAAAGTTGCAAACAGACACTGTGTGATGTATCTTGGGGTTTTTGAGAGTACAAAGTTACAAACAGACACTGTATGATGTATCTTGGGGTTTTTGAGAGTACAAAGTTACAAACAGACACTGTATGATGTATATCAGGTTTTTTGAGAGTACAAAGTTACAAACAGACACTGTATGATGTATATCAGGTTATTTGATAGTACAAAGTTACAAACAGACACTGTATGATGTATATCAGGTTATTTGAGAGTACAAAGTTACAAACAGACACTGTATGATGTATATCAGGTTATTTGAGAGTACAAAGTTACAAACAGACACTGTATGATGTATATCAGGTTATTTGAGAGTACAAAGTTACAAACAGACACTGTATGATGTATATCAGGTTATTTGAGAGTACAAAGTTACAAACAGACACTGTATGGTGTATATCAGGTTATTTGAGAGTACAAAGTTACAAACAGACACTGTATGATGTATATCAGGTTATTTGAGAGTACAAAGTTACAAATAGACACTGTATGGTGTATATCAGGTTATTTGAGAGTACAAAGTTACAAATAGACACTGTATGATGTATACTAACTATGTTTTTTGAGAGTGCAAAGTTACAATTAGATTGTATTAAGCCCTTCTGCATGAAGAATAAAAATCTAGTTTCAGTACTGACCATAGACTTCTGTATAACTCTTATCTTTATCCATCATGATCTAAATACTTTTATTCTTTTTTAATGTCTGATTGTCTCCTCCCTTTCAGGTTGGTTACGACTACTTGGTAGTTGCTATGGGGTTACAGCTGAACTTTAACAAGGTTGGTAATGGACATTTCATTAAAGTTTTATTTAAATATTTTTTTTTTGGTTATTAATGTCAATAGAATAAAAGTTCTTGTAGCAAAACTAGTAGAAGATTAGAGTATCCTTGGTACATCAGTTTCCCCTTAAAAACTATTTACTTCGCTATGTCAATGAAGTGACCCAAACAAATACATAAATTAATTCAATTATGTTCATATTATAAGACTTATTTCAAAACACTGATCACTGAAACACCGGTATTTCTCTTTAAAAAAATATCCACAGATCTGACCTCAAATTTCCTCACCTGCATTGATATGTGTTTCAGACATGTGACTGTACTTTCATTTCTGATATATATCACAAACTATTTGGATACAGTTAATTTTTCATCGGTCAGTCTACAATTTGCTAGTTAATGAAAATTAGAAATGAGTCATCAAAAGTGATAATTTAAAAAGCATCACTTTTCCAATTTAAGATGTGCATGTTTGGACTTTCGTAGTCAAGAAATTGCATGAAGGCTTGACCTATTATTCATGGTTGATTTTTATTCACTTTGAAGACGACAACAAAACATTGGCATTCGAGGATGGATTGATTAGTTATTTCATATCTGGGAAGATGGTTGACATGTGAAAATGTAAATTAAGAAAAATTTCACAAATTTGCCAGTGAAATATTAACACAGAATATTTCATGGTGAATGGTTTTAGGTCATCGTGCTTCATTCGTCGTCGTCCGCCGTGCACCGTACGTAAACTTTTGACATTTTAAACTTCTCCTCAAGTTCCACCAGTGGGATTGGGCTCAAACTTGCATGAAATGATCCTGAAGTTGTCCTGACCAAGTTTCATTTTTTTATGGTTTGTCTGAAATCCAAGATAACTGTCATTGCCACCATTTTGAAAAATGTATTTTAAACTTCTTCTCCAGTTCCACTGGTGCCATTGGCGGGAATGTTTAGGAAAGGTAGCCAACAAAGTGTTGCTGTTTTTTAACCTTGTCAAAACTTTGATACAGCAGCCAGGGAGGCCATTTTGTAACATGATTACACAAACATGGTAACACTTGTTACAGCTACCTACTCCTCACCAAAACTACCTTCTGCATCATGGAAAACAGCTTCTTAGTAAGATTTCATTCAAAGTAGAAACAATAACCTTTCCCCCCTGCTGAAAGTTTTTGTAGTCACATGACCGTTAAGGCCTGAGGGCCTCTTGTTTATACTTTCTGAAAGTGTGACATGTAACAGCAACCAAAATTATCCTGGTGCAAGGTCACGCAGGTCAATAGTGCATGTGATACTCCTCTACAAAAAGGCTGTTCCAAAATAGATCATAGTACAGAACAGATGTCCAGACGATATGATGTTTCTGTGACTACACAGTCCCCTTCATCTTATAACACAACAAGTAGAAGATTAGAGTGCGATGTTTCAATGACTACACGTTCACCTTCATCAGGCAAATGACCAGTGTTTGGAGCGTACTAGCACTGACGTACATAGTGTGCGAGATCTACACGGTCACCTTCATCAGACAAATGACCAGTGTGGAGCATACTAGCACTGATGTACATAGTGTACGAGATCTACATGGTCACCTTCATCAGACAAAGGACCAGTGTGGAGCATACTAGCACTGACGTACGTAGTGTACGAGATCTACAAGGTCACCTTTATAAAAAAAAAATGACCAGTGTGGAGCGTACAAGCACTGACGTAGGTAGTGTACAAGATCTACGCGGTCACCTTCATCAGACAAATGACCAGTGTGGAGCGTACTAGCACTGACGTACGTAGTGTACAAGATCTACACAGTCACCTTCATCAGACAAGTGACCAGTGTAGAGCGTACTAACACTGATGTACGTAGTGTACGAGATCTTCACGGTCACCTTCATCAGACAAGTGACCAGTGTAGAGCGTACTAACACTGATGTACGTAGTGTACGAGATCTACACGGTCACCTTCATCAGACAAGTGACACGTCTGAAGTGTACTAGCACTGATGTATGTAGTGTCAAGATGACCAATAGTCATTTTGTTTCATCTGTCGCAGTACGCCGTGGGTTGTGTGTAAGCTTTTTCTTTTAAACCCTATTCTTCTTTCATACCTGGATGGGTTTCAACCAAATTTGGTACGATGCACATCGAGTGAGATTAATCATTTCTTAAATTCAGAATTTGATTCGTTTTGTGGTTGAGGGTGGGGATCCAAAGGGGGATGTGCTGAAATTAGATTTAAAGCCTTACTCTTCCTTTCTTCGTGGGTGGATTTCAACAAGCTTTGGCCTGATTCATCAGTTAGGGTAGGCAATTATTTTAATTATTAAATTCAGAAATTTGATTTGACCCCAGGTATATTAATTATTAATAGATTGTTTGTTGCTTTGTTAACAGATCAAGGGGCTACCAGAAGCATTTGACCTTGACCCTCAGGTTGTATCAAACTATTGGACAAAGACAGTTGTGAATACATACCCAGCAATACAGAAATTCAAGGGAGGTAATGCCATCTTCACCTTCCCCAACACGCCTATCAAATGTGCTGGAGCTCCCCAGAAGATAATGTATCTGGCTGAGGAACTTTTTAGAAAGGTATGATATCACAGGTCAGAACGTCTCAGAAGGTAATGTATCTCGCTGAGGAACTTTTTAGAAAGGTATGATATCACAGGTCAGAACGTCTCAGAAGGTAATGTATCTGGCCGAGGAACTTTTTAGAAAGGTATGATATCACAGGTCAGAACGTCTCAGAAGGTAATGTATCTGGCCGAGGAACTTTTTAGAAAGGTGTGATATCACAGGTCAGAACGTCTCAGAAGGTAATGTATCTGGCCGAGGAACTTTTTAGAAAGGTGTGATATCACAGGTCAGAACGTCTCAGAAGATAATGACACTTTTGGGATTAAAAGTTCAGATAAGGAATTAATGTGTACTCTCTACTAATGAAGTGATGGAGTTTTATCTCTCCTTCCCAAATATGCTATCAAGTGTGCTGGGGCTCCGTAGAAGATAAGTTACTTCAATGAGGAATTTTCATAAAGGTAAAATACACCTGTAGGAACTCTCCTGAAGATAAGTACCTTATAGAGAAACGTTTGAGAAAAGTAAGATATAATCTGCCACAGCCTCCCTCCCCCTCCCCCTGCAGACCTGCAGATAATACCTCACTGAAGAACTTTTGAGAAAAGTAAGCCATAACCTGCCAGAGCAACTCCCCCCCCCTCCCCCTGCAGATAATACCTCACTGAAGGACTTTTGAGAAAAGTAAGATATAACCTGCCAGAGCAACCCTCCCTCCCCACCCTCCACCATCCCCCTGCAGACCTGCAGATAATACCTCACAGAAGAACTTTTGAGAAAAATAAGATAAAAGCCTGTGTGAAACATACTCATTGATGTTTTTTATTAATTCTGACCTAATGTTGGAGGAAAATGAATTAAAAAAAAATGATAGTAAATCTGGAAAATGTGCCTTTATTGCAAGATTTGACAATATAAAAATATTTAGAAATGATTTATTTGATTTTGAAAACTTCCTGATGTTGGTTTCTTACTTAAGAGATGTTCATTTAACAAATTGTTTATTTCCAGAACAAAACCAGACAAGATAGTGAAGTAATATTTAACACTGCACTTGGTGTAATATTTGGTGTCAAGAAATATGCAGAAAGTTTGCAGAAAATAGTAACAGCAAGGTAAACACATAATCTCTTGCTTAATGGAACTGTTTCTAATCTTAAAATAGCAAAGATGAAATTTGATTGTGTTGACAAAATCATTTAGTTACCTATTTAGTTACCTGAGTGAGTATAAGACAGGGACATTCTGCCCAAGTAGCAAAATTTCTGTCTGTTTTGCACCTTGTAAGAACACAGTCTGAAAAATCTCAAACTTGTACTTGTAAAGCTGTTGTAGGCAGTAAAGCATCTGCTTTATGTCAGTTTGGTCAAAATTGGTGGGAATACTCCCAGGTAACCTGTCTAAATATAGCACATGGGGAAATCCAGAACTGAAAGGTCACTGGATCATTGATTTTATGCACTGTATGTATTTGTTAATTAAACTTTCTGCTGGTGTTACAATGTTATTGCTTCATTAGGCTTATTCCTGTTGACTTTATAATTTAAGTTTTGTTCTGTTTGGCTTATAACAATGTAAATTATGTCCCAGTCAGGCTGCACAGATTTTTGTTACCAAGGCGATCTAGCTAGATCTATATAGAATTTCCACAAATTAAATATCATATGTTTATATAAATGGTATATTGAGGTGTACAATTTCCATAATAATATAAGTAGATGATTTTGTACTGGTTTTTTTTTAAATCCATCCTATGAAATCCTAACTTGTGTGGAATATCCCTTTAAGAACTATCTAATTATCCGTTGAAGAACAGTTTAAAAATATGGATACAAAGTTTTGATGACTTACTACCGACCAATATACCTACCTGGTATCTATCAGGAGTTCAGAGCCTATTAAACACTATCATCAGCTGTGTGACACAGATATCAGAGTACTTTTGTTAGGGACCAGTTATTAAGTTCTAGGAATGAAAAACTATATGTAAGTCAACACTGCATCAAAATAATAGAAATATATAGAAGTTTATAGAATCTAGTAAGTAATATCGACGGTATGGTCCAATATTGGTACTGGATCTTCTATATATAGAATCTAGTAAGTAATATCGACGGTATGGTCGAATATTGGTACTGGATCTTCTATATATATAGAATCTAGTAAGTAATATCAGCAGTATGGTCCAATATTGATACTGGATCTTCTATATATAGAATCTAGAAAGTAATATCGACGGTATGTTCCAATATTGGTACTGGATCTTCTATATATAGAATCTAGTAAGTAATATCGACGGTATGGTCCAATATTGGTACTGGATCTTCTATATATAGAATCTAGTAAGTAATATCGTTGGTATGGTCCAATATTCGTACTCGATCTTCTATATATAGAATCTAGTAAGTAATATCGACGGTATGGTCCAATATTGATACTGGATCTTCTATATATAGAATCTAGAAAGTAATATCGACGGTATGTTCCAATATTGGTACTGGATCTTCTATATATAGAATCTAGTAAGTAATATCGACGGTATGGTCCAATATTGGTACTGGATTCTCTATATATAGAATCTAGTAAGTAATATCGACGGTATGGTCCAATATTGGTACTGGATCTTCTATATATAGAATTTAGTAAGAATCTAGTGAGTAATATTGACGGTATGTTCCAATATTGATATTGGATCATTTATATATAGAATCTAGTAAGTAATATCGTTGGTATGGTCCAATATTGGTACTGGATCTTCTATATATAGAATCTAGTAAGTAATATCGTTGGTATGGTCCAATATTGATACTGGATCTTCTATATATAGAATCTAGTAAGTAATATCGTTGGTATGGTCCAATATTGGTACTGGATCTTCTATATATAGAATCTAGTAAGTAATATCGACGGTATGGTCCAATATTGGTACTGGATCTTCTATATATAGAATCAGTAATATCGTTGGTATGGTCCAATATTGATATGGATCTTCTATATATAGAATGTAATATTGACGGTATGGTCCAATATTGGTACTGAATCTTCTATATATAGAATCTAGTAAGTAATATCGACGGTATGGTCCAATAATGATACTGGATCTTCTATATATAGAATCTAGTAAGTAATATCAACGGTATGGTCCAATGTTGGTACTGGATCCTAACAAGCAAATGTTTGTTGGATGTGTATTACTGGGATAGATATATAATCAATGAAGTAATAGCAACAGTACAGACAAGCGAATTGTCAAATATTTGAGGCAACCTGACCCTTTATCAAGACACAAATGTATATTAATTACATCACATACATAGAACATAAAACAAATACAAAGTTATAAATCTGAATCGAGAGCGGTGGTGTAAATTTAGGTGTCTCGATAATCCCTTCGGTCGATGGACCCCGAAGGCCCTTTATAGCAGACGAAAAAAACCCATCCCAAGTTGAAGTATTTAAGATAGTGATTACATATAAGTTATATATATATACCAAAAAAAATAAAAGTATTCATTTTACAACAACTTTGAAACAAGCTATTAGCTAATAGTAGTGACTTTTGGATGGAAGTGTGAAAAGGATTTCACTGAATATGGGAAGAAATTGTAGAACCTGAGAAAACCGTTGTTGTTCAACAAGTGAGCCCTATACCATTCCAAATTGTCTGCTCAGGGATCCAGGGTGTCTAGTTTAAAGAAGAGTGTGTAACCACTGCACCACCCAAACATCCATAATATTACAATCTGTATAAGATAATTTTTTTCTTGTTTTAGAAATATCAAAGTTAACTATAAAAGAAACCTTGTAGAAGTGCGAGGTGCAGAGCGTGAGGCTGTGTTTGAGAATCTCGACAAGCCAGGAGAAATGGAGGTGTTTAAGGTGAGACAAACAATAGACATACATGTATGTTGTAATTCTGGACAAGTCAGGAGAAATGGAGATGTTTAAGGTGAGACAAACAATAGACATACATGTACGTTATAGGATTTTCTCAAAGTAACCTTTTTTTTTTGTTAAAAAGTCAACCGGACAACAATATAGACTGGAAATTGTCACTGTAGTTTATTTCCATGACGATACAGTTGAGCCTATAACAAGTCAGGAGTTAACTACAGGATAGGTACTGTACATCTGTTTTGTTAACAGAGGTCAGAGATAAGTTCGTCTTTTGAGAGAGAAAAAAATGCCCGTAAATTGATTCAACATTATAATGTTTGTATACTGTTTTCAGTATGACTTGCTGCATGTGACTCCGCCCATGTCCACTCCGGACGAGTTACGTACCAGTGCCATCGTGAATGAAGCAGGGTTTGTAAATGTGAACAAGGAAACATTACAGCACACAGACTATCCAAATATCTTTTCCATTGGTGACTGCAACAGTGCACCTACATCCAAGACAGCTGCTGCAGTAGGTAAGGTCAGAGGTCAAACTAGGTTAGCATCAAAGGTCAAACTAGTCCAGGGTCATGCTATGATATAGTGTAACCATTCACACGTTAACAATATTGTCCTTGGTGAAATAATGGAAGTTTGTATGCACATTTCATACATATTTATGATACTGACATTTCTGTCAATTGGATGCTGTCATATTAACAACATCTGAAAGTTAAAAGTGTACAAGTGTTGTCAGTAGTTATTTCTCTGTCCTGTCAGCTTCAGCAAATAGTACAAAGTATCAAATGTTTTGCTTCAGCGGCCCAGAGTGGAGTGTTGGAGCGTAACTTGTCAGCAGTGATGAATGGAGCAAAACAGTCAGCACAGGTACAGTATAATGATTGAATTGTAACTAGCATGTATCACTAGGGGTGGTCAGTATCACTAGGGGTGGTCAGTGTCACTAGGGGTGGTCAGTGTCACTAGGGGTGGTCAGTGTCACTACGGGTGGTCAGTATCACTAGGGGTGGTCAGTATCACTAGGGGTGGTCAGTGTCGCTAGGGGTGGTCAGTGTCACTAGGGGTGGTCAGTGTCACTAGGGGTGGTCAGTATCACTAGGGTTGGTCAGTGTCACTAGGGGTGGTCAGTGTCACTAGGGGTGGTCAGTGTCACAAGGGGTGGTCAGTATCACTAAGGGTGGTCAGTATCACTAAGGGTGGTCAGTATCACAAGGGTGGTCAGTGTCACAAGGGGTGGTCAGTGTCACTAGGGGTGTTCAGTGGGTGGTCAGTATCACTAGGGGTGGTCAGTATCACTAGGGTGGTCAGTGTCACTAGGGTGGTCAGTGTCACTAGGGTGGTCAATACCACTAAGGATGGTCAGTATCACTAGGTTTGGTCAGTATCACTAGGGTTGGTCAGTATCACCAGGGGTGGTCAATATCACTAGGGTGGTCAGTGTCACTAGGGTGGTCAGTGTCACTAGGGGTGGTCAGTGTCACTAGGGTTGGTCAGTGTCACTAGGGTGGTCAGTATCACTAAGGTGGTCAGTGTCACTAGGGGTGGTCAGTGTCACTAGGGGTGGTCAGTATCACTAGAGGTGGTCAGTATCACTAGGGGTGGTCAGTATCACTAGGGTGGTCAATATCACTAGGGTGGTCATTATCACAAGGGGTGGTCAGTGTCACTAGGGTGGTCAGTGTCACTAGGGGTGGTCAGTGTCACTAGGGTGGTCAGTATCACTAAGGTGGTCAGTGTCACTAGGGGTGGTCAGTGTCACTAGGGGTGGTCAGTATCACTAGAGGTGGTCAGTATCACTAGGGGTGGTCAGTATCACTAGGGTGGTCAATATCACTAGGGTGGTCATTATCACAAGGGGTGGTCAGTGTCACTAGGGTGGTCAGTGTCACTAGGGGTGGTCAGTGTCACTAGGGGTGGTCAGTGTCACTAGGGTGGTCAGTATCACTAGGGGTGGTCAGTAACACTAGGGTGGTCAGTATCACTAGGGATGGTCAGTAACACTAGGGGTGGTCAGTAACACTAGGGGTGGTGGTCAGTATCACTAGGGGTGGTCAGTAACACTAGGGTGGTCAGTATCACTAGGGGTGGTCAGTAACACTAGGGTGGTCAGTATCACTAGGGGTGGTCAGTGTCACTAGGGGTGGTCAGTGTCACTAGGGGTGGTCAGTGTCACAAGGGGTGGTCAGTATCACTAAGGGTGGTCAGTATCACTAAGGGTGGTCAGTATCACAAGGGTGGTCAGTGTCACAAGGGGTGGTCAGTGTCACTAGGGGTGTTCAGTGGGTGGTCAGTATCACTAGGGGTGGTCAGTATCACTAGGGTGGTCAGTGTCACTAGGGTGGTCAGTGTCACTAGGGTGGTCAATACCACTAAGGATGGTCAGTATCACTAGGTTTGGTCAGTATCACTAGGGTTGGTCAGTATCACCAGGGTTGTCAGTGTCACTAGGGTGGTCAGTGTCACTAGGGGTGGTCAGTGTCACTAGGGTTGGTCAGTGTCACTAGGGTGGTCAGTATCACTAAGGTGGTCAGTGTCACTAGGGGTGGTCAGTGTCACTAGGGGTGGTCAATATCACTAGAGGTGGTCAGTATCACTAGGGGTGGTCAGTATCACTAGGGTGGTCAATATCACTAGGGTGGTCATTATCACAAGGGGTGGTCAGTGTCACTAGGGTGGTCAGTGTCACTAGGGGTGGTCAGTGTCACTAGGGTGGTCAGTATCACTAAGGTGGTCAGTGTCACTAGGGGTGGTCAGTGTCACTAGGGGTGGTCAGTATCACTAGGGGTGGTCAGTATCACTAGGGGTGGTCAGTATCACTAGGGGTGTTCAGTATCACTAGGGTGGTCAATATCACTAGGGTGGTCATTATCACAAGGGGTGGTCAGTGTCACTAGGGTGGTCAGTGTCACTAGGGGTGGTCAGTGTCACTAGGGGTGGTCAGTGTCACTAGGGTGGTCAGTATCTCTAGGGGTGTCAGTATCACTAGGGTGGTCAGTATCACTAGGTTTGGTCAGTGTCACTAGGGGTGGTCAGTGTCACTAGGGGTGGTCAGTATCAGGGGTGGTCAGTATCACTAGGGGTGGTCAGTATCATTGTATATTTTTAGAGTTTTCATTTCTTAAGCAAGTCACTCATTTGGGAATGATTGAAACTATATTCTCTTGTACAGAAAGTAAAAAAAATGTTTTAAATAAGTTGTATGTTTTGTTATATCAAGTCATCACTGGTTTTGCATCAATTTTTGTTGCCAAATTGGTTCCTTACTATTGGATACCTGTGATAATTGTGTGTAATTAATTTGTTCTGATTACCACAATGATGTGAAGTAACTCTGAATTCTCTCTAGTATGATGGCTACACCTCGTGCCCACTGATCACAAGCCGAGGTAAATGTATCCTGGCCGAGTTTGACTATGACGCTCAGCCACTGGAAACTTTTCCAGTAAACCAAGGAAAAGAGCGATCTTCTATGTATCACCTGAAGGCCAGCGTTATGCCTGAACTCTACTGGAAAATGCTTCTCAAGTAAGTATCGCTCTACAGTATACATGTCTTAATTTTCGCACAATGAATTTTTTTTAATAAATGAGAGCAATGGTGAAGTTTGTTTACACAATCATTGCTATATAAACGTCACACAGAAAATACTATTGATGACAAAACATTGCAGTACATTGAGTGTGAAAATCACTAGAATTTATTACAGTCATTGAATCTTAACACTTGGCACCGATTGTTCAATGGCTGGTTAGAGATAAACACTGCTTAGTAAAATATTTTCAAATATGAATCGAGCAGAAGTGAGGAAAGTCTTTGTCATGGTATACGTGTAGATTTGTTGATACCAGTAAAAATTTTTCACAAACCACCGGTTATCTGCAACAAACTTTTGATCAACTGGAGCCAGACGTCCCACGATGATGGCCTTCGAGTTTTATATATTAATTCTATATTGAATTTAACACTCTGTTTTGTTCAGTGACACCAATTAAAATTTTTCACTACCCACTAGTTATCTGCAACAAACTTGTATCTCGTTAGATTTTGGTGAGAAATAAAACTCGATTCTGGAGATTGTTTAGGAATGGGATTATGTTTCCATACAACTGAGACAGGTTCACAGTACATACAATATCAGAGTAACTCTGTTACAGGGGCAACTGGAATGGACCGGGTGTATACAGAAAATTGATGAGGTTCGGAATGGGATCATCAGGGAAAGCGTGAAACACTCCGGACAACCTTCCAACTGTTGATGCTGTTTTATTGACTTTTGAAATTAATTGCCACCTTTGTTATTTTCCAACCTTATAAATAGGTAAAAAAAAGCGATTTGTATAGATGAGTAAAATAAATGTGTAAAATAAATGTGTAATATAAAATCAGCACTGGTAATTGTTCGGTTTACTATGTACCTGGGATACGGGATGTAGGACATAGCATTTAGATGTCAAAATTAAATGATTAAATGTTATTAATCTTAGCATTTGTCCAACCTTAAATCCTTATTTTTGTTAGATTTTACAGCAGATAATCTTGTTTAACCAATCCAGATCTTATTTTGTTATATGAGCTGTTATGCCTTGTGTTCTGACCTGTAAATGTGTTTCCAAAATGGTAAAAATCTGTTGAAGTACATAGAATTTAGCTGAAATGCTTTTGGTTTTTATTTTAGATGATACAACTAGTCGCTTGATGAGTTTAATTAGTCGGGAATACAACAATAACCAAGGCGAATTTGTACTGCTAAGGTTATAAGAGCTGAGAGGCTAAAGTTGTAATTTGTATACTGAATACATGTACCAATCAGAACATATAACATATGTTAAGGAGTAGAAATTAAATTTTAAATTTAAAATGCATTGAAATCATGTTTGTTATGAATATGAATACAACAGGGTCAAGATTTGATGAATCAGTAGACACAACATACGAATTGTTATCATTTCTTACAGCATTTCTTCAGCATTCTGTTTGGACGCCATATGAAGATTTTTACAAGCTTGTGTATATCATGGAGATATAAAAGATTCAGAAATGAAAGTGCAAGTGATTAAATATGCAGGTTCTTCAAATTTATTTTTATATTGATATATATATATATATATATATATGTAAGTATATATTTGAGAAAATTTGAAAAAAAAAATCAACAAAAACACAAGAAAATATATACTATGTTATTATATATTTATGATTCAATGAGTTTCAGTGCTGTTTTTTTCTTTATTGGAGAATAGAAAATAAAAACAAACTAAAGACTGATTGGAACTAATGACCTTCACCCCTTACAGGACTCGTTAGGTGTAAAGTCCATGCTGTATGAAGTTTTTTACAACTGTGTATATGTATATAAGAAAATAAGTGAGTGATGGAATGGTTGTGTTAGGTGGTATTAATCAGTTTATAGTGCCATAGTAAACCCAGGAGGTTATCTTCACAGTGAAGTCATGGTTCCATATGAGTTTTGTAAAATTATTTTATTTTGTAGGGCTCAAATTTCTATGTCTGTATGAAAAAAAAATGTTTTTGTATTTTTTTTTTATATTATGGATAGATAGTGCTATGTAAACATTTTGGTGGATTTGTACCCAGGAAATCACTGGAAATGAAAACCGACAAAAATTAAAGATTTTACTGTAATTTATATACAAATGTATGTTTTGTGTATGCTGTTTATGTTGCAGTTTTAAACGAAATGAAAATAAATTTTATGTTGTATAACATTTATACTGAATCTGTTTTAAAGATTTAGACTATTTTACTGCTTATTTCACAAATATGGTGGCCGAGTGGTTAAGGTGCCTTACCATCTTTATCACTAGTCCTCCACCTGTGGAGGTTTGAGGCCTATATAGGGCAGTTGCCATGTACTGGCCAAACATAGTTTAGTGGCTTTTCACTGGGAACTCTGGCTTTCTTCCTACGCCCAAACCGCACACATCCTTAAACAACTGTTTATAAGACAACAATGATTTTAACTGTTTTCACAAGAAAATAGATAGTATTCTTTTACATATATTAATAACATTGCATGTTATTACATTACATGTAATATATTTTAATATGGTTATCAAACATTTAGCTTGTAAAATTGCTTAAGGAAGTTTGAGGTATCTACACTAAATTACAAAAAAAATAAAATATAAATATATATATTGCTTGAGTTTTGGATGGGAGACCATTGATTTTTACTCTCACTGTATAACTTGTTTGATAAAATTGACATTTAACTACGGTCTGAAACAGTCATCATTTGATGTAACAGTGAGTACTTGGTTAAACAGAGAAACACAAACCTACAAAGGCTTCTACCACTGACTATATTGATAAGAAATATCAAACATGCATTAATTGAATTAAGAAATTTTGTTTTCAAATGATGCTAATTGTAAATGTAACAGAGGTCATTATTTATTTCAATGCCTGCACTAGGAATCAAACCCGGGACCCCTGGATTACAAGTCTGATACTCAACCAATCAAGCTAAAGAGAAATTTTCTCTAGCCGAGTGGTATCTTGGGGCTAGTGTTTTACCAGGGTTACATAAAATTCAAACGACTAAGTATCCAGTGTGTGTCCAAATAAGTATCAATATATTTAATATTCAGGGAAATGAAAATTAGGGATATACATAAGACAAGGAAACATAGATTATATGATAAAATTGGTGATATACCCGACAAGGAAACATAGATTATATGGTATAATTAGTGATATACCCGACAAGGAAACATAGATTACATGATAAAATTAGTGATATACCCGACAAGGAAACATAGATTACATGGTATAATTAGTGATATACCCGACAAGGAAACATAGATTACATGATAAAATTAGTGATATACCCGACAAGGAAACATAGATTACATGATAAAATTAGTGATATACCCGACAAGGAAACATAGATTACATGATAAAATTAGTGATATACTTGACAAGGAAACATAGATTACATGATAAAATTAGTGATATACTTGACAAGGAAACATAGATTACATGATAAAATTAGTGATATACCCGACAAGGAAACATAGATTACATGATAAAATTAGTGATATACCCGACAAGGAAACATAGATTATATGATAAAATTATGGACCGTTGACTGCATCATCTCCCTCAAATCAGGAATTTTAAATACAGATTGGTTTGTATAGGCTCATGGTGACCTATTGCCATCATGATTTGTCTGTCGTCGTCTGTCGTGCGTCGTTAACTTTTCACATATTCGACTTCTTCTCAAGAACGACAGAATGGATTTTGACCAAACTTGGCACAAAGCATCCCCATGGGACACCGCTTCAAGTTTGCGAAGAAAAAGGGCGTGGCCCCAATAGGGGCCCCAGGAGGGGGAAAAAGGGGGTAAAATTAGGTAAATTTTTAAAAATCTTCTTCTCATGAACCAACAGTCAGATTAAGTTCATATTTTATATTAAGGGTCCTTATGGCAAGGTCTACAAAGTTAGCAAATGAAAAAAAAATCGGGTCAAAAACGGCTTCACTAGGGGGCGCTCAAAAGGGTAAAAAATTCAACTTTGACGAATTTCAATCAAATTTGTTAGAAAGCATCCCTTGGTGAAGGCCATATGAAATTATGTTGAAAAAAGTGACTATGTCCACTTTGGGGCCCATAAGGGGTGTGAAAGTGGCCATATGTAAAAACCTTCTTTAAATGACTTCTATTCAAGAACCACTGGATGGATTTTGACCAAACTTGGGACAAAGCATCCCCATGGGACATCGCTTCAAGTTTGCGAAGAAAAAGGGCGTGGCCCCAATAGGGGCCCCAGGAGGGGGAAAAAGGGGGTAAAATTAGGTAAATTTTTAAAAATCTTCTTCTCATGAACCAACAGTCAGATTAAGTTCATATTTTATATTTAGGGTCCTTATGGCAAGGTCTACAAAGTTTGCGAATGAAAAAAAAATCGGGTCAAAAACGGCTTCACTAGGGGGCGCTCAAAAGGGTCAAAAATTCAACTTTGACGGATTTCAATCAAATTTGTTAGGAAGCATCCCTTAGTGAAGGCCATATGAAATTATGTTGAAAAAAGTGATTATGTCCACTTTGGGGCCCATAAGGGGTGTAAAAGGGGCCATATGTAAAAACCTTCTTTAAATGACTTCTATTCAAGAACCACTGGATGGATTTTGACCAAACTTGGCACAAAGCATCCCCATGGGAAGCCACTTCAAGTTTGCGAAGAAAAAGGGCATGGCCCCAATAGGGGCCGCAGGAGGGGAAAAAGGGGATAAAATTAGGTAAATCTTTATAAATCTTCGCATGAACCAACAGTCAGATTAAGTTCATGCATCGTGCGTCGTTAACTTTTTAGGTCACCAGAGCCAAAGGCTCATTGTGACCAGTTGCCATCATGATTTGTCTGTCGTCATCCGTCGTGTGTCGTTAACTTTTCACATTTTCGACTTCTTCTCAAGAACCACTGGATGGATTTCAACCAAACTTGGCACAAAGTATCCCTAGAGTAAAATGCATCAAGTTTGCGAAAGAAAAGGGTGTGGCTCCAATAGGGGCTACAGGAGGGGGCAAAATGGTGTAAAATTAGGTAAATCTTTAAAAAACTTCTTCTTATGAACCAAGGTTCAGATTTTCCTAAAATTCAAAATTAATGATTCTTAGAGCAAGGTCTACAAAGTTTGCGAATTAGAAAAAAATTGGGTCATAAACACGCCCTCCAGGAGGCACTAAAAAGGGGTCAAAATTCAAAGTTGATGGATTTCAACAAAATTTAGTATATAAGGTCCCCTAGTGAAAAACATGTGACTTTGAGTTGAAAAAAAGTGTCTGAGGGGTTCTTGGGTCTCATGGGGGGCAAAAAGGCGTCAATTAGATTTTTTTTTGAAAATGGGTTCTAATGGCATTGACCATGTTTTTGGGTACAACCACACTTAAGCACAAAGCATCTGTGTAATAAGACACATTTAGTTTGGGGAAAAAAATGTAATTTTTTAAAATTTAAGTAAAAATGGTGTAGCCTCAATAAGACATTTTGGCCTTGAACCACTGGGTGTTTTTACAGATGTTTTACACACAGTCCTGCACAAGTGTTGTTACATTTTTGCAACACATATAAGCACGTTATTCTAAGGTAGCTAATAATCTTAATTAATTAATTGATTGATTGCCATAATTGTTTTAAATATTTTAATTTTTCTTTTTAATTCACAGGTTAATAATTGTTAATTTTTTTTTGTGACTCAAAGTTTTTGTGAAAATTTTGATGTATATATATATATATTGGAAAAATGAACTGAAAAAAAAATGTTTGTAATGAACTTTGTAAATTCAGCATATTCCATTTTGTACCATGAGCTTTAATTAATTCTGATGTAAAATTTCATTCTTGATTTATAATATATTACATATATGTAGCTGTGTATTCCAAATATATCGCAGCTTATTGACAGGTATAAATTTCATCAAAATGTGAAGTTTTCTCAGAGAAAGGATTCCAAAATCCAAGTTTCAACCTTTTTACCTTTAAGCCAGTTGTCATCTTTATCATATTGCTGTTTCAGACAGCAGAGTTATTTTACTGGTTTGGGATAACTACACAATAGATCAAAACCTCTTCCATCTAAACACAACAAAATTAGGTCCGACACTCTTGTTTAAAAATGTGTTTATTATACATAACTATTTTTGTATGAAGATTGTTTTTTTTCAAAATAAGAATGTACTGAGAATAAACGCCATTTTTAAAATAAAAAGTCGTCAAAACACAACATTACCGTTTTCTCACTTTTATTTACTCTTCATCATCAAAGTGGTGTATCCTTCTCTAGAATTGCCCTTGGGCACGTTGGAGAGTTCAGAAGAGAGGGAGCAAGCAGCCACGCTGTGGGTTAAATCCTGATGCAGTTGTTACATGTTTGTAATGTGAATTCTATAATAAATGTTCATTCCAACAGTATCATTGTCTTATTTCTTAGTACGACAGTTTACTGTGACCTATTAAGATAATATACTACAAGGATAAAGAAACGCAGGGTGAACTTTAAACCAGAAATTAAGTATGATATCGGGTTTCATTTAAAACGAAATTTTGTATACTTACAGATAAATTAAAGCTTAAAAATTTCCAAAGTCTGTATTTTGCATCTGACAATTGGTTTAGAGGTACTAACGATTAAATTGAATGGACCCATAGGATTTTGAAATTGAAATTGAACTGAGTCATCAATATCTTGTGTGTCCGCCGTTTGCTGTGGTCACGGCCCTTATTCTTCTGGTCATAGAGTTCATGAGAGCGTTAATCCGTCTTATGGGGATGTTGTCCCACTCTTCAATCAGAGCTCTGGTCAACTGCTCTCGAGTAGCAGGGGGTTGCTGGCGCTCTCGAACCTGTCTATCCAACTGGTCCCAAAGATGCTCGATCGGGGACAAATCAGAGCTATATGGCGGCCAATCTAGTGGTTGAACGTTGTTGTTGGCCAGAAAGACTTGGCAAATCCTTGCTACGTGGGGCCTAGCATTATCCTGCTGGAGGGTTAGATTATGCTGCTGTAAGAAAGGGATAACATGGGGTCGGAGGATCTCATCTCTTTACTTAGCTGCTGTTAAATTGCCATCAATAACAACCATTTGTGATTTTAACCCGTGTGAGATTCCTCCCCACACCATTACTGAACCGCCCCCAAACCTATCCCTCTCTACAACGCAAGCGTCCGTAAAACGTTCGCCACGACGCCGGTAGACACGTTGACGGCCGTCAGATCGATAAAGACAGAATAGAGACTCGTCCGTGGAAAAAAACTTGTCTCCACTGCCTCAGTGGAAACCGTCGTGGAGCATGTGCAGCGACCCAGGCCATACGAAGCTGACGTCGAGCAGGGGTAAGGTGTGGACCTGCGTAGGGGCGACATGCTCTTACACCAACTTCTCGTAATCGATTCCTTACAGTTTTTGAACTTATAGGACGCCCATGATTTCAACGAACATTAAGTGCACTCTCAACGGCAGTAAGGCGCCAATTACGCACATGAGAGACGACGATATAGCGATCCTGACGTCGTGACGTTACGCGCGGACGTCCTGACCTAGGTCGATCGGCCAATCGCCCAGTTTCCCGAAGACGTCTTATAAGACGTTCTATGATGGAAACATTAACACCAAAGTGCCTAGCAACCTGATTTTGCAGCTGTCCTTGCATCAGCATCTGAATGGCCTGACCCCTCTGAACTTCTGTGAGTCGTGCCATTCTTAAAACGAATCAAATTCTCAATCAATTTTAGGGAAGCAGTTGGTCTGTATAAAGACTAACGAAGAGTGACTTGACCAACGCTGCATGAGACCAGAACAACACGGTGCACGAGATTCTTGTTTTTTCCTTCCTCCATTTACCAGAGCTGCGCACTGTACCGTGACTAAATTTTCGATACATGACAAGGTGTAATATGACCTAATTACTCAATCTACAAAGTTTCACTTTATTTGGAGAACGCGTTTTTAAAATATCGGAATAAATATTACCCTGTGTTTCTTTATCCTTTCATTATATTATAAAATGATAAAATTGCTGACACTAAACAAAGTGTTATCATTTAGAGGATTAAAATGAGGCTTACTCGGGGGATAACACTTTGTTTCCTTCAATCTGATTAAAGTGCAGATCTTATTTTACCACTCCAGTACTTTCTGTTCATTAATAGAAGGTATCTGAATGATAAATTAAGACCCGTATTTTAATCAGGTTGAGTTTCCATGGCATTTCATAAAACTTAGTTTTGTTTTGGATTATTGGTAAAATCGATGTACAAATTTATTGAAAAGAATGCAGTTAAGATTTTGCGTAGTTTTTAGGTTTAACCAGGGACCTATATATCACGTAAATATATACGTCCCTGGTTTAACCACGAACAGATTATACTGTAACCAAATATGAAGTTCTTCTTGTTGACACGTCTAGACTAAATCAGACTTATTTAACTTTAAGTGATTGCATATTTTTTCCAACATAATTTCATTGATTCCGTTCAAGATGATTTGAAACAGAAATAGGTATTGAAACAAAAACATTCACGTTCATTTTTTGTTACTGTCGCTGTCGGGCGGCGAACACACATATTGTCGTGACTCGAACTCTTCTGTGAAAGAAAACAAGAAATATGAAAAAAACCCGAAAACGAGGTTGATGACGCCATGAGAGTTTTGAATAGGAAGAAGAGAGGCAAAGCAAATAAACAAACAAGTGACAAAATGCAAAACAAAAGGAACATACTGATCGGTCATGCACGTTTAATATGCGGTTTGTAAGTTGTATGAAACAATGGTCCGCTGATGTTTCCGTAAATCTGAAGAAAAACAGTTTTCGGGGTGCCTTAGTACCAGGACTTCCCTATGTCTATTTTAGTATTTTCGTCTGAACCAATCGTTGCGTGAAGATGTGAACTTACCGATACATGTATATAGGTAGCTAATTTGCTTATTGTCCGAACTTCCTAAATATAGAACATCGCCGGCAACGATGTCTATCACAATGTGATGAAGTCGTGTTGTTTATTCGCTTGGAAGAGTCGAATTTTGTGGGCTAAGGTACATCTAAAACAATCGTACATTGACTGATCCTTTCATGTCTTCTTAGCTTCATGCATGTACTCCAGCAATGATTGGCTTTTCGTCTCTAGATTTTAACTTTCATATCATTTGCAATTTTAGAGTAAGCATTTTAATTGATACTATTTTATGATAGCATGAATATGGTTTTGATGTAAAATTTTGAATGAGCTGCATATATGTCGTGAAATTTTTGCACCAATTGAACTGTTGAGAAATTGTTGATGTTTATACATGTATAACTGGTCGACAACTCCCCTGGACAGTGGAGGAGAATCCGACAATAGTCCAGGAACGCGAAGAACATGTTGGAACAATCAATCAAAAGACTTTGAATTTCAAGTATACAGAATGCAGGATTACTCTGACGAGGGTTCAGATAATGAGGCAGATTTCAGTAGAGAATCAGACCTCAGAAATGTCAGAGCACAGATTCAAAAAGCTGAACGGGAAAAGGCCAAACTGGAAAAGCAAATTTCTGAAAAACATATGTTAGAGCAGAGATTAAAAGAAGTTAGCAAATCAGTGTCAGATCTTAAAAGTGTCAAAAATTCTGGAAATGTTTCAACAGCCTCTTCAAGTAGAGGGCAAGGAATTAGTCGTGGTCGCAATTCAGGACATGAGGTACCTTCTTCATCTGGAAGCGGTGTGGTTGACATGTTGAAAGAGCAAAGAGAAAAGTTGAACAGACTTACTAATCAGCAAAGGGAGTCCGGCTCCACTCGACAGGAGGTGGAAGAAGATGACAAATCCGAGTCTGATGAAGGGCAGGATGACTCAAAGAATTGTGAGTGATATTTAATGGCTTAATGCTTAACCTTGATACTTAACAATATTAGAAGTTACATGACACTAACCATTAATGAATAAAAGAATATGTCCATCAAATAAAAGATTAAAATAAAAAAAGTCAAATTCATTTCGTGTAGTGAAAGGTGTACCATGTTTTCTCTAATTTCACATTATTTTGGACTGGTAATTAAAAGTGTATACCGGTAGTTAGGACTTATCAAAATAATGTTTGTACTTGTATTTTATATAAAATTAAAAATGAGACATAAAATTTATGGAATTTTTTATGGCATTTTATGTAAGCATTTAATTGTGTTTTTATTTTACTTTTTAATTTACAGTGGACAAAGTAATGAGTTTGGAACACAAGATGAAACTCCAACAACATCGGGACACATTCGTGGAAAGTCTCATTCCGGACGATATACTCAATGATTTAATTGCAAATAAGGTGAGGATCATCTGTCCTCAATAAGTGTAATGGATGATTTTAAATGGGACAGATTTCATAGTTTTTACTAAAAGCTAAAGAAGTGGGGGGGATTTTCACAAAAATTAAAATGCAAATCGTTATTTTCTGTGTACTTTTGTACGTTATATATCCAATTCTCTTGGATCATAAAAATGTTAAACAACAAAATTCATCAGTAAAGTATTGATAGATTTAACTCCAAACAAAATTTAAAACTTGTTTGATGTAATGCTAGGTTGCCTTGTTTCCCAGATTAGTTTTATTGCTACATTTAACATCAGGAATGAGTGAAGTTAATTTTTGTATATAGGTGCTGTTGATCGGAGATGTGAGTCGGATTAAGGAGAAAAATACGCAAGAAGCAATGAATGAAGAGTTACTGAACAATCTGGGCCGACGATCAGATCGTGCCTTTTATGTGTTTGTCAAGTCTCTGCGTAAAACCCTTCAGGGGTACTTAGCTGATCTAATTGATGAGCCAGTTCCTAAACCTACAACTAGAAAAACCAAACGCAAACGCAAAAAAGGTAAAGAAGACCTCAGTATACCAAAGAGGCGATACCTGTGCAGGGACCTCACACCCCATTTTGGGACTGGGGCCCGGGGCCCTTTGAATTGGGAAAAATAATGGTGTTTTCCTTAGAATTGGGAAAACTTGGGGTCTAAATTGGGAAAAAAAGATACTTTTTTGCATTGGGAATATTCGGCCCCAAATCTGGCAGATCGAGACCCCTGCTGTGAAAGGGACTTCTAAGTTTATACTTATTTTAAAACACATGTTCTTTTTCAAGAGTCTGTGTGTTCATTTTCCTTTTGTTCATATTATACCCTAGTTTTGTTGAAATTGAGTTTGGATTACAATTCTGTTTACATGTTGGTATCTTGTATTCATTTCTTATATATCAATAGGTTTCAAAAGTACAGGATGTGTTGGCTAATATTTTGATAAATACTTATTGATCTATTAGATTTAAGAAAAGCAGCTAAAAACTTATTGTGGTATGTAAAATAGTTTAAATACTATTCTATACTGAGTGAGCATTTATCAGTGAGTTTGATAATTTTTACTACCTTATCTGTTGAGGGCTGAATGGGCCCCATACCAAATTGAAATCATTTCATCTATCAACCCAAATTCCCAAAATTTGTCATTTACTCCTGAAAATTTCATTCCCACCTGAATCATTTTCAAAATGGGTCAGAATTGCCCCATCAGTAGAAAAAAGCCCTGAAAACAGATGCAATGTTCTGTGTGAATTGGTGACATATATTAATCCTATAAAGACAGGAAATTAATGAAAATGTTCCTGACTTAAATGACATTTTCCAAGAATAAGAAGACAGTTTTGTAAAATAAGATATTCTATTTGGGTTTGTTGTTGTAGCGGAGCTGAATGTTAGCGTTGATTGTGAGAGTGTTCTCCCCTTACCAAAGAAGAAACCTCAATGTTCCTGCCAGGAGGTTGAAGAACAGATTCTCATCATGGCACGAACAGCATACAGTACGATACGTCGTCGTGATAATACTCCTGCTGCATTTGAACAATTCAAGAAAGAATTGTCCCAAACAAATGACATTATAAAAGATACTGCTGAAATAATGCATACACTAAAAATCTTATGTAAACATGGTGATGAAATCTCCGATATTTCGTATGGAAGTGTGAAGTTTACGATGCATTTTATATCATTACGGAATGTTGTTAAACTCTGGGATATGTACAGAGGTGGGGCCTTGTTAGATCTGCTACAGCGGGGCCTCATCACTAAAAGTCTGCTAAAGAAATGTCAGGCTCGGGACGTACGCCTTCGTGTTAGGATACCGGAGGAAGAATATGTACAGTGTGTGAAAGATCTAGGTAAGTCAGCACCAGGCATAAGTGTCAAAAACTTCTTTTTTTTTTGTAATTTTTTGTAATACACACATGTTATATGACCTAGCTGTACTATATGTAATAACACATATTTTATCATTTTAGGATACACACAGGAAACATCACCTTGCCAATGGTTCCCATGGTTTCTTTCATGGTGTTATATACATTTTTACATAACCAAAGAATGAGATATTCAGTGGTGAATGTTTGTATCTGAGTTTTTTGTTGAACAGAATCTTACAGCTGTTTCCATATCTTACTGTGACTGTACATATATCTTTTCCTTAATAGCATGGTAAACATTGACCTATAAATATATTACTGTTACAGAAAGTCAAGAGCTGCCATCACCAGAGAAGTGCTGTAAATCCAGCCACACCAGAGTTCTGCGGGTAAATATTGATAAAAGTCCAATGAAAGTAGCTATATATAGTGATCCCTTTCTCTTAAATAAGCCATAGTGTTGAAGATATAACAAGGCAGAGCTTTGTATATTGGGGCTCTGGATCCTACATTACAGAGGTCAAAGTAATTGGCCTATTTATCTGACAAAAAGTTTATTTTGATATTGGGGTTCCTTGTTCTTACTTGTATGATACAGAAATTTGCTGTGTTGAGAGAAAGTTTCATAAATTTGTGAAAAAATAGAATAGCCTTTTCAGGATCAAGACATAGTGAAGATAAACTGTTACATTTTAGGGTTTAACCTGATGGGGGTCTCAACCTTGGGAGAAGATTCTTCTGGGAGTATGAATGTGGCTTGAGAAGTGTTCAGCTACTTGAAATCTTCCTGAGGGTTGAGATCCTATCCATTTGTAAGATTGGTGATACTTCTGTTGTATATCCCGTCTCATGTGTATGTATATAATGTCATTGTTATCTAAATAATTGGCATTGTTGATGTTACATCATTGATTGTCACCCCAGTTATCATACAGTTGTAACTGGGGAATCCTCCTGTCTCCACCCTAACGTAAGTCAAGGAAACCCACACAGGTAAGATGTAGATACACCTGTACAGAGTAAGTCACGGAAATCTCACACAGGTAAAATGTAGATACACCTGTACAGAGTAAGTCACGGAAATCTCACACAGGTAAAATGTAGATACACCTGTACAGAGTAAGTCAAGGAAACCCACACAGGTAAAATGTAGATACACCTGTACAGAGTAAGTCACGGAAATCTCACACAGGTAAAATGTAGATACACCTGTACAGAGTAAGTCACGGAAATCTCACACAGGTAAAATGTAGATACACCTGTACAGAGTAAGTCAAGGAAATCTCACACAGGTAAAATGTAGATACACCTGTACAGAGTAAGTCAAGGAAATCTCACACAGGTAAAATGTAGATACACCTGTACAGTAAGACAAGGGAAATCTCACACAGGTAAAATGTAGATACACCTGTACAGAGTAAGTCAAGGAAACCCACACAGGTAAAATGTAGATACACCTGTACAGAGTAAGTCAAGGAAACCTGACACAGGTAAAATGTCCAGAATAGGAAGATGAATTGTAGTATTTGTTGTTACAGAGCCTACACCGAAATGGAAAGGAGACAAACGGAGACGTGGACAAATGTCGAACACGTTACGCCTTCAGGGAAATGTGAGTACAGAAGTCTTCTGACTGACTATGTTTAATGCTGTGATACAATAACAAAAATTGTACATTTACAATATCAGTCGTTGCTAAATGTAAGTAGCCTAATTCAGTTAAAACAGTTATGTTTATAGTCATGCATCCCCTACTAGGTACTAGAGGGGCCTATAGTTTTGCATTGTGTCCATCCGTCCGTATGTCCACCTGTTTATCTTGTCTGGGCCCTATCATCTATACTTCTAATCAGGGAAACTTTTTATATTCTGGATATTGGTTCACCTTGGTGAGACAAGTGTGACACATATCAAAAGTAGGTCACTATGACCTACATTCTAACCTTTGACTTACTTAAGAAAAAAATTTCCAGGTTTTATCTCCTACACTACTATCCACTGGAACTTTATACTAAGGATATGGGTTCACCTTGGTGAGGCGATGTGTTGCATATCAAAAGTAGGCCACTATGACCTACATTTTGACCTGGGCTCACCCAGGTGAGGCAGTTTATCAGTGGGGGGGGGCTGTGATTTGCTGAAAGGTTTTGTTTCTAAATGACTTACAATTTTGTACACCCTTTAATCAATGATGTCCTCTCACATCCAAAGTTGATATTTGTCTCATTTAATAGATCTCTATGAGTTCTCCAATTTGGCCAAATATTAATGATGATTTGGAGAATTTGTTTCAACAGTGCTGTTTGATATGTTGTAACAGACAGAAAAATCTGACGTCCAGTGGAGAAGTTGCCCAGTTAAAGGCAAAGGTCACAGAATGTGAGAAGGTGCCACGCTCAACAACGAGAAAGAGACTGCTGTTTCAAACGCGTCTCCGATCTGCTGTCTCTTGACAAGGGAATAAGTGCTATCATGCCTGATTCTAATGACTATATAAGAGTTCAAATTTCATGTCTCTTCTCGTTTTGAAGAACTGGAAACAGGAACAGTCATTTCTGGGAAGTTTTGTAGCAGTAATTCAGAAATTAGGTAAATGTAACATAAATTTGTTGGAAAAGATGAGATAGAGTGATGAGAATGACTTATATTGAATTGAATCAAATTTGAAATGAAACCTTCAGAAGTATGATTACAGTGAGAAGAATCTACAATGATACAATAATGGCAGCTTTTGACAACTGTCTTCAGCATTCCTTCATAATCTAAGTCAAATTATCACACGTCATATCTCAGGAAATAGGGTATGCTGTATGATGTTCTATTGTGGTTTCATTATAAAGCAGTGTAGATGGTTCCTGCAATAAATTCACAAAATCTGATTCTAGTGTAAAATTTGTCTGACAGATTTCTCTGATAATACACTACACCTTACAGCATCAAGCTTCAGCTAGATAGAATTTGATTATAATACCATTTTAATAGGAAATGTGTTATCTGATAATTATATAATTTATCATTCAGTTTGCTATATGAATTTAAAGTGTCCAGTTATTGTATATAAAACGACAAATTCTATTGTAATGTCATGTGTAAGTGTTTGAATTGTCAGGTTTGTCATATGAAAGTTACAACAGTATGTGTCTGATCATGGTACAAATGTTTTCAATGACGGTATCAACATAAACGTTACAAAACTGGACAACAAGCACCCATTTTAGTCACAAGAAATCACAATTCGACCACAATGTATAAATTCCAGACTGGAAGTTACACTTGAACTACTAGATTAAGAAGGATACTAATTTTACATCAACATGGCAGACATTAATTAACTAAAGATATATATATATATATATTAGACAATTAAAGTTAATGAGTAAACAAAAATATTGTGAATAATGTGCCCACATTTTATGTTTGGAGGAGAGAGCTTAAGTTCTGGGTGAAATTAGTCAGCAGTTAAAATAAACAATTTATTCCAAGCTTTTTATTGTTTATAATCTTACTTAGAAATAAATGTACAATAGGGACAATTTTAAAAAATTTAATGAAAAAGAAAATAGGGACACTACATCATATTTATACATATGTAATTAGAAACACACACACTCTCCCTCCCTTTTTTTAATAAAATGAAATCCTGTGAAGGTATCCCGTCCCATTGTTTGTATGATTTATCTAAAGAAATGAGTTGATGTGAACTTCACTTGGAATTTAAAGTTTTTATCTTTTTTTACAAAGAAAATGTTCACACAGTACTTACTGTTTTCATGGATCAAGTTTTATGTTAATTTCTTTACTTGAATTTGTATTTTATTTATTAAAGGTGAGAAAATATGAAAAGTGCTTTTACTAAACTGAACACTATTTTATAAGTACATATATTCAATGGTTTAACCACACTGTGTGGATGTGAAAAGAAAGAAATGGTTTAAAATTGAATGAAAAACAAAGATAAAGAGCTTCAATTTTTTTATATGATTCTCATTTGATAGTAAGTGTGAATTCTTAAATCAGTATTGAACAGATCATGAAGAATTATAAATCATTTTTTTTTATATATATCATTCATCATTGGAGTATATTTTTAAAGACATTGTAAATATTGGTAATTTAATAGAATGCAAAATATATGATATTAGTGTTACATGTTGAGGAGATAAGAGAGATGTCTATTTATTTTTAATGTTTGTTAGTGGTATTGTGGTACATGTATGGTGGATTTTGGTGTCCTGGAGTGTGTGGTTTTATATACTGTTCTACTGTTGTTCTGAATTTTGTTTGTTCGCTGGGTGTAACACCCTATGCACTAAGTGCTACAATTTTTCTTTATCATTAACACTATCAATATTATGTACTTTCATGTTGATATTTGTTACATTGACAAACATTATCAAAATCTAGGAGTCTGTCAGATCTTAAGCCTGTTTAATGCCTCAGAATGTATGTTATTTTGTCAGATCCTAAGCCTGTTTAATGCCTCAGAATGTATGTTATTTTGTCAGATCCTAAGCCTGTTTAATGCTTTTGAATTTTGTACGTTGATTCTGGATGCATTTTGTTTTCTACAAAATGACAGTTTGTAAATTAGAAAAGCTTGAAATCCTATGAAATGTTAATACAAGTTTGTTGTTTGGAAATTCAGTTCAGAATTTATACAGAATAACTAATGACAGTTTCTAAATTCAAACACAAGTTGTACCTTGCCAAAGATTTAATGTTTTAATTTGACAGGAAACATATAATGCTAACTAGTTTCCAGTTAAGATTGAATTTTTAAATTTTGCAGATTTTCAATGTTTGAATTATTGTTAAATAAATAAAACAATAAACTTTAGGGTTACAAACTTTTCTTATACGAGTTTCAGTATCTCTACTAATGTAAAGATTTCTTCTTTCTCCAAGTTCTAATTTCCTGACTTACTGTCTTCTGTCTTTGTGGTATTACCTCCCTTTATGTAACTTACATCTACATATTGAGGTATGAAATTTTTGTAGTATTGTCTCAAGCAATTGAAGAATAAAAATTTTATATTTGAAGTATATCATATCATAGTTTTTCTTTATTCAAGTCATATATCTATCTATTAATCAAGTTTTCCTGAAATGATGAATTGATAGAATTTAAATTCTAATAAATTTCAAATAATTCTAAGGAAATATTATGTAGTTTTAATGTTAATGTTGAGTAATACGGTGTCAAGTAAAGAGATATGACTGTTAGGTATGTTTGTGTTCATAGGGTTTAATTTTCTAAGTTTTTTAAATATCGCTATTTCGCAGACATTTTATTTCATTGATAAGTATAGCTCAATAAATGTCTTTAAACTAATGATATTATTTCAAGGACACGTGGATTTACGGATGAAACATAACCATGGAAACAACCAAACTAAATCTTCTGTGAAAATAAATGATTTCACAGTAAGCTATTTTGAAAATGTGTAATATGTAATATTAGTCAGATCGCACTGTGGTATGTGGGGTTAAAAGGTCAATTTGATTGAAACTTCAAAAATTTTCTCAATACCCAAGTATGGAAGATTAAAACACATCATGGATGGAAAGTCCCAAGATGCTTTACCAAAATTGTAAATTTCATGACCTCCGGGTCTCACATTGCCCCCTTGGGAGTTAAAACTTAATTATAGTCTATATAGAAAAATGATATTTTTGAGCATAATTTGTTCATTTTCTAAAGGAAAAAGTACAATTTCATGATAAACACATATTGGTCCTGGCTGGCTTCTAGGGGCTGGTAGGCTTCTAGGGGCTGGCAGGCAAGGCCAAAAGGGGTCAGATTGTTTAAAATTCCAAAGATCTCAATACCAAGACACAACAGAATCTACTACATACTGTTATGGATGGAAGATAAGAAGAGGAGATTTTTGAGTGAAATTTCTTTTGATTCAAAGCCTTGGCATGGGATGGCAGTTAATGACATGCACAGTTTGCATTACAATGTTGTGTAAATTATCTCACTTTGTTAACAAGATATTTCTTTGACATTTTACAAGAACAACAACATTGCAACTCAGATGACCGTTAAATCCCTTGGGCCTCTTGTGAAAAATTGCTGCGGACACAAATGTCATGTAAATCACATTAATTGAGTTCTTGATATGGAGGCCATGATTGGATGCTGCTGGGAAGGTTACCTCACTAGACTGCTGTAGCTGAACATTTTCCGCAAAAAATTGAAGCTACCCCAAATTTTTTGGCAAGATTGTGGTCATCTCTCATGGTGTTGCAAGTATTGTCCATCAGTTAGATTTTATTTGAAATGTTGAAAACAGCAGATTTCATTTTAACCATGTTCTGTTATAGCTACAAGGTGGTTACTTGGAATAGAGAAAGTTGATGTAAAGTTGATGTTCTGGGAAAAAGATGGAGTCTGATAATGGTAACGGAGGTATGTATTTAAAATTCTTTACCTGCCACAGGGAAAATGGTCTTTGAGTGAAGGGGATTCATTTTGAATAAACCTGGGAATGTGTTACCACTTTGGTAGTGGCGTGGAAGTATAAATAAAGCCTTAATATAGTTCTGCTTTGTCCGACGAGGGGACAAGTAGACAAATCAATCAATTTAAAACAAAGAGATACCACAATATGTCATTGTTTATACTTCCTGTCCCTGTTTATGCAGTGCCCATCCAATTATGATGTTTTCCTTTGTAAACAACTTATTAACAAAGAGACATGAAGTCGGAACACTGGGTCAGTAGCATAATACTTTTGTAAAGGGCCGTCAAGTTTGCACAAATGAATGACATTGACCCATTTTCAAGATTACGGGAGGGGAAATGGAAGTCTTCAAAAGACTCCTCGATGACCAAGTGACCCAAGGTCATTATGTTTTGATAGAAGTATGCTAGGTGGACAGTCTTAAATCAGTATCAACGGCTTTGATCCATATAATTATCTGACAAATTGCATTTATATGAAAGACAATGAAGTTTATACAAATGAATTACCTTGACTTTCAAAGTCAAAGGGGTCAAATGTGTTAATATTTCTCCTGAAGTTTCACTGTGAATTCTCTAAGAGCCATGGAATAAATCAATATAAAGTCTACTGAATCAAACTCCAACAAAGTCATCATACAGAATAATGAGTAATACAGGCCCTTTGGGAATCATGTTTTTACTTTAAGGATTTAATCAAGCTAACACTAGCCATTGTAAATAATTACAAAAAAATCACTGTATAAAACAATAAATCATAATTATGTTTGTTTAAGACCTAAAAATGGATGAATTTACATGTTTCACAGTGAATATTTGTGTGTTGTATCTAAAAAAAGTCATTTCAAATTAACTCCACTGTAGATAGATACATAGATACTGAGAGCAAAATGTTTACAAATTAAGCAACTCGTGTCAACATCTAGAATGTGATATCCGAGGAGTTCAGATGAAGTCAATGACCTTCAGTTTTTATCTTTGACAGAATTACATCAAGTTGATAACTTAAATCAGTATATAAACTAAAACCAAACATGTCAATCGCCTTTAATTCCAAAGAAATAATCACAAAAGTTTTATAAAATTTAATGATTCTTTTTTATTGCCACTGAAAAAATTGGATATTTAAATTGAAGGATTTTTTCCATGAAGCAGATGATACTTAATGCAATTTTTATCACAAATCAAATGACCTGATTAGATTATATAATGCAACATTCCAGGATCTCCTGTGGAAATTATCAGACCTATCTCCAGTATGTATAAACATGCCTGTAAAACAGGACATTTCTGGGGCTGTTATTGAGCTCCATTTCCATTTGAAATTACTTAAAATTAAAGCCAAATTCACAGAATTTTCAATCAACTCCTAAAAATTTTCTTCCCTGTTAACCAATTTTCATTCAAACAAGGAGCAAAATGTCCCCATTCTAAACCGGTGAAAAAGTTCCTGTCCCTGATTTGATGTGAATGATCAAGAATGTCCTCTTTACTATTTTTCAGGCTTAAATCCTCTTTCTGGTTTGATGTAAAAGGTTATAGTTCTGTGTGCTCACAACCAGAAAAATATTTATAAAGATGTGTTCTCGTGCACTTTTCATACATGCATTTTCTGTGATACGGTGTGGTCATTTGTAAGGAGGGGAGGGGTGTTGTGTTGTGTTGTGATTGATAACGATCTTGAATTAATACAATATTTGTGAATTTGAGACAGAAAACATTCTCTGAATATGCTAGAATGCATTGTAAAGGTTAAGTTATTTTCTCTCTAAAGGAATGTGTTGCATTGATGAAAATCTGACCAATATTGCTGTGAAGACACATATAAATGGATTTTGAAATTTGTAGTTTTAAAAGCTGGCGTCTTAACTGTACTTGAATTATATTCAAATGTGTATTTTAAAATTATTAATTGTTGTAGGCACTCTGAATCCACAAGTTCATGTCTAGGAAGACTTTTATAAGGCTAACAGATGAAAGCTGACACGGATTATATCAACATTGGATTTTAGGAGAAAGATTTATCCTCTAAATTAAGTGCCAACAAAAATTTTTAGGAAAACCTCAAAAAAATGAGCCCCACAAAAATATTGTATATGTTATGATGTTTAATTACAATATATACCTATGTAAGATGTGGCTGTATGTTAGAGTGACATGGGTGAAGTTATGACTGGTATATAGAACAGAGAAAAACTGAACAGTTATCACACTGAAACAACATGTTTACTACAGCTGGTGTTTACAGCTATGTAAAAATACTTTATCTCGTTCAGCTGTTAGACACACAAACAGGACTTCGCAGATAAGCTAACAGGACCACCAATAACATGCTGAAAATTTGTCAACAAAATTATTCAAGGATTTTTATTATATAATACTTGGTTCCATTTTGGGAAAAAAATGACTTGAATAATTTGTGAAGGCAAAAATTTCAGAAATGGGATAGCCATATCTACTTCTGATTTTCTCAGTTGGTCAGTTAATATATTTGATACATTAATATTTACTTTTGTAGAGATAGCGATATTGAGGTTGTGATATCTCGGTCGGTTAGAGTGTTAACCTACATAACCTATGGTGAAGATCTGCAATGCATGGTTCAATGCTCTCTACCATGGAGGTGTGTTTCAGAGAGCCAAGAGGCAGACTGTCCTGTTCCAATGTGGTTGTGTCTTCAGATATACTTTACCCTGTTTATTATGGATGCATGTGGCGCGCATCATGTATGTTGCTCAATGAGGAAGCCAACAGCTACTGAAAGCAACTCCCACCTCAAACTGACCCTGGCTGTTCACAGAGTGAAATAAAACTTGAAGATCTTCACAGAAATATTGATAACAATTGAAATCCAATATGGCCACCCATATGCCATTTTCATTTTACATTCAGTGCATCAAAGATTTAGAAAGATACTTTCTGAGCAATCCAAAGCACAGAAACCTGTTATCCCCCAGAAACACTGTTACAGGCACCCTGCGATCCAAGAGGGTGGCGATGACTTTTATTTTTATCAACAGGGAACAAGTCAATGGTGTACCTATCTACTTCTATGTTAATTAATCTTTGTTGACCGACTGTAGGGCACAGTGGCTGTACATAAGAATGAAATCCAAGTTGCTGTAGATACCTTTGTTCTGCGAGTCAATAATGATCTGCATTATCACAAACAGACAGGGTGGGCAATAGAAATGTAACCCAGAGTAATATAAGGGAAGCTTCTTCCCTGACTTTAAACCTTTTATCTCTTTAATGTCACATGAAGCAATGGACTTTACAATACATTTGCTCTAAATGACCTTGAAAGGTCAAGCTATTAACAAAGCAATTTTTCAGATATATCAGATACCAACATACATGTATATTCTAGAACTTGGAATCACCACCAAGCCTTCTGTTGGACACAGCCCATTTTGAAGCCAAGATATTGACTGTGTTTATCCTGATATATACTATCTAGCAAAACATACCCTTGATCTGTTTTCTGGAGAAAAAACTGTTCAAGGTGGATACTACCAGCAATAAAAGCTTGATAAGAATTACAATCTGTTTGCACATTCCATGATCTGACGACTCGTAATTGGCAAGAATAAATCAACACCGATTTACATTTTTGCAATTTTTATTACACTGAAAATTTCACATAAAAACATTGGTAGATTGAAGTCAAACGATGTGTTCACTCAAAACAGTAAATTCTAATGTTAAGTTACTGTGACGAATCTCAAGTCAAATGGTTTCATAAAAATAGGGATCTAAATCCAAACTACAAATATATATATATAATTGATCTTGCTCTGGAATGATGATAAAAGTAGTTGAAACATACCAACTGCCAATGAGGCAAGCTTTTTTGCCATTAATAGATATCAAGGGTACTTTTTTTCAGAAGAGCTCTTACAATAATTTGCGTACAAAGAGTTTAAATGAATACAAACGGTTTTGTTCTTCACACTTTAAATTTGCATTCTACAAGTTTTCAAGACATCATATATCAATGAATTTAGAATGTGAATGAAAAAAAAAAAAACTACAATAATAAGAAAAAAAATGACATGAAGAGACGAGTCCTCCATGCCTGCTTTACAAAGTAATCGTATCCCATCGTGTTTCTCTTTTTTTTTTTTTTACTTTTTTTATGAATTTTTTCACTTTTTTTTTGTATTTTTTTTTCTATATAATGTGTGTCGACTCGTGACAGGGGCAATGGAAAGTTGATGACATCTGTAAAAACTTGGGCATTTGTTTTTGTTCAATTTCCATTTTTTTTGTTGTATTCCCTGATAAAACCCAACTATCACATGAATTGACACAGAGTGTGTGACCAATACAGGAAGGCTTTGTTCAGGGCTTTTGTTCTTGCGTCTATCTTAACTTTGATCATTATACAGTAAAACAGATTTCCTGTCAACACAGAACTTATATTTTCTTTAATGAAAAATAATACTCCACTAAGAAAGCGAAGGTTTTCGTCTCTCTTGCATCATGTTAACATTCTTTTATCTATATGATTTCTTTCATATTAATGTTAAAATTTTCAAATTAATTGATCTCACTTTCATCACTATTACACACATTAAGTTAGTATTGTACCCAAGGTTACACAGATTCAGGCAACTTTTTTTCTGAATAAAATGGAAAATTATACAAACTTGACAATATAAAATACATCAAAAGTGTTTTAGGGGGCAGAATAAGCATAATGCCAAAAGCCGGTTCTACAGAGGCAACTTGATTGTTCAGTCAGCTCCCGCCATATAGGTATTGCTCCCCCAAACAGTATACTGTCGCAGCATTCTGTTTTGGAATCAGGGATAACTGACCAATCATATGCCTTCATGTGGCCTGCTCTGTCCAATCAAATATTGTCTAGCCAAGATCATCCGGTTCAATCGTGTAGACCATGTAGAGGAGGTCTGCCACGTTGGGAACCAGAGGGTCTCCTGGGGTTGCCATGGTGAAACCCATGAACATGAAGGCTCTGATCAGGGAAGCTGCAATACAAAACAAGAGTCTGGGTCACTTGGACACTTTAACAAAATTGTATCAATTTAGGGCTTCAATCAAGCCCTATTCAAAACTTCCAGAAAATTTTAACATGTCATTGAGGTGTTTAATCTAATCTGCAGTATCAACAGTAAATTAACAAAAATAATATCCAGGCAATTGAAGATGATGTCTTCAATACAAGATCTTCTTTTGAACAATAGCAAAAAAGAAATTTCAGTGTTTTTTATTACAATAAGTCAGATTTAATCATAGCCTTCCCTTTGCATCCGTCAGTGACCTACATAACTTGCTCGGTTAGCATAATATCCTGGTTATTTTTTTAAATTTCTCTGATAAATAGAATATTGTGGGACCACTTCAGAACACGTTAGTTTTAGCTAGGGAAGTCAGCTTTTATTTATTGTGGAAAAGGGTCCATAAAATCAATGTATTTTGATGATCCAAACTCTTACTTCCACAGACATCACAAGTGACCTACCTTTGTCCGAACGGTTTTTCCTGAAGCAGAGAATCACATGTCCGCAGTGCAGTTTCTCCTCAGCATACTCTAGCAAGGTGACCAGACTGTAACACAAACAAATTGGATCCAGTTTTAATTGCCATTTTCTGCCTCTTTCTCAACAAATCTTCCAAAATCAATCAACATTCCCTTAAAAAATTGAAGCAATATGACAAGTCAAGTTTCTTTTAAACCATAGAAAAATTTCCAAACATTGTCCATTATTTTTCATCATACTTCCATATAAGCATCATCACTCGCATCCTGAATGAAAATGGTGAAACTGACCTCTGTTTTGATCCCTCAGGAAGAATCCCGGGCGGGACCTCCACATACAGTTTTCCGTTGGTGAGAAGTGTTTCCCAGGTGACCTGTAGTTGCTCGGCTAGTGTAACCACAAAACTCACACTAGATGCTAGGTGACTTGTTCCTACCAAAGTGTTCACATTGACATTGAGAGTTGGATGATTGTCCTTGTCAGGGGAAGAGTTGTCTCCCTTGGTGAACAGGCTTTTGGCATTGACAGGGGGCTCTGTTATAACCCCCACGCCGCTGCCCTCTGCCACGAATGACACACAGGCGGCGCGGGGCTCATCAGGAGCACCACTGAGGCCCTGGACCCAGCGATATACAATACCGCTGGTGGGACAGGCTACAAGAAATACAAACATCCAGGTAATAATGACATCATAACAGGAAGTTAAAATGGTGTGTATTTTACTCAAGAAATTCAATATCTTAAACAAGAAAATAAAAATCCTGAAATTTTTTTTTTATAACAGACATAGATTTTTGCTGTCACACTTTGTAATTAATGCAAGACGTTTTGGTAACTGCACTTATGGATATCAGCGTCAATCATTTCACTTTGTTATACCAATACATTGTTAAATACATGATTCTATCTAATATAGATGTATCAAAAAAGTTTACATTTACAGATTATCCAGTTGATTTATCACTGAAACATTGTGCATCAGAATAAAAACATTTCCTTATTTGACCCTGATGAAAAAATAAAGGTCATTTCGTTAATCACTGGGTGTAACTATTTTTTCAATGATTTTTTTTTCATTCTAACAGACAAAACCAACTTTAAGCAGATAGTAGATTACGTATACCCTTTTATGGTGAATTGCATCAGGGTGTTGCAACAATTCACACATGCTAGGTTTTTATTGATCAAATTAATTAATGAGCAATTAATTACAAGCTAGTGTGTGTTACAAGATTATTAATTAGCTTGCCATCAGTAAATTCAAATGTAACATGTTTCTTTGAATGTAATACATGGAAACAGAAAGAATAATTCCTCATGAAACGTCCAGGCGGCAGCCATACTTTTTTTAAAATACTATTTTCCTGGAACACAAGAAGCTTGGTTTAACTATTCTCTGATCGAGTGCTAATGTCATTTCTACCTATGCCTGTCCAATGTCAGTAAAATCATGAATGGTAATACAGTAAGACATTTTAATCAATAACTTAGTATAGACATTATTTTATTTAATAATTCAACACCTTACATACATTTCCCCTGAGATGGGCAAAACATCTTGATGTATCCATCATTCACTTACGAAATGCATTTCGATCAGAAGCAGTTAGATTCATCTGGTTTTATAAGCTTCCGTTTGTACAACACTATTTACAAACTCTGTCATAGTGGATATACCTAGCATCCATATCATTATTTCAGTTGACATGGATGTGTCAAAAACTGTGTTGTATCCTTGCTCGCAGCATTGTAGGTTCATCAAGTACTGCTGTCATGAAATGTCCTTCGTCAGATCAGGGATGAGAAACCGACATCTTACATCATCGATAATTTAGGATTAAACACTTATCTTTTCAATAACAAACGGGACGTATACGACTGAGACGAAAATAAAAGAAACGAGATTTTCCAGAAAGGATCATGGAAAATTTCCGTAATCAACAATGGCGGCTATGAATATTTGCTACGTCAAATTGAGCTCTTGTTTATCAGCTGATTCAACATGCATTTATTCAGAAAAATATACTTACATATTAGTGCTTTGTAAAGCAGGCATATTTTCTTTTTTCTCTTGCGCTTTCGGGCCAAAGTTTTCGTCTACAACGATCGCGTCAGCGGCCCTCAACATAACTTTTCAGGTCTGGGATGGACCCAAACGTAGTGTGTGCTACTCTACTGCGAAATGGCGACCGATTTGTTTATATACCCTGCAACTAACGTGACGTCAGATATATCCCATTCGGTACCTCTTTCCTTCATCATATAACGAAGAGCATGTATTGCGAAAGATTCCGACTAAGGTTAATATAAAATTGGACTAGGGATAAAAACGAAACGAAATCGTGCATCTAACCATTACAAGAATAAAATGACAATATCAGAAGTATGAAAGAGAGGAAAAGACACAAAATTGAAATTTGAACTGAAAGTTTCAGATTTTTAATAAAGTTTTATACTTTACACCCTAACTTTTATACGTTGCTTATATCTAAAAGTGCCCATATGACGATAAAGACCTACATAACAGAAGTATTAGTAGGGCAGATTTGTGAAAAGGTTGAAACAGAAATATTTTAGCAGTAAAGGCAAACACATTCCTCATTTCAGTTTTCAATTCTCATACATATAAAAAAAAATGTAAAAAAAATCAGGTAAGATAGTGAAAGCCTCCAAAAAAATCTAGATACAATGTGTAAATGGAGCGACACATGGTTCCTTAAAATGCATCCGGACAAATGCAAACACATGAGATTGGGTAACGAGACTGCTCGAGGACAGGAAACTTTCGGCTCAACATATGACCTTAGTGGGAAGCACTTACAGACAGTAACCCAGGATAAGTATATTGGTGTTATAATTGATTCCAATTTATCCTTTGATAATCATATAAGTGAAAAAGTAAAAAAAATGCTAGCTCCATGTTTGTTCTTCTCAAGAGAACATTCCAGTTTAACGATCATAGGTTTATTTTATTCCTTTATACAAATGCCTAGGACGCTCACACCTAGATACGCGAGCCCCGCATGGGCACCATATCAAAAAAGGCACATCGATAGGATAGAGGGAATACACAGAAGGGCAACCGAGAACCTTCCAGACATGAGTAACCTCAGCTACAGCCAGAGGCTAGAGAGACTACATATACCAACATTAGCCTTCAGAAGAGTAAAGGGAGATATGATAGAACTTTACAAAGTAATTAAAGGAGTATACGACCAAGAATGCTGCAATTCAGTAATGTTATTGGATAACGCTTCTCAACTACATAGTAACCTCAAGGACAAAATATCCAAAACCATGTTAAGGAAACACTTTTTTCAGTTAGATCGGCAACCATTTGAAATGAATTACCTGAACATGTCCTTTAAGCAAGTGATATTAACAAATTTTACAATGATTTAGACAACTACTGGGATAACTATGACCTGTTCTTTAATTACAGAGCTGTAATCACATAATTTCTACATTGTATACAGGATGTACATGTACATTTGTAAGCGGTCTATGTAAAATAACTGTAGTATTTTTAATATTCCAATATTTTGTATAATGTATTTTTTGAGTCTGGTATAGAGGATTTGCATATAAATCCTGAACCGGAAATAAACTTATCTGATAAGAATTGACGTTTTTATATGCGATTTTCAACTTGGCCGCCATGGCCGCCATATTGGATTTCGGGCCGACCCGTGATATTATCACGAAGTTACACTTTAATTGTAATTTTATTTTGTACATGTATCTATGAGTGAATAATTATGCATCTTTTACCTGTGTTGTTTAGTGGTATTCATGAACCCGTGCAATACTGTTGTCCAGGTTGGGCGATCTATTTTTAGCTACCTTACTTGTGAAGCTTGTCCGGATACCTCTTCTATTTAAGCGTACGCTGGTCGAGAGGTCTTAACTAACGAATCTTACGTAATAAATGCAGTGCATCATACCGTGTGCTGGAGAATGTGAGTCAAGTGGCCATTGATATCAAAGTTTTCCACGTGACACAGACTGAACTATACGATCGTGCAGACGTGTTTGTGACACTCTGCTCTTTACACAACGTACATGCTGTTTTGTAGAGCTTCTGTCTTGTTGATATTTATACACTTGTAAATGTAAACCCCTTTTGGCTTTTAAATACACATATTGGTGTCCTCGTCCTTGTACCCCATTTATTTGGAGTCTGTTGATCAAATGACAAGAACTCACAGCGCAAGCCCCAAACAATTAAGTGTTGACAATGCTTTTTGTCACAATATTAGTTGGTTAGGACCATCTCAGGATCATTTCAGACAAGCTTCAGCCTAAACTAACTGACGGAACTTGAGAACATTTAAAAAATGGCTGCCATATTAAACTTTTGACGGGACCGAAAACAACGTGGCAAGATGCCTATTAAGATTGTTTTACCTTAATGTCGGTTCAGTTATGTGACGTAATAATTGAACAAGTCAAAAACAAAGATGACGTTATGATCCACGAAATCGTGACGTCATAGTAACTGTCATAATTGATTACTTGACTCTGATTCAACTACATAACAATGACGTCATCTTTTTAACCTGACCGTTTAGGGAAATAAAAAGTACTGCACCGACATCAGTTTCATGTATAGCTTTGAGAAAGCTTCTGTACATTTGCCGATCTACACCGACATTAGATCCATGTATAGCTTTGAGAAAGCTTCTGTACATTTGCCGATCTACACCGACATTAGATCCATGTATAGCTTTGAGAAAGCTTCTGTACATTTGCCGATCTACACCGACATTAGATCCATGTATAGCTTTGAGAAAGCTTCTGTACATTTGCCGATCTACACCGACATTAGATCCATGTATAGCTTTGAGAAAGGTTCTGCACATTTGCCGATCTACACCGACGTTAGATCCATGTATAGCTTTGAGAAAGGTTCTGCACATTTGCCGATCTACACCGACATTAGATCCATGTATAGCTTTGAGAAAGGTTCTGTACATTTGCCGATCTACACCGACATTAGATCCATGTATAGCTTTGAGAAAGCTTCTGTACATTTGCCGATCTACACCGACGTTAGATCCATGTATAGCTTTGAGAAAGGTTCTGCACATTTGCCGATCTACACCGACGTTAGATCCATGTATAGCTTTGAGAAAGGTTCTGCACATTTGCCGATCTACACCGACATTAGATCCATGTATAGCTTTGAGAAAGCTTCTGTACATTTGCCGATCTACACCGACATTAGATCCATGTATAGCTTGGAGAAAGCTTCTGTACATTTGCCGATCTACACCGACATTAGATCCATGTATAGCTTTGAGAAAGGTTCTGCACATTTGCCGATCTACACCGACGTTAGATCCATGTATAGCTTTGAGAAAGCTTCTGTACATTTGCCGATCTACACCGACATTAGATCCATGTATAGCTTTGAGAAAGGTTCTGCACATTTGCTGATCTACACCGACGTTAGATCCATGTATAGCTTTGAGAAAGGTTCTGTACATTTGCCGATCTACACCGACATTAGATCCATGTATAGCTTTGAGAAAGCTTCTGTACATTTGCCGATCTACACCGACATTAGATCCATGTATAGCTTTGAGAAAGCTTCTGTACATTTGCCGATCTACACCGACATTAGATCCATGTATAGCTTTGAGAAAGGTTCTGCACATTTGCCGATCTACACCGACGTTAGATCCATGTATAGCTTTGAGAAAGGTTCTGTACATTTGCCGATCTACACCGACATTAGATCCATGTATAGTTTTGAGAAAGCTTCTGTACATTTGCGATACTTACCAAATCGCATTTTTGCATTTACACCAACATGCAGAAAGCACACATTCATACAGACCGGCGCCAATGAAATAGATCTTATAAAATATATTTTCTGTTATACAAACCATTCTGATTGAGTTGAACTTAGATCTATATATATATATACTGTAAGCTGAAAAGTTCATTATTGATTTGGGTAGGGGCTGCAAAAAATGGATCCGCAAAGTTTGCCGGCCAAGTGGGAGTCGGTACGAAATGCCTTTGCAAATGCAGCCAGAAATGGCAGGGGTGCACTTAAGTTACAGGTTCTCATGAGAGGCACATTTATACGTGGAAACATCGTACCAACGACTCTTGTAACACGAGATAAAATCTCCCCCGCAGATGATGGCGTATCAAAACACGTGTTGCCAAGAGACACAGGAATCAAGCAAAACCTGTTCCCTGTGAAAGTTGTCGGAGACGGTAACTGCTTTTAAAGGTCAGTTTCCAACTTAGTCTATAGTACAGAGAACAATCATGTTGAGTGCCGGGTACGGTGTATGCATGAGCTGGTTACAATCTTTTCAAAATACACCAGCCATGAATCATTCACCGAAATGTCAAGTAAGCCAACAGATTCCAAATACATTTTTGAAAGCTCAATCTCTGACCTGGTCAATGTCCCCAATAATATCCCCAGTCTTTGAAGAATGAGATCATGAAATCTGCAAATGACGGTCAGTACTCCTCCTTGCTCCATCTTTATGCCACTGCTAACGCATTCAAACGCCCAAAAGTACCAATCTTTCCTCAAGTAGAGCATGTTGCTATCAACAATCCACAGTCCACAACCAGACTATCAGTTCACTTGACCATTCCGAGGAACAGCATCGCCCTCCTACGTACATAATGTGGACGCACACATCAAATGTGAATAAAGAAATGTGGCAGCCAAATCACCTTGTTTCATGTCATGAAATGGATGATACAAGCCAGTCTGCTGTAAAGGTGCCATCTTGGGAACCCCCTTTGAAAATGCAGAAAATATCTGATTACTTCAGGAAGGGCACGTTAAGAGAAAACGACCGGTCTAGTATCAATTCTGAACAAAATACAAGGAAACAAGCACAACACCATGACTGTGCAAATCCAGAAATTCCGCCCAAGCACCCATTCCCAAATATCATCCCGATATGACTTTGGTGAAAAATTTGAATGGGACAGTGTCGCTTTCGTCATTATCTCAAACTAAAAAAAATACCTATGTGGAAAGCAGTTGTGATGAATAAACCCTGAAAAAAATTGCCATTCGTAACAAAATTTGTCGCTGGTGAGGTGAAAAATTTGTATTTTCAAACAAGTTGGTTGGAGAAACATAAATGGTTGACATTCAGTAGCGTATTTCAGGGGGGTCTTTGCAAAATCGGTATGCTGTTTCCTCAGTCAGATGTAAGATGTTACGAGACCTTTGTAAGTAAACCATTAAAAAATTTCAAGAAAGTTGGCGGGAAAGAGAGTTCAATGCTGAGGCACGAACAGTCTGCATACCACAAAAATGCACGCATTGCATATCAGACTCTGAGAGCAAGCCTCACATCCCCATAAACCACAGTCCAGTATAAGATAAACTCACAAAACAAGACATGTATCACAAAAACTTGAGGCTCTTGAGAATAATAGTTGAATAAGTAATTCTCTTTGGAAAACAGAACATTCCCCTGCGGGGACACAGAGATGACTCCACAAGTACGTCATCCAACAAGGGCAATTTCTTGGCCATTCTAAATTTACTAGGTAGTCATGGCAAAGAGCTGGCAAATCATCTAGAAAATAGACCGAAAATGCAACTTATACCAGCAAGACCGTACAGAACGAAATCATAGACATCATGAGGTCGTACATCAGAAATCAAATATTAAAAGCCCTGAAGGGAGAGGGTTTTACTCTATCATAGCTGTTGAAGTGACGGATACGTTTTCAAACGAAGAGATTCTGCCTTTGTGTGTGCGATTTATAGATGAAAGACAAACTGAGCCATGTATTCGAGAAGAACTTTGATTTTCTCCATCTGAAACGTAGTACTGGGGAAGCAACTGCAAATAAAATTGTAGAGGTTTTAACAGAGAACAATATTCCAGCTGACAAAATGAGGGGCCAGGCGTACGATGGGGCAGCAGCTATGTCGTCAGAAAAAGTAGGTCGCCAAGCTCGAATAAAGTCTGTCTATCAACATGCCCTTTACACACACTGCAACGGTCACGTTCTGAACTTGAGCATAGCTTACACGTGAAAATACCTCTTGTGAGAAATATGATAGATGGAGTAAATGCCACATTCGTTTTCTTCGATGTCAAAAGACAATGCTTCTTTGAACATGTTCTTCAACATCATGGCCCGGAATCAAGGCATAAAACGTTTTTGGGTTTGTGTAAAACAAAATGGGTAGAACGACATACCTGTTGTGATGTATTCTATAGCATGTATACTGCCATCGTTGAATGTCTCCGGTCCATCGTAAACCTAGAGCTTGAGGAAAACACTTAAGATGAGTGGTCGTGGAATGCTCAAACTAAGATTACAGCACAGGGATTGCTGGCAACTCTGATGTCGTACCATGTTTTGGTTACGTTCATCTGCGTCAGGGCTGTTCTGCAGACAGTCAAACCTCTTGCATCAAAACTTCAGAAACGTGATTTGAACGTGCATGAAGCCCGTACACTGATTACTGATCGTATTGAGAGGGTGAAAGAGATGAGAGGAGTAGATGTTGAGTTTGAAACGTGGTATGAAGATTGCAAAAGAATCGCAAACCAGCTTGAAATAGAAGAGAAGTTCCCGAGAACATGTCATAGGCAAACACAGAGAACAAATATTGGTAGTTCCTGTCCGCAACAATATTACAAAGCTACCGTAGCTGTTCCATTTCTGGATCATTTATCAACTGAGCTCAATGACAGATTTCACAAAGATGACCGTGTTGCATATGCATTTAGTTATTTGGTTCCTAAGCAAATGTTTACCCTGTCAGATTCTGAAATACAAAAACTTTCTTCTGAATTTTTCTTCTGGGATTCAGATTTGCGATGTTCATCTTCACAAGATCTACAAGGGCATTTGTTTGAGTGGAAGAGTTCTTGTGGGAAACTCGATGAAAAGGGCATCACAGCGGACAATCTTTTAGATACCTACAAAATTGCAGACGGGGACATCTTTCCAGACATCAAAACACTTCTTCACATTGGTTGCACCTTACCTGTCACCTCTTGTGAAGCCGAACGCTCATTTTCTGGGCTTCGCCACATTAAAAGCTATATGCGCAGTACAATGAATGAGGATAGATTATCATCACTAGCCCTCATGCACTTACACCATGCACGAACAATCAATGCAGGTGCAATCTGCCAAAGATTTGTGATGCAAAACAAAAGACGAATGTTCAAGTCAAGCATCTTGTACAATTAGATCTAATACAAGTCAGTTTGTAAGATTTTCACTTCTGTTCAAACATTAAATAAATAAATGAATAAATAAAAAAATAAATAAAAAAAGAAGGTTCTTATTGTGGAGGCCTCGTCGTGGCTAGAACTGGAAACGCTGATATTTAATTAGCGACTAACATCCACATTTCCTTCTGGTAAGGTTGTTGCTTTTATATTGCATGAATATGTTGGTAGGCTCGGTCGGTTAACGATATACGAGGAGATTTCAGAAAAATATACAATGTGACCGCCATATTGATCTTGGTCAATATTCTTCTAGATGAGAACGAACACAAAACAGACCCAACCTTATACAACACAATGAAGCAAGCGCATCTAAAAATTCTTATTTCTAAATGTCAAGGTTGTACTTTCAGGCTTACAAGTGTGGTGTGTTCTACCCTAAAGATCGACCATCAAGGTTGTACTTTCTGTCTTACAAGTGTTGTGTGTTCTACCCTAAAGGTGGGGCGTCAAGGTTATACTTTCTGTCTTACAAGTGTGGTGTGTTCTACCCTAAAGATCGACCATCAAGGTTGTACTTTCTGTCTTACAAGTGTTGTGTGTTCTACCCTAAAGATCGACCATCAAGGTTATACTTTCTGACTTACAAGTGTTGTGTGTTCTACCCTAAAGGTGGGGCGTCAAGGTTATACTTTCTGTCTTACAAGTGTTGTGTGATCTACCCTAAAGGTCGGACGTCAAGGTTGTACTTTCTGTCTTACAAGTGTTGTGTGATCTACCCTAAAGGTTGGACGTCAAGGTTATACTTTCTGTCTTACAAGTGTGGTGTGTTCTACCCTAAAGGTCGGACGTCAAGGTTGTTCTTTCTGTCTTACAAGTGTGGTGTGTTCTACCCTAAAGGTCGGACGTCAAGGTTGTACTTTCTGTCTTACAGGTGTTTTTGCAGTTTCAGTATGTCGATAATATTACAATTATTGTGATAATTTGTTCAAATTTGACAAAAGTATTACATCATACTACGTCCATGATAAATACTTGCTTCTCAGCATTGATAAGAAGCACAAGGTAGACTCACTCCGATGTCGATTGAATGTGACCGGGTAGAGGTGTCTTGCTAGGGAAGGATAATGTCATCACACATGACACTATAAAAATCATTGTGAAGCCCCAATACCCATAGACATCAACTGTATATTTGATTCAGGTTGTTGCAAGGACGTAAAACCACAAACAACCAAACCATGATGTCAATTTACTCAGAATACGATGGAATAAAAACTGTCAGCATTGAAAGACACTTACCTAATGCTTGACTTTTCTTTTCTTGTCTCTTTCTTTCATGATGTCGTTGGCTTTTCTTCTCCTCTCATCATTTAAGACATTTCTTCCAGTGTTGATCAGTTTTAAACATATCCGTCTTTACAGAGTGTATGCCAATTAATTTGTAAAGCACCCAGCGGTGTAAAGCAGATATGTTTCGGTTGTCAAAAATCTTGTGACAGATTTGATTAACTATATGTGCTTATGGAGATCACAAGCTTCACTCAAGTAGTATTCTGGAGGTTGGGGACACGGGCAGTTTATTTCAGAAACACACAAACTTGTCATTGAAGGCTGGACTTATCACGTCAGGAGTTTTTATATAAAAGATACTGTTGAGAACGCACCGCATTATTTACTGGAATCGACCAGATTTTCTATGCTGAGTGTGGGAAAGGGGGTCGGGGGAGGGGGAAGGGTAAAGGGGGGAGGGGGAGGGAGAAGGGGAGGGGAAGGGAGAGGGAGAAGAGAGAGGGGGAGGGGAAGGGAGAGGGGGAGGAAGGGAAGGAGAAGGGAGAGAGGGAAGGGGGAGGGAAAGGTGGATGGGAGGGAGGGAAAGAGGGAGGGGAAGGGGAGGGGAAAGAAAAGGGGAAGGGGGAGGGGAAGGGAGAGGGGAAGGGGGAGGGGAAGGGAGTGGGGGAAGAGGGGAGGGAAAGGGGAAGAGGAAAGGGAAAGGGGGATTGGAGGGAGAGGGGGAAGAGGGAGGGGAAGGGGAGAGGAAGGAAGAGGGGAAGGGAAGGGGGAGGGGAAGGGGAGGGGAAGGAAGAGGGGAAGGGAAGGGGGAGGGGAAGGGGAGGGGAAGGAGGGAAGGAAAAGGGGAAGGGGGAGGGGAAGGGGAGGGGAAGGAAAAGGGGAAGGGGAGGGGAAGGAAAAGGGGAAGGGGGAGGGGAAGGGAGAGGGGAAGGGAAGGGAAGGGGGAGGGGAAGGGAGTGGGGGAAGAGGGAGGTGAAGGAGAGGGGAAGAGGGAGGGGAAGGGAAGGAAGAGGGGAAGGGGGAGGGGAAGGAAGAGGGGAAGGGGAGGGGAAGGGGAGGGGAAGGGGGGAAGGGAGGGGAAAGAAGAGGGGAAGGGGGAGGGGAAGGAAGAGGGGAAGGGGGAGGAGAAGGGAGAGGGGGAGGGGAAGGAGGAAGTGGAGTGGAATGGAGAAGGGGAGGGGGAAGGGAGAAGGAGGGGGAGGTGGTGGTATAGATACTGTACATTTAATGTTGATATTCTACATAGCGAATATAGTATAGCATCCAGCACTACCTCTTACCTTACAACCATTCTATATCTTCAGATATATTTCAGTGTGTCGAGCTGGAATGTCATGTCGTTCCGTGAGAAGTAGATATTATTTACCTTCCAGAGTTACTGATCAACTCATACTATTTAAGAGTCTCCATACAAATGTTTGTTTTGTTCATCCCCTCCCCTCACCTCCCACCTTGACTTGACGATCATCTCCAGTATCGATTTGATTGTTTTAGTTGTTTATAGGTACTAGCCTCGTCTGTTAACATATCATACTATGAGTGCGAGTGTATTGACAGACGAGGCTAGTACCAATGTTTGGGGTGGGCCTTGACGCAAGGAAAACTCCTAAAGCAAAAGTCCGCGCATTTAATTGGTTGGTCAAAACGTTTCTGGGGGGTGAAGGCTTGTGTGGTTTACTATCACAGGGGCTTGTAACAATGTTTCTGTGGGGTGAGGGCTTGTGTGGTTTACTATCACAGGGGCCTGTAACAATGTTTCTGGGAGATGAGGGCTGGTGTGGTATACTATCACAGGGGCTGTAACAATACTTCGTGGGGTGAGGGCTTGTGTGATATACTATCACAGGGGCTTGTAACAATGTTTCTGGGGATGAGGGCTTGTGTGGTTTACTATCACAGGGGCTTGTAACAATGTTTCTGGGGATGAGGGCTTGTGTGGTTTACTATCACAGGGGCTTGTAACAATGTTTCTGGGGGGATAAGGGCTTGTGTGGTTTACTATCGCATGCGCCTGTGTCAATGTTTCTGGGGATGAGGGTTTGTGTGGTTTACTATCGCAGGGGCCTGTAACAATGTTTTTTTGGGAAAGAACCAAATTGATCAGATATAGATTACATACAAGGGAAATGCAACTTAAGATACAACAGACCAAATTTCCTTTCTTTGATGGTGAATGCGCATATATATATCTGCTGAAATCCATGTTAAATAAGGCTGGTAACAAGTATAAAAGTTGTTGACATGTATTTTGTTAACATTCATCTTTCACGTAAAGTTTTCTGTTGCATATATACTTTTACAAACTCCGAATCGTATGTCAGGTTTCATGTTAAAAAATCTTTTTAAAAAACAGACTTTTCGTGTAGTATCTTATTCAAATCAGCCGCCATTGGGACATTTTTAAAAATTGTTTTAAAGGACGTGTTTTAATTTGTTTGTTTCATTTATTGTTTTTAATACAAATTTTGAGTTAGATACAGTAGTGCCTATCAACTGCTGTATACTGTTGTCCTCTGCTGTTTCGTCCGTTTAGGATTTGTCAGTGTGTAACCGGAAGCAGGTGCACCGCTAATGTGCCTAAAATTCTTTTTTTTTCTGTTTAAAATTGCATTTTTTACACTTCCGTATTTTGGACGAATCTGCTGGCTTCTTATTAACTTCTATTTTTTACATATCCAGATGGACCTCATTTCTATCAACAGAGTGAAACGAAGGGAAGTAACTCTGGTGCGTATGCCTAATGTAACATCACGTCTTCCGGTCGTAACAGATGAAACAGTATTGATTTAATTATATATGCTGTTAATTAGCTAGGATATTAAGAAAGGCTCGCTTTTAAATATTGATAACCGTAATGCTGTCATACATATTAAACTTTGATCTTCGAAATTTAGTCGTTTTCAATTTCATTCTGGTATGTGTCGCTCCGTGTCGGTCGATTCAGTCCGTTTCGGTGATTAATAATTCATGCAGCAGAAGATCATCAAAATCTCAAAATGGCGTCAGTGGGAAGGTTATGCTCTAATGTTTGCAGGGCAGTGGTCCCTCGCCGGACCTTCACGACCGGAAGAGTCCTTCGCGACACGCCACCGGGAATTCCAAACGACGTAAGTTGCATCGGAAATACAGTTGGTTTAAAAAATATCCCGAACGTCAAATTTATGGAATTATGATCGTGTTTTGCGAAGTGACCTTCGACTCCGAGGCGACAAAAATCCACATGGCTGTGTTGGAACGAACCTGGTATTCTGATCCGTGCGGATCGCATACGAATTACGTAATAAATAGTAAGATCAATGACCAAGGATAGTCGGACAACCGACCCATTATTGACAGCCATTGATCAATCTACAATTTATTTTCTGAGGTGTTTTTCACCTTCATTTGCTAAAACAATGGATCTCACGTTTTAAAATTCCAACATTTCTATGAATTATTTTAATACAGAGCTCGGAACTTACATGTAGTTTTATCACTGAGTAGATTGGACACTTTACCAATAATGCTTGTCAAAACGATAATTTAATGTCGCTATTCATAATTATTATACTGTTATCTAATCAGTCTGGTTTGGCACAACCCAATATATGAGTATAGTCCTGCATTTGGGATATACTGCTTTGTGTGTGACACTGTATAGATTTACATAAGAAATAGGAATCTTTGCTATTTAACTGTGTGTTGAAATGACGATTTTGTTCTCCATTGACTACCATGTTTCAGCCA